ACTATAGAACGCTCTTTTTTCCTTCTTGCGTAGTATCGTGCTTCTATGTATCAAGCTTTCAATAAATAGTCTCTTAAATTTACAAGATCGGTTCTTACCACTACTGTACTCCTATTGAGAAGTACGTGATTTCGAGACTACGCACAGCAGTGCAAATTTTAGAACTGCTGCTTCACACGCATGCGCCTCTCGACTACCTGAGAGTCGCTCAGCTCAGTGCATGTCCTCAAATTGGACCGCTAGTCTACGCCTGCCTCCGAAGTACGATACGGCTGGGAACTTATTTATCGTGAACGAAGTAGTAGGTGGAATTGAATGCCGTAATGCCGTAGCGAAGAAGGTGGATATGCGAATGGCGCAGCCATGCCGCAGGTTTCAGCAGCAAGGTTATCTTATTCACCTAATAACCAGCACCTGCAGGTTGATAATTTAATCGCCACCCGCGGGTGGTTGAATAAATCAGCATCTCTGTAGGTTCTTGATTGTCTACCGAAAAACGCTCCCGACGGTTACATTGGCGTATGGCCCTCACGATACCCACACCGCCACTCGTGCCGGCATCATTTTTCATGAGGCACAGGCCAATCATACAAAGACGCAGGAACCCGAAGTCGGGCGCCTAACCCACGCCTCACCAGGAGCCGCACCTCCAGCGCCACCCGAGGCAAGCCCCAAGCCACGCTGAAGGCGGAGGAGTTTGCTTGAGCACCAAAATGCGTATTGCGCGCAAACTTGACACGATTGACAAGGGGGCAAGCGCTGTCTGTCTGTCTGTCTGTCTGTCTGTCACCGCCTTCCCTTTTTAGAAAAGCACTCCCTCACTTATCTCTACAACCAATTGAACCGTCCCACTGTCGCGATGAAACAGGGTCTACCAAAATCCGGGCTTGGTGTTTGGAACTTACATCTGGCAGGAACGTAAGCCCAAGCAACCCGACCAGCGATCGGGGCTTTAGATTCAACGGCGCAACAAAAATCGTCTGGATTTTCTTCAAACTGCAGGCGAAGCATAAATAGTAACCGGCCGAGCTGCTGTCGGGAGGCACTGACTCACAACTCAACAGGTTACTACTGCACGGTCGTAACACATGCATGCATGCTTCTCTGCCACGGACGCCCCTCTTTACTTTCTCTGACTGCTTTTTTTACAGTAGTAGTCTAGTATTGCTGTGGTCCCACAATAAACAGGTTTCTCCGATGAGACGATATAGTTCGTCCTACAACTGGAATTTGGAAATTCCCCAAAATAAATGTGGATGGATGGGTACCCGGTGTGTTTATTATTATTTGTTTCGTTTATTTTTGGGTGTTTTCAATTTTGGTTCAATATTATCGGCGTCCCCAAAGAATGCTGAAAAATCAATTGGTTCCCTCAAGGAAAAATTACCAAATCCCCAAAAGTACGTAGGCGTGTTTATTTTCTTGTTTTTTAATATGACCCAACCAATGTTTATTCAGTTTATTTTCTCTTTCTCTTCTACTACATAATTTTTGTATTTTTGATGCACAGACTGGTGCATGTCTAATAGACTTCAAACCTTGCTGTAGTGTTTTGGGCTGACTGAGTGGTTTGGGTGCTGCATGTGTTGTTTCTGTATCTCGCCTTGACATGAAGTTGAAGCCCCAGGGAGTCTTTCTGTTCGCCAGGTTGCCAGATCTTGTCCACGCAGGTAAGTCGGTCGTACAGCCGGAACCGGAGGTACAGAGTAGGTCACAAACATCTTGTTCACGGTTGGTTTTCGTGTCTTCGTCCTCTCAATGTGCCCTGCGGGCAAACAGGGACAACGGCAAAGCACAATTAATTGCCGGGGTTGACATGTGCATCTGTCTCCGGGACAGCGACATACACCAGCGGGCCCACACGAGACAGAAATAGAGGCCAGTACCTTGACAACACGCAGACTACGGCTGGGGTAAGGCAGTGGTCGTCGAACTTGCTTGTTGGAGGAGTTGAGGATCATGACCATCAGGCAGAACAAGACAATCGGAGATTTCGGAGATTTGTCTCCCTCGCACGACCTATGCAAAAGGCATACATATGCATGACAAAGGAGTCCAAAAATGGATATTTTTGGTGCACTCAGACAACTTGTTTCACCTTGTCACATCACGTGCAAGGCTTGTCACATCACGTGCAAGGACCGGCCTCTCGAGAGGCCACCACTGCTGGTGCAGCACCCCGGCCTTGGCTTGTCTTGCCTTTGCCTTTGGCAGAAGCGACCTGCAAACAGGCAGAAAATGAACGGCGAGATGCGGCGAAATCAAAGTTTTGAAAGTGTCGCCGAGTCGTGTGTAGCTCGTTGCCCTCTCGCGGTTCAAACAATGCGCTGGCCTGTGGTCACCTTTGGACGACCGCGGATGGATATGCAATACCTCAACGGAAGCCTGACCTACATGCCCTGCCTCTGGTTGCGCCACGATATGGCACAGCACTGCAGCAGCAGCAGCAAGTTGCCGAAAGACTGGCTGAGACACACCCATAAAAACGATTGCTGGATCTACAGCAGCAGTATCTGGAATCCTCTGTGATCCTTGCATATTCGCCATGCATACTTCACGAATCTATGTACCTTGCCTGCTGTACGCCCTGTCTCGACTGAGAGTGGCCACGGACCATGCAAACTCTTGGCTGGCTACTGCTGTAGCTTCTAGAAGACGCGGCTGGCGCTTACCGAAGAGAGGCGAGAACCAGAGATGCCAGGAACGAACGAGCGGGCCGGGCCGTCTGTCTTCTTGTCCTCGTTGCTTATCGTCGATGTCACCAGGGCTTGAATGACTTGCGGCCTGGCCCTTGTGGAACGTGGAGGCCGAAGAGCCAGCAGAAAAAAAGAGAAATGGGTTACAAGCAGGGTGTGGAGTTCGGCGTGAGCGTCTGCCATCCGCTCGGCGGAATGGGTGCAGTGAGATGAAGAAGACGAGGCAAATGATGTGCCATAGACGGCGGATCAGCATTGTCTGTCTGAAGGTTGAACGCGTACAACATGGGGATGAGACCCGATCCGGAGGTTCAAGCAAGTCACACGTGTGTGCCCGTGTGTTTTTTGTTGTTTCAGGTCAACATCGGTCTGCTCTTGTTGTCCCCCGTTGCAACCACAAAACGCCCTTTGGTCACACCACAGGCTGCTGACTACATGCAACACGGCAAACCAAGAATAGTTCTTTGCTGCTACTGGTGATGATGCAGAGCTTCGCCCGACCATCGCCGGCAGTTCTTTTGAGAGAGCAGTGGATGAGAGCGGCGTCTCTTTCTGTGGGCTCGTTTTTTGAGATCTTGAGTGGACGAGCCTCTGACGCGCCAAACCCACCCTTCGCCACACAGAACGGGGAGGTCGACAACACAGAAAGCGGCGATGTGCCTCTGTCTTCCGCACTACTCCCGGCCGAGAGGACGAGAGAATTCTGAGAGCTCTGAGAGAGTGCGCGAAGCAAATCAGCCCACACACGCAAATCAAATCTATTCGCACCTTGTCCACCCACCGCGCGGTGCGGGGTGTGTAGCTTCCGTTGAAGAAGAGGCGCGCTGCCGAGGCCTGCGTCTTCATCCCCATCGCGAGGAGAATCGGGCTCTGGCACACCAGCGAGGACGACCTTGTGGTGCTGCGATGTTTAGATCTTGGGCGCAGCTTGATCTTGAGGGCGCTCGATGGAGGGACTTTTTTGTTGTTGCTGGTTGAGGAAGGTTGGGGAGAAGAAAGTGTGAGCGGAGGGGGGGGAACATTTGTTGGGCTTGGTTGAGCGGATCATTTTTTTTTTTTGTGGTGGCCTCCACACAACACGTGCTAGACGGTGATTGGCCATTTCACCGCCTTGCGCGGGTTGATGTTGCGAAAAAAAATCGGAGACGGGCATCTCGCACTTTGATTGTTTCCACTTTTTGTGTGACTGCATTAAATGTCGTATTTTCATTGTGTTGGCCAGCCACAGTTAGTTTTGGCATGCAACCCCGCCCTCCCAGGAAAACTCCGTCAGTCAATAGTAAAAAACCTCTATAGCAGTGCCATGGTGGTGTACATGCTGCTGTAAGGGAACGGCTGTATGAGGAAAGTATTATTTGCATTTATTTTATGTGTGCGTTAATACGTGCAAGTGATGAAGGATTTTGTCTTGTGAAAAACGAACGCATGCTGTTGCATGCACCGCAAAGAAAGGATGCCGCTTGCTTGTGTTTGGCGAAGGATCAGAGCTGCTCTGAACTAGAGAGAAGTCCGTTGGGCGAGGTAGAAAAGCTGAGAGCAGCGGAAGGTAACTGATCGGAATGAAGTATGCAATGAGAACGACACATTCTCTCCAGCCGTTCGCTACTACCTCAGTACCACACATGATGACACGAAAAACAATATCCGAGCTGTGCAACCAACCTATCAACTATGAAAAAGATTATCCGAGCTGTACAATCTACAGATGATTTGGATACCGAGAGTTCGGATAGTTTTGTGGTAAGCAAGGGGGTGCGGGGACACGTTCTGCTTGAACCATGGCGTGCAAGAAACACACGGATGGGATGGATGGAAGCATCCATAGAACAGATCAACAACCAACCCGCATACGCCACCGGATACCCATGTACCACAAAGTTTTGATTGCAGCACTGTTGCGTACTCACAATTCTGAACGGTCATCACGAGAACGCGAGATTATACCACGGTCGAGTCTCGATTTAAAAAACTTGTGACTTTAAGCTGTACAAACATGACCGACGTCTAGACCACATCTATCACTCTTTAGAACCAAAATGGTTCCATCCAACTCGCAACTCTTGTCACTCAAACACAACGCTCACTCATCTGGAACCACCATCTGGTACACAATAACAAGTACCCAAATAACAGCCATGTATCACAATGTGGCCCGTCCATAAAAAAGATCGATCGTACACTGCTGTTGTTACAGTCTTGTCCAATACACTGGGATCACTTCCATCTTAGAATCCAGCCCTCGAATAATATATCCACGTATGACCTAACGAGCGATGGCCCACAACCACAAATCCTTCAAATCCCCAGACAAGCGAACACGACATCACATGGTTCACACGTGGGAGCAGTACCCACCATCTCCTCACTGCAAGGCTGGCAAACAACACCGGACAAATATCACCAAACGTACGTGTGGTTGGCGGTGGCGCTACCACGCCACGTTTGCACACCCTCAACCCGGGGCGCAATCGCGCCACCTTTTACACACCGTCAACCAACATCACCGACTAGTTCACAAAATGCGGCTGCCCATTGCGGACGCCACCGCCACGAGGCCCAGCTGCACCGTTTCAGCGGCTGCCGATGGTTCGGTCAGGTCGGCGTTAACCTCCACCATATCCATTGAACCCAGCCGACCAGTCTCAACGCAGGACTCCGCGACATACATAGCCTCGCGATAGTTGAGCCCTCCACGAACGACAGTTCCCGTTGCAGGCGCAACCTGTGGGAATAGCGATGGGGAACACCCGGGGTAGGAGAGGGCATAGCTTGCAACGATGATCTCGGAACAAACCTAGTTGAACCACGGCAGTGCGTGTGCGATAGCTCAAACCACATCACAGACTCTCTTGCTGCTCGCGGCTTCAAACTTCAATGGTGGCGTAAAACGACGACAAACCTTCGGATCGACAGCGTCGATGTCGAACGACAAGTGCAGGGGGGCGCCTTTCTCCTCGTCGCCGTTTCCAGTGACACCCAGCGCCTCCAAGGCGAGCTCCATCACCCGCCCGATGCCTAGGCGATCCACGTCCTGCAGAAGGCCAAACACAGAAACAACGACATGATCGAATGTGCACACTCACTAGCATCAAGAGGCGCGCTTCGACTCAGAATCGCACAGCTCGGAAATCGATGGAGCTAAAGGGCGTGCAGCTGCAACTAGGCTCTCCCTGGGATCGCCTCACTCGCCTTTAGCCTAAACCTGCCCATCGTACATGCTGCATCAGCAGAGTAGGCACCTGCATGGTCGACGCGAAGAGCCCGTGCTCTTGTTTGAGGCGATGCAGGATCTTCCTCTCGTAAACGTCCACGTCGCGCAGGCCAACGTACGCGATTCTCTCGGGACGCAAGACGGGGACGTCAGTCTCACAGAGCCACTCCAGGCCGCGGACCGTCGAAGGATCGGAGAGGCCCATCACGAACGACAGCGGCATCCCTGACAAGCAACGATGCACGTGGCGATGCAACGAGTACTGAACACTGAGAAAAGCTAGGTGGGGTGATGCTTCTATTAGCGCAGTAAGATACTCGTGAGGATCTTGTGGAAGAAGTGTGAGCATTGGGACGCGGAGTTTTGGAGAGCATTCGGGCAAGGGAATCTATCCTGCGCTCGGTTGACCTCATACCCGGTGGTAGAACAGCCGAAACATGCTCGTTCCCTCGAAACCAACAGACAGCAGTGTGGAAGTACCGGCCGGGGTTGGCCACCGCTTGCACCAGGAACACGATGCCAACACACATGCGCACCACCCGCCCACTCCATCGAGAATAGATCCGAGAAAAAAAAGCGTTACCCTGACAAGTTCCACTAAAACGCAGCCTGTTTTTCTGCTACTTCCCCCCCCCTTTCAAGAGCCCAGCCAGAAAAACATTGTAAACGCGAAATGACCTGCTTGGAAAGCAGTTAGTTGTATTGCGGGGTCAATAACTCACCATGCATGTTTCCGCTCGGCGAACCCTTCGGGGAGTTTATGTCCGCGTGGGCGTCGCACCAAAGCACTCTCGTGTCCGGCCTCGCCCTCAGAACGCCAGCCAAAGTCCCCAACGCGATAGAATGGTCCCCGCCAAGAGTCAAGACGAACTTTCCTTCGGCCGCCTTTTCGAAGACCGCCTCGGAGAGTCGGCGACACCCGGCACCCACCGCCAAGCTATGGCGGGCGTCGCCGCCGGCTGCGGCAGGGTCCGCTCCTCCTGGGGGGCCAGTCATGTCCTTAGGGTTACAGACAAACGGGGACGCGTGGCAGTGGCTTCAAGAGTTGTGTTTGGACGTCTTGAGACGGGGGTGCGTGTGGCGCCGTTTCCTCCGTCCCGAATGGCTGGCGGTCACAGATTGTTGAACAAGGGTTCGGGAGACCCAGCGTGGGAAAGTGCAAGGGGCTTGAACAAGCTGAAGGGATGGCTTTGACCAGGCCGCGCAGCACAAAACGCAAGCATATAAAAAAAATACAGACAAGAAAATACTGTACCCTTGTGCTTCATCACAACAACCACTGGTTTGTGTGCAAGAGGTGTCCTGGATATCCTGTGAAAATGTGTCTCACCACGTCACCCATCTCTTCCACGCGCCAACCCAGCGCTGCAAGGTTCTGATGGAGGCCGGCCTCCCTCAGTAGCTGAGGACTCTTGTCCGTCCCCGCAAGGGGCTGCCCAAACATAGCAGGCGCGCCGATGACCGCCGCCGTCCGCGGGGATGTCAAGAACGACGGCCACGCCATCTGACAAGTGTGACATGAAACATGGGGGAGTGTACGACGAAATGTTAACAAGAGAGCGATCCACGAAAGGGAATAGTGGCACGCAGAACTCTGATTGGTAACAAGAAACTTGAAGAATTTGGGTCGAGAAAAACACCGTGCCCTCAAAGAAGATTCACTCTGAGGGGCGGGACAGGCACTCGTCACGCCTTGGCTTCACTGCGAAAAGCTGACAGAAAAAGGGACTACGAAAACATACATTTGTTCATTCGATCCAAAGGCACCGGCCCAGAACGAAGCTTATTCGCGTGAGATTCCAGATTATAACGGCAGTAGCTTGTCCTAGAAGAAGCCTAACACTTCAAATGTGGTACAATACACACGCCACGTGTATTGGGCAGAGGGTTATAACCGTTCTGGGTGAAGAAACGCACAACACGTGCCTCTCACTACTACAAAGAGACTCGAACTACAATGATAACGATGTGCGAATCACCCGCTCAACATCAAAAACACAACAAGCAAAACAACGGAGAGAACGCCGGAGCCGAGCACAGTTGCAAATATTCAATGGCGATTCCGTTACGAAAGTCGCGCAACTCGTTCAGCATTGCGACCTGGACTTACTTTTGCGTTCCAAACAGGACTCTTCTTCATAGATCTACCGACACAAACGTCAAAACATGAAAAGCTTCAGACAAGCCAGAGCAGTGGTAGTCCCCAGCCGAAACTGTGCGTAAATAATGAAGAGACGTTGAAAAAAGCACGATTCACTATATAGCAATGGTCAATACCTTCGGGGAACTCGGCAGATAGAAGTATGCGGATTGTTTAGTACTTCTATGTGACGAGGTCAAGACACCGCAATCCCGTCGGATTATGACTCAAGGCATTGCAGTCTCTTCGCTTGTTTCGCCAGGTCAAAGCCAAACATCGGGGGGAGCCCCACAGCGTTCATGTGTACCCACCCGGTGATACCGGTTAAGTATTATTTTTCCTTCCACCAATTTGCCCTCTCCCGCATTCTTGCCTACCCCACGGGGCTGCCTCTTGCAGCCAAAGAATTAGTACGTGTTTTCCAATATATTGGGCCACATCTCGATTGGAGTAGCGTGTTTGATGCACCAGCCGGGGTCAAACGGGAGGAAGGGAAAGCCTGGATGTTTTTCGTTCTCCAACTTTATGCTTTGCGGTGCTTGCATTGTAACACTTACACAGTAACGCGAGAAGGGTTTCCCTCAGTTTGTGACGACTTGCATGCGCTTTCCATGACTATACAAATATTGTTTTTCACTTGAGCGAGATTCGAACCCGCAACCTAGACTGCCAGAAGGTTGCGAGTTTACAAATTGAACCATTGAGCCATCATAGCGACCACAACCATAGACTTATCAACAGTAGTGTAGTTGCACAGCAGTAGTCTATTTAGTAGGGAGCAGCAGATGCAGAGGTCCGGCGTACCATTGCCGAAGTTGACCCACATATATCTCTGGTACAGCAACTTGGGCACAGCAACATGCACCAGCGACCCTGAACATGAAATAGAAAAGGAGGCCAGAGTCCTGACAACAGGCAGACTACCTGCTGGTGCTCGTCGAACCTTGTTTGATGGACTTGAGGATCACGACGACAATCAACGCGAGGAGCGCCGAGAGAAAAGCCGAGGGCCGCGCTTGTGTGTATGCATATGACACGGCACGCTTTCTGCCTTCCGTCGGAAAGGGCTCATGAACCCATATAGCGTGAAAGTGCTTGCGTATACAGATCGAGCTGGATCATCAGGAGGGCAAGCTAATACTGCTGTAGACTGGCTCTATCAGGTGTGAAGTCGCTGCTTGGCCGAAGTGTTAGAATTTGGCAATAGAGCACGTGATTACATCAGAGTTCAGAGGTTTCAGTAGTCTGACGTCTGAGTCGTCCAGAGAACCAAAGCCCAATGGGTCTCACACCAACCCCGTAGACTGACGAGTGCTAGTCGGTGTCCTCAACGTCGCAGGGGGAACAACTGGGTGACAGTTCTGGACGCCCCCTAGAGTACATGTACACGGCCAACTTGCTCACGGAAAAGAACGTTTCCTGTGAAGAACATCAGATCGTGGATAACGAGGGAGACCGAGAGCTTGGACTGTGCGGAAAAAACCAAAGTGGCAAGAGGAGTAGATCTCGTAGCGGGAAGCGCTCGGTTCTATAGCAGCACTGCCCGTCCTTGGCTAGTGTGAACAACGGGTTGTCGCGGCAGTGAACCGTTGCTCCTGGTTCCAATCTACTCCTTATCCGTCGTCGATATGCGGACCTCTGCGATTTCGAATTTGAAAAAATAAAAAATACCGAAACCCTTCAAGTTGCAGAGCTGGTGGATTGCTGCAAACGCACCTCGTTTACGTCGACCACGTCTCTCAGCTGGGCCAATGGTCCCCGGACTTGGTACGAACCATTCACCCCCGCCGCAAAACACCTCACGCTTTGGAGAAATCTCGAACGAAGCCACCCTCCTGGTACTCCAGCAGGACACCTCATCATCATCTTGCACCGCATTCGGAACACCTTCACCGAACAACAGTTGCGATCACCAATCGATCCGATTTGCGAAGGCACGGATCAGTAGGTTTGCTGCTGGTGTCTCAATTGGTGAAGTGAGAACTGATGGTGATCGTGTCGGTGTGAGGGATAGAAGGAGCGTGTGTCTCAGTGAGGTGTGTGCAGGTTGGCTTCCATCAAAAGGGGCACCGTGACGTGCTGCTTGGAGCTCCCCCTTCAGATTGCCATTGGACATGAAAGATATATGATCATGATGTATGATCATGATGTACACATACATGAAGAAAATGCTTTCACGTGATTGTGCCGGTGGAAAGCATTTGCTGCGTACCCGCGAAGATGAAACCCCTGTAGCTCACTCTCTGTTCGTTCGGTCATCATGTGCACCTTTGTTAACCGCATCTATCTACAGAACACATCAGATTGTGCCAAAACAAAGTGCCTCGGGCCTTCCCAGCAGTCACATCATGGTTGGTGGGAAGTCACTCTTTCACGTCCAAAACAAACTGCCTTGATCTCTACCCACAACGCCCCCACATCAACACCACCAAGGGATTACAATATCTGTGTGGTCACACAGACAGGCTGCTTCAAACTGATGCCAGAAGGGCGAACGAAGAAGAGACAAACATTCACTCCTTGCTTCATCATCATCATCATATTGTACGCGTCGGCGAGAGAGAGCGGCTGGGAGTGCGACCGATAGTGATAAAAGTCGTTATAGCGCAGTCGAGCTTAAACTTCGTGGACGGGGTGCACGTCACTCTAGTACGATGCATTCCTTGCCTGGCGCGCAGAGCACCTTAGTTAGATAGGTGCGAATCCTCCCTCCTACTGGTACATTTTGTTCCGCACATCTTCAATTTTGCATGTCAAACTACTATCTATCATCAATAATCAATGCAATGCCGGCTACATACATACAGCATTTCGGAAGAAAAGGTGCACATAGACATCCCCGTCCGCGTGCCCAGACGCACAGCAAAGGAGTCGCGGATATACACATGAGAACGGGGGAAAATGGGCCGGGCCCCTCAAGCGGAGATACATTGACCTCCCACTCGGGAGGCGAAACAAACGCGGTCAACATATATATGATATCAACGTCCACGGGGGCTTATGCCCGCAAACCGAGGGCGCCTTCCCCGGATATTTCTCTTCGCGCCGGAGGTCCGTCGATTCGTTTCATATGCTAGGCCGGCGCAAACAAACGTTGTCAGCACGCCGATACGGATCAGGTTATAACAACGTCACCTGCCACAGCATCTCCAACGCATGAAACCAAGGCCGTCTCTTCCTTACCGGCCAGATCTACATACTTTTACTGTGTCTACTTATCTCCTCGTTTGGAGGCTCCTTTCCACCAACAACATTGGTAATGCGAACCCGTTATCGGAAACCTTTTTTAGGTTCAATCTGCACCCATCAGTCGAAAAACCACGTGGTGTCGAAATCGTTCCTCTCCTTCCCCTACCCCATACATACTCACTGCTGTTCCATCGAGTACCACTGGCGGTGTTTGTCTACACGTTGCTACGGCACCCCGAAGCGTTCCTAGCGTTCAACCCCCTAGGGGTTACAGATATGACGCCGGGACAGCGGGAGCATCATTGTTACCGGTCGATGTCAGCGAATACGCCTTGGACCCATCGCCACCTGGAGTAGCGCAACAAGTGTTCCATGCAAAGGAGAACAGTTAAAGTTGCTGTGGAGAAACATAACCATCAACCAATCAATGTGGGACAAGACCAAGAACACCACACAGGTTAAAGAGGCTCGTTTCCCACCATGGCCGACCATGGGTCAAGTGTTTGTTAAGCCGTTTTTTTCACGGTGGAATCGTCCACCACGTTGAGACTCATGCCAAACTGCACACAGTTTTCTTGGAAGAGATATTTTCTCAGCCTGTGGTAATTCGTTTCGCATTCTTCGAGCTGGGTTGCATATTGGATGCCTCACCGCTGTGGGTCCTGTGCTGAACAGTAGCGGAAACAAGAAAGTCGATGGACCGGCACAGGAACCTTGCGTCCATATTGCTGCTTGTCTCAAACCCTAGCCTGCCTTCGCCATCAGCCGTCATCCACACACACTGCGCGATGGAATGTGGGTGGGCGCGGTTAACATCCGCAGTCGTGAACGAAAGTCGGTGCTTCTGATCCCATGACCATGGGCCTCAGACTGCTCCACGTGGAACGTGGTGAACCTCATGAGGCCTTATACGATGGGCAGGGTTGTGCCCATGATTAGAGAATTTACTTCTACGAACACGCCGTGCAGCTACCTACCTTATGTGTCGTCTACTGTTTGTTCGGGTATTCGGGTATCGGGTACTACGGCAAAGGTACACATGTAACGCGGGACACAGAGCGATTTCACGTTCAGCTACACCGCCCGCCTGGTCGGAGTACGCGCTCACATTGCCGCTGTGCTCGACCTTAGCGATGTCAGCTATGCGGACCTCTCGTTGTTCCCGTGGGAAAAGGCGTTTCGAGTTCCACACGATGGCGCCTCCAAGCGGTGTTCCGTCTTCCAGACTGTCCATCTCGTTCCATGCGAAACGGATGGTTCGGTCTGCCCACTTCCCACGCTGGTCACCGAGAAGAGAATAAGAAGTGTATGCGCGAGCCAGCAAAGCAACAATGCGTGGGATAGTAAAGTGAACGAGATGGAAAAGGGTTTTGAGGTGTTGTAGGACGACCAGCCTTGCCGGGTATACCATATTGCCCAAATACGAACTCTTACGACTGTGCGCTGCGGCGCCAAATGTCTCACATCCCGCAAGATGCTATTGCGCCCGCCGAAATGATACCTTTCAGCAACGAAGAGGCTTCCGGCACGCCTTGACACGGCTTGAAATACATCCACAATTCTCGGTGACTTAGTTACCGCTCACCTCTGAACCCCCGGTGCCAAACGTCATGCTGCGCTGATACTTCTTCACGGCAAGCCCGGGACCTTCGGGACCCATCAATAGTAGAAACCGTTCAAGCACCTATAGAAGGGGATGTCGGGATCGAAGGTGTGTACTTGCGTTTGATCTTCATGATGGGCGAGGAGGAGCTCACACACTGGCAGTTATCAAGGGTTGTGCGTCTGGAACCTCGATAGACGTGCGTCTGGAACCTCGATAGACGAAAATGAATCCTCACGAAAATGAGACTAGTTAAGAATCTTGTTCTGCCAATCCAGACCCTTTTCTTCAGCCACCCTTGCAAGGATTCTCCAGTTACCCTGGAACAGCTGACTTCCTATTCCTGAAGGCCTCGACGACCGATTGTGTCAATATAGATAGGCGTTCACAGTTGGGTTCCCGCAGAGAATACTCTCCTAGAATACCTTTGAACGAACCACGCCTTCGCCCCGGTTGTCTTGTTCTTGCATGCTTCGCACTTCAGACAGGGCCATGTCTACATTGCCAAGGTACTGCTCGCAAGTTAAAGGCAAGCAATGGTCGCGGCAGAGAAACACGAGGAACCTCACTTAGAGGATTCTGGTATGACATACGTAGAGATACATCGAACCTCCTACCAGTCAAATAGCTATACATATTGCCGTCGTCTTTCGTACTTCTGTAGTAGATCAACAAGTGATGCATCACAGGAAGTATCACACGGAGACAGGCCGTGTGTGGCAGACAGCCACAGATGGGGCACAGATTTCGTGGCCGCTCACCTCGACCCGCTGCAAAAGCGCAGCCAAGGACGGTCCGCGTTTCGTGGGCAGCCATTCAATGTCCTCCATGAGCTCATCTCTTTCTGAGGTGGTACGAACGGGGCGATTGCATGAGAATCCTCACAACAGGAAATGCATAGTCGAAAAACTGGACTCTAGCAACCGTGGGGTAACCCTTTCAGTACTTCATAGTTTTATGTCGACTGCTATGTAATGCATTGATTGGCGGTATTGCTCCTGTTGCTTTTTTTGTCGCCGGACTTTGTCTTCAGTCCGTCATGCTTCGATCACTCGAGTCGTTCGATTTCCCTGTGGTCGTACGTGCGCATTCGGAAAAAGTACTTGTCATGGGAATTCGATCTGTCGGCAGCTACTTTTGTCATTACCCGGGTGGAAAAAACTCGAGAGGCCCTCATCTACTCCGTCCTCTGTTCCATCTCCCATATATTCTCGCTGGAGAAGACGGTCGGTGGTCATGGGAGCGGGAGTAAGGGGCTCCTCGACCAAAGAAGCAGCTGCCCGTAGCGAGTCTGGCCTATGCTCCTGCCGCTTCTGCCAGGGGCAAAGTGGGAGGCACAGTTCTTCCAATATTTGTGGGCGAAAACATGCTGTGTGATCGTTCTATCGCAGCTGCATCGTCAAAGGACTCGATTGAAGTTTGTCCACGACAGGAATACTTACGAGGTTACTTCTCGAGCCTGTCGATGCGCTATACCCCCCATTCTAAGCTATAGAGTAGAGTTAGACTACAGTATATCTCAATTTCATTGAAACTACGCCACCTGTTGCCTGCCTGGATTATGGAAGGGAAAGTGTACAACGGCAAGGTGTGCTCGGTTCATCGTCGCGAGAACCCTACATTCGCATTATTTTTGGCATGGTATGATCTGACCTATCTAAACAAAATTGTTCGTTTGTCGCAAGTCGGCCGACTGACGCGTAGGTTGGGATATAAGTAGAGTTCAACCTTTCTTTGAAGACTGCCGAGGCCACGCTGGGACGAAGGGATGCCGTAGGGCGCATTCTGTCCAGATCCGGCAATGCGCAAGTCTTCATTTGTTGATGGCGCCAGCTCTTGAGCCGGCGCGTAGAGGTTAGCATGAGCCGAATGCGACGGCAGGCGCTGTCCCGAACGTACCACGTGCTGCCGAGGAATCAAGCCAAGAAAGAACACGCGAGCCACGAACGAGCCTTCTTGTTTTTCCAGTTTCATTCTCGCCGAAACTTCGCTCGTCGATATTTCCAAACCGTACTGAAAGCGTCACTGCTGAAATGGAACTGAAGCGTCGCTCTGCTGCGCGCACAATGTATATTTTGGTGCGAATCAAATTTACGGCGCGGTTCGTTCATGTAGCCTTACACACACGCGAAGTCTATAGCATATGGCGAACCGACGCGCGCGAGCACCGTCAACTACTGCACATGTGTACCCATGTACCATTCGTTTCTCTGCATGAAGTATTTACACCACGTACTGAGCCACCCCATTTTAGTGATGTGTTTGATGAGATCATTGGCGTTCTTGTAAAGAAACAATTCAAAAATTCTGAGGGGTGCCTGTATGGATACATACAAGCGTGCAGTTTACCTCTTGGTTCAGCTCCAGATCCTCTGCTAGGGGGAAGGTGGGGTCGTTGGCCACCTCGGGTGGATCTGAGTATGCGTCATCCCCGCCGCCGCACCAGGTCGTATGCATACATGCCTCGCTTTTCGACAAGGTGGAGCCCATTCTGTTAGCGACAGGAGTGCGTGACCAACAAAAACTCGATGGACTCGCCGCAAAACGAGTTCTTCACATGACTAGTCCGCGGCGAGACATCTCGTGTTCACACGATGTCGTCGCAAGTCGAAAGGGTATAAGAGGTGTGCCCTTGTTTTGTAACGGCGATTTGTTTTTAATCCCTCTTCAAAATTACTGAACTCCATTGAACCCCCCTGCATTAGCCTGTTTGCGATGCCCCCGGTCGCATTGCATTCCTGTCAACAACGCTGCTGCTGTGATACATATGCATCACTGCATGCTAGCATTGGCAGTGAACCATGACGGATCGGGCAGACCGGGCCGTGGCCCAGACCAAGAAGGTGGCAGCGGATCCCATCAAGCAGGCAGAGCTCATGCTGGCAGAGGGCGTGGGCATGAGTGAGTGGATCGGTGTACAAAAATAATCAAACGTGTGCCCGCGTGCGCTGAGCTACAGGTCTTTCCATCGTGCATGGCATCTCCGGAGGGCCACACCAAACTACACATCATACATGACACATTACAGCAGGCATGCCACGTTACAGCAGACAACAGAGCGAAGTTCCTTGTTGCAATCAAGGTGCAGAACGAGTCAGCGCGGCTACAACCAGAGCGGTAGTGCGAGGTTCTCTTTGCAGCTGGCGGCATGTCCTGTTTTGGGTTTTGGGTGGAAGCCTCTCTTCCTCTCTCCACGATCGCACCTACGTATGTATGGTACACTGTAGGGAAATTTGCACGCATGCGTGTACGTTGCTGAACGCGTCGGCGTCTCTACGGCTCCACGGAGCGTAAGTTCACCGCTTGGTATGTGCCTCTGTGCCCGCTCTCCTTCTTCAAGAAAACATCCACAACGTGTCGCGAGATGTTTTTCGTTCTGTTCATCACGGTAGTACAGGGTAGTTCAGTTTTGGGCACGCAAACGTGCTGCAGGGATGAATAGGTGTACCTCTTCGGGCTTGTGTACCCTTTTCTTTGCTATTTAGCTATTTCGTTTGCTTGTTTTTTAGGTCTTCTGATGGCTCTAAATATTTAGCATTTTTGTGACCACGGACCGCGTCTTTGCTAGATTTTGGGATCAGCAACTGACACGAGTTTAATGTGAAGACAACAACAGCAGCAACAACAACAGTAGTGTATGAAAGAAAGCAGCTAATAATAGTGACACACCATTTTACTACTGCTGGACTGCTGTAGCAGTAGACCCAACAAGTGTGTGTTCTACAGCAGCCGGCAGTACATCCGGCGGGGGCAGTTTGCGTTTTTCTCCGGGTCGGGAAATCGCGTGTCGAGGATTTCTACATGTACGATGCCCATACCGCCCCCATACGCAAGGAATGTTTTTCTGTTGCTTCGCAAACATGCTGTGCGTTGAACCATTCCTCATTACGCGGTACAAGCAAAGCTGCCGCCGACTCAGCTTGTGCTACGGAACACACGTTGGTTTCCGGAAATTCTTGTCTCTGGAACGCCACAACGCCACCAACAGATGAGTGAACATCCCTCCCAATCCCCAACCCCTCCCAGACGAGTCCGACATGCGAGAAGTCAACCACTTCCTGTTGGAGCTCAAGAACGGTAGCGAGAGCCGTGGCGAAGGAGTCATCTGTGAGATTCCCCATTCGGCGCCGGCAAACGAAGTACGCGCGGGATCCGGCTTAGGTCCATCGTCCGCGGAGAACACCGGCTTGGACCCCTTGCAGAGTGCATCCCCGGATACGAAGGTGTGAATGACCTCTAAATATATTGCTTCGTATAGTTGTGCTTCTCACAGCAGAAGGGAGGATTTATGTAGTACCGCCGTTGCCAAAACGAAACGAAGTTGTTCACCAAAAATGCACTCGCTGAAAATCTTTAGCCAAAGGGGGTGGATGCTATTTATGGGTGTGAGGAAGACCGATCTTGATTTGACTGAGTTTGAAACGAGAGCAAGAGCACCCAGCGATCGCACACGAGATATGTAGATACATGAGACCAGGTGGGAAGTGTTCCGAAAATAAAAATATCCTTTCGTTGTCGCACAGAGCAGCGGTTGGGGCTTGTTTCCACCAGCGTATCACGCAGTCTACCCTGCACACACCTCTCAAATCAATGCAAATTTCCAAAATTCTAGAGTCAAGACAAAACAGGCGACACGACGGGTGCTAAAATCGTGGGTAAGTTCGATGCGAACTCGGTAGAGGACATGATGGAGCAGCGAAACGCGCGTTGCGCGTCCAGATCTGTGTGTTGTTGCCGGGGCGTGCTGTCGAAGGCTGCAGCGGCGATCCGAAACGTGCGCAAAAATGCGTCCATACCCTTTCACGATCCACTGCTGTACATGCACCATCACAGACCCGAACCCCGGAACTGCTGGTCTACACCGATAGCGCGGGCGAGTTGTTTGGGTTCCTTACCATCTCGATTAAAGCACATTTTCGATATCGATTTCCGACAACCCTCTACAAAGGAACGGTGGAAATAACCGCGCTGGGAAGCGACCAAGCTTCCAAGTCCCGAAAAAGCCTCCTACCAAAGCTACGCCTCATGAACGGAATGGCCGCTCGCTTCTGGCCGAACTGGACAACTCACGAATGGATCATTGGCGAAATCTTGAAAATACGCTTAATTCATGCATGTCGGAGTTGTCTCGGCTCCAATCAGTAGCGATACTCCCGTCTGCGAAGGGATACATGTGGTCCATGCCCAAATCTCTACCGCCGGTGCTTGATTCACAGGGTGGTCGCCAACTCCTGCTCGACGCGGCTCTTGAGGCGATGAAGGTTGCCGAGGACCCTTCTACGAAAGGCGACAGAGTGCTCATGGCGAGAAGCTTCCACACGGCCACGGTGTACCTAGAGGTCTTGAGCTCGTTCAACGCTCTCGGTCCAGGTGTGTCTACAGACAGTAGCTGGATTGTGCGTTATCGCGGAGTACTGAGGCCGGGCACAAGGTCAGGGTCCGTGGTTCTCGATCGGAACCCATGTCGTATCAACGCAAAGCGCCGGTTTGGTTGAGTGTTGCTCGGCTGCTTGCGGCCATGACATTGTTTGTGGGGCTTTCTTGGATGGCTGTCCCCGCACACCGCTCTCGCCTCTTGCTACTATGTCGGTTTCATGGAGCGGGTCGTGCAACGCGTCCGCTGGAGTCAAAAGACTCCCGATGATTGCCGTAGGGGCGCCGCTGTCGCTCGCTTGATTGACCCCCCTCCCCCTTCCCGTTGCCGTGCCGTGCCGTGCCGTGCCGTATGAAGAACACGAGCGGCAGCTCCAGTACACCAAGTGGCGCACGTACCAGTGCTCTCACCTGCTGGAGAACATCAAGCACGAGTTCCTAGAGACGGAGGGCAGGGTGGACGACCACTACTTCTTGGAAAAGGCGAGAGGTTTTTGTTGTGTTTCGTCTTCCTGGGAGACGGATAAACACAACAACTGCAGGATAGAATGGCACTACAGCAGTACGGTACAGCAGTGCGCTGTTGTACATGCGAGGACGGCGGCGTAGTCGGCGGCCTGCCCCGCACACACCACCTTGAGATGTAGCAGAGGCAGGCGACACGCGCAATGAAAAACGTCCACGTGCGATCTGACAGCCCTGCTAGTAGCTAGTTACGTGAGGCGATTGGCAGCGTTTGACGCTGGAGATGCTCGCTGCTTCAACCTTCCAGTGGTATACAGAGAAGCACCCACGATCATGGGCTGAGTATCCTTTATTGATGGTCGCCTTTCGGTGGAACGGGACCTAAACCCTAACAGGACAAGGAGCTTGGGCGGGGCACTTACGGGAGGGTGATCCAAGCGACACATAGAGGAACGGGCCGCCAGTACGCTTGCAAGGTGGTGCACGTTACCCGCATGGAGCCCCGTCAGGTTTCGAAGCTCTTCTCCGAGGTGTCGGTGTTACGCGAGCTCGATCATCCGCACATCGTGCGAATGCGCCAAGTTTTCTACTCCAAGGTCCGTAAATTATTGATGTCTTTCTGCTACACGTAGAGTTCTTCACTTCTGGTGGTACAGTACTGTATTGGAAGCATCGCGGCTGGATTGCACGGAGGAGATGTGGAGATGTGCCGTTGTTGATACTGTAACCCCCACGACCCATGAGGCCAGGATCCTATTCTGTTTACATTTGTTTGTCACTATCCCATGTAGTACCGTCGTCCTGACAAAGGGGTAGATTTACCTAGTACTACTGTCCTATTGTCTTATCTCTGGAACTCTGGAGCCCCGACCCGGTGTGTGTTGGGCATGGTATCCAATGCTGAAGTGGCCGCATGTCGTGATTTGTGCGTGGTGGTCGTGAACGCTCTCTGGTTTGTAATAACGGCTATCTATTTCCTGCGTTTCCGTTTAGCATCGTCTCGGGCAGGGGAAATTGCAGTAGCATCTCGACCCGGGTATTGTATCCCTTCCGTATTTCCCACTTCCGGCGTATGGTCGTGCCGGTTCAGCGGTATGTATGTCCTGCTGCAACTCTCTCACCGGCCAATCTTAGGAGGCGATAAAATGCATTATTGGCCAATTTATCCTGGACTTTGCACCTGTGTGTGGATAGATAAGAGGTGAATTTACATTGTTTTTTGCAAGCGAAACAGAAGACCTTGTTCGCTGTTTGTAAGGAAAAAAAACGTTGGAGCTTTTCTCGGGGAGAGCTGTTCTTGTTCTTGACCCTGCGGCCTCTCCTCCTCCCCCTACCCACCCCCCGCCACAGCGGCACATCTACATGATCATGGACCTTGCCACGGGAGGCGAACTATTCCACCTCGTCACCAAGAACCCAGGAGACTGCGCCACGGAGCCGGAGATCAGGAGAATGCTCACCAATATGCTCAGCGCCGTAAGAAACGAAATCCTTGGTTGTAATATTGCGTATGTTTCCATAAGTTGCCCATCAACACAATGATTCTTCCCGCTTTTGTTACGTTTCACTTGACGCTAAATTTATGCTGCTTAGAGACTGAATTATACGGTCATCGTCGCCATTGTTCCGTGAAGAACATTGGTGTCGATTTGGTTGGCGCATCTTTGTGTAGTTTAGTGTAGTGCAAGTGCTCCGGCAGCGATGCTCCTTGGAATATCTCGCCAAGTCGCTCGCTCGCGCATCCTGACGGCACTTTGTCTCTGCATCCTTACCTGAACCTGCTCTTTGTCTGTCCGTCCGTTTTATCCTGTTGTCGTGCATCCGCGGCCATGCATGCATCATGCGCGCCCCGTGTGGCAGGTGGGCTACATGCACCGCCACGGCATCGTCCATCGCGACCTGAAGCTGGAGAACTGGCTGATGCAGACGCCGGGGGACACGACCGCCGTCAAGCTGATCGACTTCGGCCTCTCCAAGCACTTCACGCTGGACCAGAACATGCAGCAAGCGGTGGGGTCCACGTACTACGTCGCCCCAGGTGACGCGAAACAAAGACCGGTCTAGGTAGCAGCCGTTGCACATCTCTCGCTTTTCCTCTTTCGCATGTGCACGCACGTTGGCGTTGGTTTGCGAGATGTTGGGGTGATATTAAGGCGGGTGAATATGAGTTTGTGATGGAACCGCCCCCCCCTTACTTTGTAGCTTACACGCCTGGCCCCGAGCGCTTGGCAGCGGACGTTTTTCTGCTGTGCTCCGCGCTTGTACTGCCGCAGGCAGGGCATTACAGACCAACACTCATTCCGGTGGTTTTGGCAGCCTCTGTGTACGTTACGTGTCTCCTGTAAACACCTACTACTACTATTCTTGGAATGCTCCATCGTTGTCGCGGCTGTCTCCGTCTCTCTTCTGACACGAGATATCAAATGTCCGTTTTACGCCCGTGAAATGTCAACGAACGTTTGATGCAGAGGTCTTGCAAGGCTCTTACGGTCCTAAGTGCGACATGTGGAGCATGGGTGTGATCGCGTACATGATGGTCTCCGGTGCGCCGCCTTTCTGGGGAAACGGCGATGCGCAGGTGGGCCTTGCTGTCCATCTGGCTTGATGCGTACTCTGCACCGCGCGTACATGATGCGTTGTGTAGGGAGACGTGTGGTAGCAATCGTTACCCTTTGCCGTTGGCGACAGGATGGGCATTACACCGGATGCTGGCATGAACGTGGACGGGTAACGGGGGGGGGCGTGAATAATTCTCCGCTCACGGTCTCACTTCTGGTTGTTGATTGGTCAGTCTTTCTTCAAGACCTCAAGCTCGAACGTCGTAGATTTTCGCCTGGAACGTGTATCCCATTGTATACTTTTTGTCGCCCCGCGTGACACGGCAGGTCCGCGCGAAGATCGTGTGCGGGGAGTACGACATGCCCGATGTGTTGTTCCAGCACATCTCTTCCGACGCGAAAGACTTCATCACCAAGCTCCTCGTGGTGGACCCGAAGGAGCGGCTGAGCGCCGAGCAGGCTCTCGCGCACCCTTGGCTTCGCCGGCCTTCAAGGTACGTGCTTTGTGCGATGTCCTCCATTGCTGTACAACGCTACTGCTGTTGTGTTTACAACATCGTTCGATGCAGCTCCTTAGCAGACGTGGGCACGGCTAAGCGAGGCAGCCCTCCACGGCGCCTGTTCGCTGGGTGCACCTCGGTATACGTGGGGGGGTATGTGGGCGCCGAAGCACCGTGCGTCCTTGGGCCTTTCGGAGGTCCGTCTAGTACAGTTGTTGAGTCCGTGTCCGCCGGGCAGCACAGCCGACGTGCACTAACTGCCCCCCGCTCGCCCGCCCGTTGTGTGCTCATTGTCACCACGGGGTGACTGGGCTACTGTCTCCCGTCTCTATTTACTTGTTCACGCGCCTACAGTAGATCCCCGAGCTCGACGACTGCAAGTGTTCTACCGAAAGGCGATCTAGTTCGAGCACTGCAGCAGTTCAGCAGCTTCAGCACCTTCCGACGTCTCATTCTCGAGGTGCCTCCCCCCCTGGCTTGACTTGCTTGTTTTCGGCATGCTGCAGAATGGACGCCCTTTGGTACAGCATGTAGGAGGATGCCGATATGTGCACACTGTGAGGTCCTGCGAAGGTAGAGACCGTGATGCGGGGCTCCGTGACATGTTTGGCGATGCTTTCTCCTCTCTCAGGTGTGCGCGTACAACATGCCTCCGGCGGAGCTGGAGGGACTGAGAATAACGTTCGAGGCGATCGACAAGAACCACAGCGGGACCGTGTCTCTTGAGGAACTCGGCAGCCACCTACAGGTGAGGCAGGACAGTCGTACTCGAAAGGCACATGCATGGCTTCCGCACATGGAGGAGACCTATAGAAGCCGAAATCAAGCCATTGGAACAGTCAGCACTGACTAGTGTAGTGGTTTGGAGCAAAGTAGGGTTTGCTGACTAGTGTAATGGGTTGGTTTCGTCTTGTAAACGCCTTTGGGTTGATTTACTGCCTAGGTTACTACGGTCAGCGAACCCCTTCGATAAAAAGCAAGACCAGCAAGTAGAGTGTGCTAGTTCCGCCGATGCACGCGCATCTTACCGTGGCTAGAGTGAGGCTACGGTCGACACCCCCGGTGTGCTTTAGCTAGAAATTCCTCGTCGCAGCAGAGTGGAAGTTCGATGTCAGCGTTGGAAGCACGCGTGATGATTGTTCAATGCAATAACTATTTCAGTTAAATTTAAAGTACCTACACACAAACAAACGTGAATTAAACTAATACCCATTGAAATCTCGATACTGCTGGTTGGTGATCGCTTTAGTGCAAACCTGCCGGAACCTCTTAAGAATCCAATTGGCTCCTGGTCCACCGTCGAACGTGTTGTTACCGCGGCTTTGGCTCGCCCAGTTTTCCTTCTTTTCGAGAGCGCTGTCACTGCTGCCAACGTGTGACAATCGTACACAATGGCCGCCGTGTGCCCACGCTGCCATCAGGCTCACGTCTCGTGGTCGGAGCTGCAGCAGCTTTATGAGGCCGTCAACGTCGACCGTACCACGGAGATCAACTACAACGAGGTGAGTGTCATTCCGAGGAGCAGCTGCGGCCTGGTTAGCAGGCGGTAGTAGCGAGGCGGGAGGGAAATATTTAGGCAAGGGAATGACGATGCTGTGTTGCTCTACGGGGTGGGGTGGGGGTGGGGGGGGGGGTACGCAGATTCGTCGATTATTTCGTCAATAGAGTACATCTCCCAGCTACTTGTTGCACGAATGCAAGCTGAATGCTTGCATGGTTCCAAGAGGTGGTGCTTCCTGCCGAGAGCACACTATACAAGGTATCTCCCTTGTCAGGGAAGACCGTTGGCACGTGTGTCACCCGCTGGTTTGCCGCTAGAACCAACCTCTTGTGCCCCCCCCGCCTTCTCTACCCGCAGTTCATCGCAGCAACGGTGTGGACTCGTGTCAACATGGACGAGGAGAAACTCCATAAGGTGTGTGCGTGTGCCAGGCGTGTACGAGGTTATTTACCGATCCTTATTCTGGTGGAGTTGTGCAAGTCGAGTTTTGGGGCCCCCACGAGAAACTGTTGTTCCACACGATATTTGAGGTAGGCATGTGTACCCACGTTTTGGGTAAACCGACGTTGTCCTAGCGAACTAGATCGAGTTCCAGTACCCCCCCCCCTCCCTGCACAGGTTTGTCCATTATCTCGGCGTGCTGCCCTTCTCCGCTCCGCTCATTTTCATTTGTCGAGAGGCTCGCGTTGGATGACTCCTCCCCTTAGGACACAGCCTAAATTCAGCTGTGAATCGGTTGTCTATTATATTTCGTGTTGGACACATGACCGCGAGCCGTGCTTCGGCGACGGATATTCGATTTCTTCGCTCGCGGCAGGTTTTCGAGAGCCTCGACCGAGAAGGAAAGGGCTTCCTCACCGCGGAGGGTATCAAGCAGGTCGTCGGGCTAGACTTCCAAGCCGAAGAGGTGCGGGAGGGAGGCCCTGGCAAAATACGGTAGCGCGCGTGGTACGAACGTTGCTGCCCTCTGGCCGCGGCGCCTGTGTTGCAAGAAACAGGACGAAAAATCGCAGCAAGAAATACTGTTTTATATTGTTTCAAGTACGAAGATACACGGGATCGAAACCGAAGTGGCCATTCCATGCCATCGAGTGTGGTGGCAGAAAATCGCCCGTTATGGCTGGAAATGTCGGAAACCATTGCACCCTGTCGAGAACTCTAGTTAGCTGTCCGCTAAATCAGCTCGCATGACCATCCGTGTCTGTCAGGTGGACCACATGATCGCGGAGGCGGACGTTTCAGGCGATGGCCGTGTGGATTACTCCGAATTCGCACACTTGTGGAAAACGTCTCTCCTGCAGAAGCACCACAAACCCGCGACTGGCCGTTTGCAACAGGTGTGTGCAACCCGACGGGGGCGTTACCACTACTGTTGGGTTCTGTTGGCAGTTGTTGTCGGTGTGGACGGTGCAATCATAGTACCTGTTCGGCACTACAGTAGGCGTGCTTGAGTTCTTCAAGCCGCACAAACTATGTGTGTGGGTAACGTTTTGTCACATGACACACACGCAAGGTATCAATATATCAATCTTGTCTCACTTTCTTGGGAGTTTTCTGCTGACAGGCCGGCTTGATTAATCGATCGATGAACTCACTCTCGACATCGGACCCTGACAGCTTTCCTGGGTTTAACACTCTCTGCTTGTCACCCCTCCCCCCTCGCGCGCGCTTCTCCTCCATAGGTTGTACGCAGGTTTGGCAGCTTCGGGAGCAAGTTGGAAGCTGCTACCGGAGGCTTGGGTGCAAAGCTAGCGCGGTAATTGAGCGCTTTAGCCTCAAGCTAGCGCGGTAATTGAGCGCTTTAGCCTCGGCGGCAGCACTAGATTAGATTGATACATGAGAATTGTTCGTACTGGTGCTGCCCAGGGATTGTTTGAGGCTGGCTGTGTATAGATACAAGAGAACATTGCTCTGGTCGCACAAGCCCGGTGCAGCTCCAGAGCTCAAGCTTCAAAGGTTCTCACCTCCCCAGGTTGTTTTATTTTATTTTACTGAGTGCAAAAGTACAGCAGTTGGTGCATTTTGCAAAGGACTTCATTTCTTTTATATTTGTACAGGGAGTCAGTGTAACTTGAAAATGCTGGGTTGTGATCGCCGCATTATTCTTTGGTAGCAAGCATAAGCCCCCTATGATTTTGAGCACCCCCTATGATTTTGAGATGTCGAGCTGTGACGTGGTTGCACCAGTTTGTTGGGTTTACCAAATACATTGGTGACCTGTGCTCACGTCGTTTAGCAGTGCCAGCTACATATATTTTTTTCTGCACGCTGCATGCATAAGAATCGTTATGTTTTCTTCTCTCCACTTGTTGTTGTCGCACGACATGATTTATCATTTCCTCGATGTTTTTGTTTTTTCTGTTTTTTTTCTCCTGTTTTGTGTCGGTGAAAAGAATCGTATTTCGTCTGTTTTGTGTCTGTCTGTCTTGTATTGAAAGCGAACGATCGCCCTGTTTGAAACTTTTGAGGTCAGCAATGGAAGGTATTCTGCATGGCCTGTGTTGCACTGGGAATTCAGTAAGCGCGATCTTGTCTTGTTTGTGTCGGTGAATGTATCGTATTATGTCTGTCTGTCTGTCTTGTATGGTATTGAACGAACGATCGCCTGTTTGAACCTTTTTGAGGTACTTTTTTATGTACCGGCATGGCCTGTTTTTGCATTGGGAATTCAGTTGATGGTGCCATCTTTTGGTGTAGTGTCCGCCATCATCGGTGCATTCGACTGCTGCAACGCAGGCTGTGAATGCCTACAAGCCTATGCATATAATAGGTGTTTTCTGCACTATGTTGCATCATCAAGACGCCGGCGACACTGGTGCTGTAGCGATTGGGGGGCGCGGCTGTGGGCAGGAAAGTAAAGCGAACGCCGACAAGACGATCTCGCCCAGCATGCAAATCAATCAATTTTTCTTTCGGTCTTTGTCGCCACAATTCAAAGGAGGATGTGGTGGGAGTTTCTGAAGGGTATGCACACCTCCAACGATTCTTGCTCTTTGCTCGACCCTCACCGCCCAAACGCCTGATCTGATCAACTACACGATGATACCGCCACCCCGGCCGCCCTGTCTTCAACGCCTGGTGCACCGCCCCGCGTTCGTCAATAGTTGAAGTGTGCCAGTGCAACTCGGTCGAAAAAGAACACAATGATCTTGGCGTACGAAGAGCTGGCTGTATTCCGTGAAAAAAGAGACGGCGAGGTCACCCGCGTGGCTGCGGGCGCATACGCAAGCAGCAGGGCACAAACTGTATGCTCGGAACCGCGTCAGACCGCCACCTGCTCTATGCCACTTTCCCGAACGACAAACCGACAAGACACGGCTGGGGCAAGGGGCGATTTCGTCAGGTGCATCTCCCGATGGCCATCGTGTTGCTCCAAGATCAACCTGTTGGAAACACAGTGATGCCACGTATTCCCTAGGGCGGGGATGATGTAGCTGTCTCCCCGCCCCCCGGATACCTCTGTCTCGAACGCCGACTTCCCCTCCCGCGAGCTTGAGTTGGTGTGGCTCGCGATGCTCTGCCTGCTGCCCCCTTGCAGTCCCGACGTGGGGTAGAAACTTGTGGTGACTTGGTTGGTCACCAGAACCACCGCCGAAAAGGTGTAGGCCAGGCTCCTGCAGTGTCGAAGAGAGATGATCATCATCGACGGATTCGTAGGAAAGGTGGAACACACTTGTGCACGAGGGATGCATGAAGCAACGAAAGGCCAAAATTCATGTACAGGCTCCGTTTGCACGATGCGATTGTTGGCACCAAACAGGCATGCGGCACCGCCACCTCTCCGAAGCGCTACCCCAGGCTGTTTACATTTCATATAATTGTACACTGAATTTAATGCGATGGCACTTATCACCCTGAAGAAGGTCAATGAATCGCAGAAGGTCATTGAGGTGCATAACCTCCCTCCCTTCTTCCTCGCTTTCTCACTTTAGGACTGCTGCTTGTCGGGTGAGGAGTTCTTGTCGGCTCAACGTATCCTCTCTTGCAAAATCCTGCGAGAAAAAAGAAACGAGGAGAAACGCGGCAAACAGCACACCGATGACAACGGTGGGTTCATCGCTTGTTCCGAACACGACACACGCGTTGACTTACAAAACGACTCTTGCGACCAAAAATCGGCGTTGTGGTATGTATGTATCGGTGCACTTCGAAGACCTACTGTACAGCTACCAAACGTCCATGAGTTAGGCTCACATGGAATGATGGGGATGGTGTTGAAGAGAGAGGAATATGTCATGACCACAGACAGGTGTACGAGGCCAAGTCAACGTGGCCGGCGCGGGGGAAAACTACCCCGGTGATGGTATTTGATGGCTTGAAAAAAGTTATCTTCACCACCGGTGGTCTATCTACTGTTGTTTTACTGTGTTGTGTCTCGAGAGGGTCGTTGCAGTACTGCGGTACAATTGTACTCACCCGACGAGCGAGAGCTGCGATGGAATCAAGAACAATCAGACGGACGTTGCTCTCGATCATGCGGGCCTGAAGAGTCTCCAAGCGATCCACGAGGGCGGCGGAGTTGTCGACCGGGAAGACGGTCACCTTCACAACCGCCAATCAGAGAGAGACCCATCGACAGAGAGAGACCCATCGACAGAGAGAGACCCATCGACAGAGAGAGAGAGAGAGAGAGAGAGAGAGAGAGAGAGAGAGAGAGAGAGAGAGAGGTGAGAGAGAGTTGAGAGAGAGTTGAGACAGAGTTGAGACAGAGTTGAGACAGAGTTGAGATAGATAGATAGATAGATAGATAGATAGAGAGAGAGAGAGAGAGAGAGAGAGAGAGAGAGTTGAGATAGAGACAGAGATAGAGACAGAGAGAGAGAGAGAGGCAGAGAGAGGGGCAGATATATATAGTGAGACACACAGACAGGCAGACAGACAGACAGACGCACACACAGAGAGATAGAGCGAGAGGGACGGCATTTGATCCGGAATCAAACATCGTGAAAGGTGGTGAAGGTACACCGTTGTTCAGAGAAAACAGTCACAACCTCGAGATGTTCTGTGCAGAGCTGGGAACAGCAGGAGGTGGCACCGCGTCAGTAGCTTTCAGCATGTGACTCTCGCGATTTACCTGATTGAGAAGGCGCTCCATCGAGCCCTTTTCGGTCGAGAATTCTCCGTAGTGCCCGGGATGTCGCTCGCTCGCAATTTCCACCAACCGGTCAGGCGAGAACTGCCATGGCGAAAAAAAAGGGATGAAGGTACGTTGCCGCTCGCAGGGTACAAAGGGGCATAGCTTTGTGCAGCAAACACGGGTAATACCTGTGTTTTGTCAAGACCATTACAGTAGTGTTTGATCTGTCAAGGGTGAGAGAAATTTGTCGCCCATGGTTGACCTACGAGACAATACTTCCAGCAGACAGACATCGCTTGGTGCGTCTCGTGCCGACACCAAACCCCAGAAACAAGCGCACCAACACGTGCTCTAAGCTACGAACGCTCAAGTCGCTTCCCCCGCGTGGTATCGCCCGAAGCTCAACCCCGCTACCCCTGGATGAAAGCCTAATACCCCCATCGGTCTCCAAAATAGCAACAAAAAAGCTAACCTTTCGCTCTGTATCTAAGTAGACCACGCCCGCGTCTTCGCCTAGGCCACCCAGCTTTGCAGGAAGGCAAGCCTGCGCAGCAACCTGGAGGCAAGTCTGCGTCTTCCCGATGCCCGCTGGTCCAACTAACTCCGTGATCATGCCCGTGGGAAAGCCACCCTATAATCATCCGCCGAAAGAGGATAGGCAGGCCGGAGAGCAACAACAACAAGGAGTGTCAGAAGTAGACGTGCAGGTTTGACGCCAAGCGCGTGACGGGTGTGCGGACTCGAATCTGTGGGACAAGGTAAAGGTGAGGCACTAAACTGAAAAGGTGAAAGTTCCGCAGGGCGGTCCTGAGGCCTCAACATACGTCGTGATCAACCATTCTAAATTGACACCGCTACGTTCTCGACACAAAAAGTCACGAGATGAGTATGGCGGAGAAACCCGATGACCCAAGACACCAAACAACAGGCGTAGCACACGTCACACCTTGGGTGCGTCCTGATATAATACATACCCTCCAGGAGACAAAGAGCAACAGTTAAACCCAAGGATTAATAGTGCTTGGAGACAGGACAAGATGGGAAGCGCAGCACAGAGCGGAACGCGATGATGCTGGTCCAGTCTACGTACCTGCAAAGCATCGTCTAGTGGTTGAATTCCTGTGGCTACGAAGAAGCTCGCGCCTGCCTCTCTTCGTTCTCGAAGGAGGTCGCCGGCCGTCTTCGCCTGCTCGGGTACGATCCTTGTCGACACGTAGTCCAGCAGCTCCACGACCTTCTCGCGGCTGGCGTCCAAGCTCTGCACCAGCTGGAGCTCGGTCTTGGAGAACATGTCTCCTGCCGTGTGCAATCCTGCAGAAGCTAACCGCGAAACGAGGTCGTCGTCGAGACCGAGCCGCCGGAGAGGCTGCTGACCAGCCATGCTTCCTGGAGGGCAAACAGCATGTGAACGCTGTGTGCGACAGCTGGGTAATGGCGGCGGGTTTGGTCTCTTAGTCGGCGATGAACCAAGGTGTAACAGCTGCTGCGAACTCGTGGCAAAGGGTGTCGATCGACGATCACCTGTGTAAACAAGGTGCTCGACAACTCATGGACAAGGCGACCACTGTCCAACATGGCTAAAAAAGGTGTCCCGCGGAAACAGCTCAGCCAATATGCACCTCCATATCTGATAGGCTTGTCGTCCAGAGACTGTACGGGGTGGAGATTTTGCCCAAGTAAGCATCTCGTGTCGTTCTTCTCGACGTGATATACATTGTATGGTACATGTTTTCTACATGAACATTTCATTGCTGACTAATATTTAGAGTTTGATCGGCAAAAAATGCGCTTGCATAAGCTACAACAACGCCAACGCTTTCTACGCATGCAGTCTGGGGTCGGTTGCAGCCCCCCCTAGCCCATCACCAACGCAGAGAAATTGAAAACTGCCTGGTGCTGGTGTTGCGGGATACAGCAAAGCACGAACTGCGCTGCTGTGATGTCCTGCTCTCAAGATATGCGTACCGCAATTTTTGAAAAATAGACAGATCTCGGTACTCTCACACTCTTACACACCTACCAGCCAAAGATCAATCTGCCCCCGGACAGAACAGAGAATAAGAGTCCGTTGTTTGTACTTGAGCAGGTGCGCGCGTGTTTGTGTGTGTGGGGAGGTTGTGTGTGAGTGTACTCGATCCCAAGCTGCGGACGGGGGCAACGCAGATAGTGCGCTAAACTACCACCCCCCTCTGGTCCGTGTCGCGTAGTACATTCTGTGGATCGTGCCCATTTGATTTCAAGTTTCGCCACACCACCTGCCACACAGCAGTACGTGTAGGCTGCTAGGATACTGCTGTGACTAGTATCACTAGAGTGGCTGGCACACCTGGCAACTTCAGAGGAACCCACTCTCTCTACGAGTGGGAGATACGATACGATACGATACGATGACTGGGTCCCAGGGAAAACAAGGAAGTAAGAACAGAGGGAACGAGACAAACTGCATGCAGCACGAAACGACAGCAGCAGCAGCCGGAGCTGCTGCTCCGGGCAAAGTCGACACCAACACGGCGTGGGATCGTCGGATACGTGGAGCGTCGTGCGTGTCATTCTTTCTGGGCTGCGTGTGGGTGCTGCTGTTCCCCCTGGTGACACTGACTACCGGAGAATCCAAACCGAGGGGAACCTTCTTCGACGAGAACGCGATGCTCGTGCACCACACTTCGACCAAGCTCACGGTCGCCGACGTCGACTGGGCGAAGCCTGCGCGGCTCACCAAAGCCTACCCTCAGCAGGTGAAGCGTTGCCCTGCAAGACCGCTATAGGGATCTAGATGTCGGCTCCTGCCCTAGAAGAATCCTGGTGTACTACAGCGTGTATAGTGTACAATGTATAATGCCTAGAGGGTGGATACCACCCAATGAGAAGTCACCAACAGTCAACGGACCCCTAACCCTGCATCGGAACATTGGGCTGCGCTCAACCGGTTATTTCTCGATCAGGATGGTGCCACGGGTGCGGAATGGGTTTGCAGAGTGCTGCATGGGATGGACCTTCCATGCTACACTCACAGCTTTTACGAGAGACCGACGTCACGCTCCGGACTGCGAAATAGGTGAACACAACATGGGAACCGTTGTGCGGAGAATCTCATCGTTCAGATTCAGCTCGTCGGGTTGTTTCGTGCGTGCTCGAAGCGGGAAACTTGTGCTCCTCTTCGAAGTGCCATGTAATGTAGCGCACGACGTAACGGAGCGTTTGTCCCCGGAAAAAATGTCGTTGGCCTACGTAGCAGACTAGCAAGGGATGTGCCACGAAATGTATAGCTGTAGGTGATCTTGTTGCGGATGGCATCACGGCTCAATGTGAGAAAAACATGCTCCAATATGTAAAAGTATCCGTATCTCCAGTATCCAGTTACAGCTCTGCATGGACTTCTTGACGCATCTTTCTACCCGGTTTTACCTCGAACGGGTAGTCTTTATTTGACGTTTTGATCAAAACTTTCTGCACAAAACTCCCATGAAATCTCGTGTGTGTGGCCTGCCTCGTGTGTGACCCCGGCTGGTGCTTCCAAACATACCGAAATGAGTGTAACCTCTGGAACAAAATAATGGGGGTGACAGCACACAAGCGCTTCGCTGCACTGCTGCTGCCTTGGTGCACCCTTTCCTGCATACCGCCTAGCGTGTACACCATACTGGACCCGGCACCAGGGTCAGACGGCAAGGAGTGCATGGTACTGACGACATCTCAAGACCTATCTGGTGCGGCGGAGGACATGCTAGACCAACCAACCTTCACGGGACTGTCGCTCTCTCTGTCGGTCCTCAAGTATCTCAAGGATCGTGTGGGGTGGATGTCGAAGCGAATAGTCGTGCTCATCGCCGATGAGGATGGGCAGGGCGTGGATCGCTTGTTCCTGGGGGTCAAGAGATTCATCGACGATTACCACACGGATACCCTGGATTTGCTCGAGAGGTGAGGGGCGTGGAAGGGCTTCAGCTTGATACGTTCTTCTCGCTCACGACCCCACCACATTGTTGAGCGCTCGGCTTATTTTGGCAGCCATTTATCTTTGCCGGCGCCGTTGTTATGGCCGTTTAAGACTTCCTTGAGAAGTTCAAAGCGTGATTGTTCTGTGCATATTGTTTTACCTCTGAGCGAAGCAACACGATGTAAAGGTCTGCCACGAAACGACCTAACCATTTCCCCCGCACTCCCCCGTCACTGCAGGTTTTGGGAGTGTCGCAACTCCGCTACAAAGTTTTATGTACCGCTGCCACACTCTTCACATCTTCCCCGCCAACGGAACATCACCGCTCCTTTTTCGTGATGTGTGATACTCTACGGACATCCGTTTCTCGTTGTGTTTTGCTGTTGTGTTTGTCGTGCTGCAGGCACACAAAGGATTCCAACATGACAAGATCGATTCAACACTGTGGAGTGATGCGGGCAGCCTTGTCTCTAGAATACGATGAGCCGGGAGAGCCTCAGGTGGTGCAATTGCTCACGTCAGGTACGACACCTCTTCGAGGCGAAGTCTGGAAGCAGTTCCGCCCGAGAAACGAATAAACTCCTCGTGGTGGAGTATGATTGATGGCCTGGATGTATTTGCACAGCAATTTGCGAGCTTTTCCTCAGCCTTTCCTCAACAAAAACAAATACAACTACACAAAAACACCCCTAACCCTGCAAAATCATGCTTTCTGCTCTCAGGGGTAAACGGCGAACTCCCGAATATGGACCTTCTCAATGTGGCAGTGATTCATCACGAACGCCAGGGAGTCGGGGTTCGGCTAGACACTTGCTCCGCTCCTCTGCACGGAGATCAACTCGCCTGCTTAGATGCAGTGGGACAGGCTGCCACAGCGGTTGACCGGCATGTGCCAAAAAAGAGCGATGCTGTTCAAGGATACTTCGACCGGCTCTTCGGGATGCTGGGTTTTATGGGATCTGCCGTGATGGGGCCAAGTGGGCCGCACGCGCACTTCTTGAGGCACAGCGTGGATGCCTTGACAATCCGAGGCCTCGGGAGGACTGGAGGGGAGCCAGCGGGCACCGGCAAGCGCGCTGTTTCTTCAGGTTCAGGCGTCAGTACCACCGCCGCCGTGGTTAGTATCATCCGCGGCGTTTCGAACTTGGAGGAGGAGCTACACCACTCGTTCTTCAGCTACATCATGCTGTCTAAGGCAGCATTCGTCTCCATAGGTGCGTTGCGTTTTCTTGCGTGCTCGAAGTGTCCCCCTGCCAAGAACTCCGTTCCTTCTTCGGTTGCTTATTAACACTTACCTGGCTCGTTGTTGTGTGCGCGCATTGCACGACTAAATATTAATCAGAACGTTGCTGCGTTTTTTGGCGAAACCGACAAGGAACAGTCAAGGCCGAGTCGTGTCGGCCACAAGAGGTGCAAGCTGCTCAAACTCCGGGAGGGGTCATGGTTTGTGATTCCCTACCGAACCATACTTGGCGCCACAAGATCTGCACTGTAGCCCGAGATCAGCATTGAGCCCGGGTCGGGCCAGGGGTGGGGGATGCGAATGAAAGTTCCTCCCACGGATATCGAACGATGAGACTGAAGCCAACGCTTCAAAATCAGAACATCGCTGAGTTTTTTATTAACTTTAACCTTATCGCCTGACGCTGCCCCCTCTCCGCGTGCGCTCCATTTGCGAAACTAAATACGGTTAAGGTGAATATGCTTACGCGCTGGTTTTGCTGCTAGTCCCGCTGGGGCTGCAAGGAAGACGCCTTTCAACACTCAACGGAGACAAAACCCTCGCCACGGCTGTGCTGGTCGTGGCAACGTTTGAGGTGTTCGGGGCGCTCCTCTTGTGGATCGCATCTGCTTGGCCCGAGCCGTCTGAGACAGCTCTGGGGGTGTACCTCAAGGTGGCAGATCTGGCTGGGTATATGTTGGTGTTGGCTGTGTACGTATGCTCGCCGAGGCAAGCAGGCAGCCCACAAAGACTCGCAACTTGGGTGGGGCCCAAAACAGTTATGTCGTGCGTGCTAGGCTATGCGTGCTCCGTGACGGCTCTTCTCAGCTGGCAGGTGGCGGCGGTGCTAGCACTTACCCATGTGCCGTTGCTTCTTGCGGCACGGCCGTTCCAGCGAAAGCGTTTGTCAAGTTGGTGTATGGCGTTCGGTATGATAATCAGCTCGCCAGCACGCTGGTCGTCCGTCCTTGGATGGGCCACGGCACGTGCCTCGGGCACGAGCGTAGTGTTGCGATGGTTGCGGTTGTACCGGTTGTCTGGGCTGTTGAACTTGCCGCTCATGTGCCTCGTGTCCATGCCGACGCACTTGACGATAGCTTTCGTGCTCTTAAACCAACAGTCTTAAGATAATACTGCTGTAAATCGGCAATATTAAGCTCTCAAAGCTCTCATCAAGTCTCCGGATTTGTTATCCCAACCTTGCATACTTCTGCAGAGGGATACATGAGGTTTCGACCACCTGTCCAGATTGCGTGGGTGCTACCCATCAAGCGCATCTTGACTTTATATTACTCCCCTACGTTGCAAAACGCGATCATGTTGCCCCTCTTGACAAGTTTTTGAAGCCGATGCCTTGGCACGAAACCAGCACCTGTTGCCGCACACCGGAGCAAGCGCGGCAAGAGAGAAGCATCGGTTGTGGTGGGGGCGTTCAGGGGATATTGCCCGGCCAGCCTCCGACTGCGTTTGTATTGATTGAACTATCGGACGAAGAACTCCTGCTTTCACCTTGACCTACAACTTCGGTGTAACGTTGTAAGAATCCACACTGCTAGCTTGGCTCACCGTTGATGTCTGAGGGTCTGGTTTCAGTCGGAAGTACGCTCCGAAGAAGTCTCGCAAGTGCCGGAGGTAGGTCACGCTGTACCGTGTGAGCTTGCCGATGCGGAGACGGCTGCAGACGGCAGTGTAAACAAGATGTGACAATGAGACGCAGGAAATGGTATTGCAACTGCCTACTTCGGCTTTTGAGATTTGCAGCGTACCAACATTGATACCAGCACAATAGCAATGATACATTGGGCAGGTACAGCAGTAGGGCAAACCTCACCTCACGTCCTCGGGGCACAGAACCATTAGGAGCATCGCCAAGCTCTGGTGGGACGAGTCTACGCACCCGCCGTTTCTGTTTCAGGCAAATCAGCAGCAGGCGGTGGGAGCGGGTAGGGGACAGCTTCATCATCAGATGCAGCTGGCTCTGCATGGCAGACTGTTGCGTTTGCTCGACGACGTATAAAGATATTGGAGTCATGCACAAAAGAGACGAGGTCCGAATGGTCACCTCTGGTTGGTGACGTTCTAATAATAACTCATTTGATACATCGTCAGACGCAGCTGGCTCTGCATCGCAAACGCGTTCGTTTGCTCAACGAAGCAAGGCGATCAAGCAACCATGCACGAAAGAGAGAAGGTCCGTATGGCTGCCTCTGGTTGGTGGCGTTCGAACTCACTTGATTTCCTCCAAGATAAGCTTGCTGCCGAAGTTCCCAAGGTCCTCCGGGAGTGTTCCCTGTGGGTAGGTACATCGATTCGGGCGAGCGGGCGGGTCACACATGTTACCGGGGCCCGACTCAAGGAACGTAATTGATATCTGACTCATAGCAACTGAGCTTTGTGAGAGGGACTAACGAAAGCCGAGCAACCTGACCAATCTTGTGGGAATCTGCACAGGAAAATTGCTCGCAGAAGAGTTCGACACCGCTGCGAGACCTGTCTGATCACTGAAGCAGTATCAGCATGTCGCCGTCTGCGGGAGTCAGCGTACGCACAGTACCTTGTCAGCCGCAGTCTCGGCCACCAGAAGAACACCAGTCGTCGACTCCGCTACGAGGCTCAAAGCGAACCCAGGCGATTCCCCTCCGGTGCGACCAGCATGATGGTCGGTATGGACCCACACATCAGGGAGAAGGCGATTCAACAAGCCTGTGGTCGCGGTGCGGTGAGGGGAGGCGTGCCGGGATGAAACGCAAACGGCTGGCTGAACGGTTGTGGTTGCCCAAGTCAAAATGAGGGACAGCCGCATGTACACAGAATCAAGACCGAAAAATATGTCCGGTTGATCCAGACCCTGCTGCGTGTACCCCAAATCAGCTCTGAGCACACACCTCGAGAAGACTCTGCGACGCGGTTGGCAATTTGCGGGGAAACCTTGGTGCAGTAAGCGTTCCCGCGTATTCGCTTGATCAGCCCCGGCTCTGTGAAGTCGATTGGCTTGAGCTCCCTCACGATTGGACATCTGAACTCCACGAGACCTCCCCCGCCTGGTGGTGCTCCGCGGCGCTTGACCTTGAAGCATTGCACGACGGATGTTCAAAAGTACGGGGAGCCGAAACAAGATGTCAAGTTGCGGGTAAACAGCTCGATGTACAGGCAGCGGGAGTATCTCGCGAAGACAGGATCAATATGATACCCTGGGTGGACAAGTATCACGATGACCCATGGGAAACTCGCGCAAAACGTACCTTAAGCTCAAGGCCGCCCTCTTCTGCCACCCCGAAGTGCTTGAGGAGTGGCAGCGTTACAGCTTTGAGGGCATCCACGGACAGATCCACGTCGTCATTTGTGATCCCAGACAGAGTAAGGTTGAACGGGGTTTTGCTGAGACATGTTGCAAGGAATAGGGGCGGGCAAGCAGCGAAGACAGGTGGACAGGCATCACGGTGAGCAAAAGTATACAGGGTCAAATGTGCTGGTACAGAAAAATAACGTGCGCAAGACCCGTCTAGGTACTGTCATGTTATCAATTTTCATTACCGCGCCCTGATAACCTCACCTGAACAGAGCCAGCGGGAGGAGGCCCTCGATGAACCATCCGAGCGAACGACTAGTGCCGCAGTCGTGACTCTCGCGTCCACCTGTTACGTAGCCGGGCTTGAACCTCAACGTTGTGCCTGTTTCGTTAATCTCGACCTGTGGGCGGAGAGACCACGTACAGGGCGCCGAAAAGGGGTGTTTGCGGAGGTTTTGACACCTTTCAAAGGCCATAACTTCATCCCCAACAGGAAAGGAAAAACACAGACATTCTCAAGCCCAACATACTATATATAGAAACTCTAACTTAACGCTGGTACTGGATGACATGTGTATCGACTTCTCCAGAGGAAGTGAGTAAAAATAACATGCTTAGTAAAATAAAAGCACACCAACAACAAACTCATCTAAAAGGCTCGGTACAGGCTGCAGTACCTGCGTCCCGTTGGTCAGCTTATCGACGAGTCGCAGGAACGCCGCTTCATGGCCCATGATACCCATCTGCGGGAGGCCCGGCGAGCGTGATAGGTACGAGTAAGCAAGCGGGAGAGGGCAGGAAAAAATCGTATGCAGCCAAGCAACAAGAGAGTCCCAGCCCAAAGCAACGCGCTACCTAGAGACATGACACACTAGAAACTGGTGTTTGTGCATCGCTTTCCGGTAGTCTGGTGTGCAGTTGGAGGGATTCTTGCATTTGAACTTGTGCGAGTATCTGTGAGATTTCCACTAAGCAAGGCACTTAACCCTCTTAGTACTGGAAACCCAAACGGGGACACTTTGCGGGCACAGCACTAAAAACATTTGATTTCCGCCCCGTAGTCGTCACTATGCTCCGCTGTGTGGAACGCGCGCGGGAAACCTTGGTCTAGGATGCTTGTGAGAGGTGGTACGCTGTGTGATACACTGCTGTGATGCCTGTGCCTTCCCCGGCCTCTGGCTTGATGTACAAATATCTCCCAACCCGCGTGTCTCTTAGGTGGTAAACAGTACAAGCCTGGCACTAGAAGATTTGCTGACTTTAGTACGGAAAGTGTAGCATATAGGGGCACTTTCCACACTGAACCCAAGTTAACCTTCGTCCCTCGGGACTGTACAGCCTCTCTCAATGAGCGGCCGCGATTTTTTCTGGGCCGATATCCTGCAACAAACTGCGTGCTACAAATGCATATAGGAGGGTTAACGAACCCAAACGCACGAGGAATTATCCATTTGCAGGCACACACCTGAACTTCCTCCTGGTAGTCCGTGGTCGTAGGGAACGGTCGAATGTCATCAATCCTGATGGCCCGTCCGCTCAGCACCGAGCAAACAACCCTGTGGTACACATGTCACGTTGGGAGACAAGGGTCAGGTTGGGGCAGGCGATCACACGGATCTAGTGTGCATACAGCATACATCGGTGTCTCCAATCAATTCTGCTGGATGGGGAGGGTCAGCACGTGAAGCAGCACACACTTACAGGGACCACCATTCACAGCCACACCTCTGTCTGAAGTGCTTGCTGCCCTTGTATCTCAGCACTGCAGCTCCTGGTTCGTTCGGCTGGCTCGACCTTTTCGACGTTTTCTTGAGCACACTGCTCTTCCCTGAGGCGGGCTTCATACCATTGGCAGCAAGCTTCGTCATCCTTCGCAAGCAGGAACAAGCTGCGCTGCTGTTGAACACAGCTGTAGCAGCAGCTCTCATTCGTAGCCAACACGACCACCCACGGCAATAATTTCGCCGCATCAGGGGCGCGGTAGTGAAGACCATGGTATGTGCGGAGTAACGTCGGTCGTCCCCCCCCCGCGAGGGCAGCACGGGCCAGCCAGGCAGCAGGCAGGACAAGCAGGAGCAACGTCCACTTTTATGCTTAACGAAGTACACAGACATGCTCATGAGGTGTGCGTGCTTGGGGCTAGCCCTTCTGCAGCCAGGAGTCTATGGACTAGCTCCATCTTTTGTATGGTTATATCCTGCTCGAGGTAAGAGTACAAAGCGTGGATGTAGCATGCAAACAAGAAGAGAACCATGGGCAAGTACTTGATGTATCCATTGCTGTGCAGGTACATGTTTAGAAGCGACTGACCTTGAGCATCGCAGCCAAGGCGTTTGAGATCGGCATCTCACGCTATGGACAAGGCGGTTGTCGTTGTTTTCATATCCGATGCTCGTGACGCCTCGTTGGTGTTGATAGGTGGCGCACAAAGAGCTGCGTCTCGCATGCCCGGATGCCGCATGGCAGCAGCCGGGGAAGCGGCGAGTTCCGCGTCTGGTGCTGCTGATACGGCCAAGGTGCGCAACCCTCCCCGATGTTTTCCTGATGTTTTCCGTTTTCCCTCAAGCGTCATCAGCACTGCAAGTAAATGCGTTTCGACTTGACGTTTCTAATATTTAAGACGAGGCCACTGCTGTAGTTTTTGTTCACTATTTACTTGAGCGCCCCCCCGTCTCCATGGTGCGGTGCGAACAACGTCGTGTTCAGAAAACTCGCGGCGGGGTGTCGCTCCCAAGGTCATGCTTAGCTGTGTTACAGGTAATGCTTAGCTGTGTTACAGGTAATGCTATCGGTTTGTTTCGCTGGATCACCATCATCGCAGTGGAGGGCCGCAGCGGCGGCGGCGGTGGCATGATGATCATTTCTGCCAGCGTGCGCTGTTTGACATGTACTCGAAGTATGAAGTATCCATTTTTGTGCAACGTCACCAACAGGCTTTTGGTATGTATCGTGTTCCCCGTGAAAATTCATTTGGCAAGAGCACGCACGCGCCGACAAGGACACATGGACAGGCAACGCACCAGGAGTGGCCCATGGCAAGATACGCGCGAGTACACATCCCCCCGTGTTGCGGGATGTATACACCCGTGCTTGTTGGCCCTTACGCTCTGTTCTGCTCTTGTGCGGCCTCGGTATCGGTATCAAACGGGCAGGTGACCCTCTACGAAGAGTTCTCCAGGTACGCCGATAGAAGATCTGTGGCGCAAGAGGTCATCTTCGAGGTGAGCTTTTCGTTGCACTCACTTGTGACCAACCAACTTTTGTGTGTATGTATCGTGATGGGATGTGATGCCACACTCCTCCCGCCGGATGCATTCTCTCGGCGGATATCAACAGCGAGGTGGGCTTACATCTTTTGGCACCCCATCCATTCCCGTGACTCTATGTAGGTGTTGGCAGCTGGTGCATTGTATCACATGATGTCTAGGGGGTGGCGTTTGGTTTGTTGCTCCATTAGCGCGAGTCTGTGGAGATCCTCAACACCGGTTTTGGAGAATCGTCCACCTTTCAAGTTATGCATTGCCCTGCTCACGCAGAGCTGCCTCCAATCCGAGGCCCGCTTTTTCCTTTGAACATGCGTGGTGCTTGGTTACAACGAACTTTGTGCTCCAAATCAAACGCCATAAACTTGCGTTGCGCGAACAGGCGGCGGGCGGCTTTTGCCGAATTCTTTGCGGAAGTTGGGAGAAGGATCGGATCCGTAAGGATAACGGTTCAATTCGTAAACGGGAGAAAAATGTATCTTCTTCGATTGCTGGGCCGTGTGCTATTATGCTAGTTGTATTCATGCACAACGACAGCAGAACAGGTACAGACCAGACTATAGCAGCAGTAGAAGTTGAAAATGCCGCAGTTGAGAGAAAACTCCACCTTTTGCGAGCTGAAATAGTTGGCCGCGGTAGAAAATTCGCGGATAAGATATCGCGGACAAAATTCTTCCTGCTTTTTTTTTCGCGGCAGAAACCAATCCTGTTCGGATTAGAACATGTGAACGAGTTACTGTCAAACCCACGCCTGAAGGGTTGTTGCTTGGGACAGAGTAGGAGTGAAAGGATTGCTGCTACAGTAGCATGTGGCGAGCGCGATCACGCTTGTGAGAACAGCAGTTCCAAATAAGCTAGCCGGTGCTCGCTTCTTCATGTCGCTGCTCATCAAGATCTTCATGCTCATAGGTAATAAATCAGCCAGCGTTTCGCAGTCGGAGGCAGGGCGAATCGGGAAAGCAAACACCAGAGAATCGATTGCAGGGTGGAGGGACAGCCGAAGACACACGCTCCAATAGTGCATGTACACGCGGATGCAGGCGAATATTTTGTCTCCTCCAATGACTCTCGGTTCCAATGTGGCCTGTCCTATGGATTTCCGAGTTAAGTCCGGGGGGGGCGTAGTTTGCCCACTTCGGGTATTCCGGCGAAACAAAGGCCCACACGTGTGTGTTGAGGTCTCCCTCAAGAAAAACGTTGGAGATAGATGTATGCCTTGACACGCGAAGCCACCTTGCTTTTTCCGTGCAGATTACTTCAGCGGAGCACTTCGAGGACGTGGTATCTAGGGCAGCAGGGGCGGATGAACATGAGGGGTACGAGGACGCTCAAGGAAACTGGAGAGTTCCACACAAACTCATGATGGTCCAAATTCATGCCGGCTGGTGCCGTGTTTGCAAGGGACTGCAACCTAAATTGCTGAAGCTCATCACCAAGCACCCTGAGGTTCTGTGCTGCAAGATCAACAAGGCACACCACGAGGTGAGTGGGTCTGATGGAATCCACATGGCCTATTTGTTTACTGCACGATGCCAGTAATTGCAGGAAGTTGCGTTTCGTTTTCAAATTCCATGCCGAGTGAACCAAGTGTCGTTCGCTGCGTCCGGACGATGCGTGGCACGGTAACAATCGCAACCAGGACGACCGCAAACTGCTTTATTTCTTCTCTTCTCACTATAATTTCCCACTGGTGACACGTTCCGTGCTGTTGCCACAACCTCGCAGGAGCTTGCGGCAAAGCTGGGTGTGCGTGGGCTGCCGATGCTCATCTTTTACAAGAACGGAAAGCGGGTGGATCACCACACAACTGCCAACATCAACACAATAGAGGAGGCCATCAGAGATAATACTTGATACTGTTACAAAGACAGGCTAAATGTGCCTTGAGCACTTGCGCACAGCTGTTGGCAACCCCGTAAACGATACGTAAGTAAATTGCTACATACGAATACAATAAAACACAAGCAGTAACTAGTTTTGGTGAGTGTTAAATGTACATGGGTGAACGACGACGTCGTATTGTATGCACAACCCAGCTAACATGAAGCACATTGCACTCGAGACACCACGCACACCGACCGGCCAACTTTGACGACAAAAAACACAACGCACGCGTCACAGCCGCACGAAACACGTCACTTTGTACACATGAACGAGGGAGAGTGTCACAGCTCCAGCCGTAGATTTCGAGCACGATCTCTCGCCGCGTTGCAACTATTTACTGTCGTGGGTGGGTCGCCAAGGCAGGGCACATTGGGGTCGTAGCTCAGCCTTGAAAGCATAGCTGAACTGAAGCAGCTGGCCTCCTGAACCCGCCCGATGTCAGCAAGACAGGGTTGTGAAGAAGTCGACTGGTGGGCAGTGTGGCTGTCCAAAATCACAATCGGCGACACGCTCATCCGTGCATGCCCCAAAACACCAATTGGTGAAGCCTGCGGATCCAAACGGTCGTAGGAGCGCACATTTGAGTGCTGATCGTCTTTACAGTTAACTCACACGTGCGATGCTTCAATCCTGCTTCACCCACAGGGCTGGATCACCCTATCGAAGGCGCATGTATCGAAGAGGCACAATGACAACGAAGACAAACCGCCGAGAGCACTCACCGGTGAGACGATGCTCACGTCCCCGTATCCCAGAAGCCACGCCTGCTGAAGCTCCGTCAAGATGCGGGTCGTGCCGAAGCCTCGTGGCCCTGTGATGGCTACTACCCCCGCCGCCCCCAAGCTGTCCTGCCCCAAGTCTGCTACTCGTGACTGTAGTCCTTCCTCGTCATCAGTCACCACCAGCACGACGATGCCCTGTCATCACGACAAATGCAAAGGACGCGTGGGCAAAAACACAGTACCGAAGACGTAAAACCTTGAGTTGTATAAGGCCTCCTTCCGGAGTGGGGTAAAGAGGGCACCGCGGGTGATGCAATAACATGGAACGGCCAGACACAAGAACAAGAAAAACAGATATTACATGAATACAAATATCACGATTAAAACATGTTTGGCGGCAGCACCAACAGTATTGGTATTCACAGATACCCGCCAAATGGACCCAGAAAATCATCAAACAACACGAAAACATTTTCACAAAAACGTTTCACAAACACAAACCAAAGGCGGGCGAATTCCGAAAAAGAGCAGCAGGAACAGAAGGCTCCATCTAGACAACAAGAGAGAGTACATTGTCTCGCCGAGCAAAAAATACCAACAAAATCAATGACGGATCACGAATCAGGACACTACGATAACAAAGAGTCGCCTGATTTTATCCTTGGACCCCTTCTAGGCCGGGGTGTACTCACCGTCGGGGATACGACGACCAAGTCATTCCCCATACGTACGCACCAAATGAATGAGTGGTGGTTCTCACATCATTCCACCACATGGAGGCAATAAAAATAACATTTGACTTTCATCTCACCTGCTGGTCCGGGGTCAGGTTTCCCTTGGCACGGTAGCTAGCATCACTGGCCTCTTTGAAGAAGAGCTGCTGCTGTGCAGCCGACATGCCACTTCCACCAGTTGAATCAGCAAGCACGTCCATCTCCATCACTGTTGTAGGAAGAGCACAATAAAACGACAACCGTGCTGGGTCGGACATACACATGACACGTGCGTGTCCTTAAACGGAGCAGATTTGCGCCAATATCATGCACACAGGTCGAACTGTTTGTGTATCCTTGTATAATTGCGGCCGGCGTTTCGCTAACATGATTTTTGTGTTTCTGGCACTACTTGTGAACGCAACTTCTACAACGCTGTGCTAAATGGAAGGCGTTGATATTCCGAAGGAGTCGGCACCCGCAGTTGATGATCCGCACTCGTGTGCACCATACAGCGTCCGTCGGCGAACAACACCCGGGGGCACAAAGGCATTTGAAGAGAGAAGACAGGGTGTCTCAAATCATGTGTTGTTCGGGCGCACACTCGTACCATGATCCATTCGCGCCCAAGTGCACGTATTGTGGCGGCACTCAACGCGATCATTTCATGGATAGCATACACCCAACCAAACCAAAAAGCGGTTCGGCGCAGTACTTACCAATTACGTAGTTGTCTTCCAAGTAGCGCTCCCTGAAACGACGCACAGCGGCCGTCACTGTTGGCACTGGGCGCATGAGCCAGTTACTCAGGCTGGCGAAAGTGTCCACCGAAGGAATTTCTTCCAAGACGGTTCGACTAGCGTGCTGGTTTACCGTCAGGAGCGGGGCAAAATACTCCGTGTTGGTGATCTGCGACAGAGCAAACGATTGCAAGGCGGAATGCTTGCACGTTGAGACGAAATACAACGATAAATTGCGCGAGCACCTCCAGTTTCGAACACATCCACGCAAATTTAAGCCACCCTTCCACACCTCCAAAACAAATTGGGGTAAGATTTCGCACCTTGATAAACTGCGTGTCCCCCATGAAGTTCTTGAGGTTGTCACAAACCAAGCTGTTGTAATTCGCTATTACATCCACAACAGTGGACCCAAGGTCCTCCTCGGCATATCCGAAGTAGTTCAGCCATCGGTCCTCGAACCGCTCCCAGCTCCAAAAAAATCCCGGGTCGAGGAATATTTCTTCCAACGAGCTCGTGCTGTAGCAGGGGGACAAAACCAGAAGGTGAGGTTGGGGGGCACGTTATCTATCTCTTCCCTTCGTCGACTCGGGCCGTCAGAGAGAAACATGCAGCCTTGTTCGTTTTTCTACATCTTAAAGACTAAGGAATCGGCGGCTCCATATCTGTCAGAACGGGCTTCGTGTGAAGACAACAACGACGACAACAACAATTCGCTTCGTTGTAACACGGAACGGGAGGCACTGAACAGAGATAGATCAGAACGGACAGCCGTGCACCAGGTCCGCATTTGTATGGGGAGAATCTACGACGGTTGATCAAAAACCCTCCAGCAGATATTCCGCTCACGCCTCTCCACAAGCTCACTGTTGCGGGTGGAGATCATAGATAGCTGCGCCTCACCTGCCCGAGGTTCCTGAGCTTTCTCCCGCAGTAGTAGAATTCCCGGCAGCGATGTCGTTGGACCCCTGGGACTCGTCGCTACCCGTCCATTGCACTAGCAGGACCCTTTCGCTCATGAGGGCGAACAGGTAGGTCGACGTCTGGCATGATCACACAAGCAACGTTTGTTACCATGACATTTCAGCAAATGGTGGGCTAATACCATGAAACTTGCAGACGCTTCCTAGCGGAAGTTTCAGCAATTGCTAGGATATGCGTACAAGTGGGATTCGGCAGCGCCACCACGGAGGAGAAGCTTCGTGCGCCTACACACAACACAGAACGGCCGCAAAAGTTCCTCCCCACCCAAAGAACACAGGTTGGATCTGCGTGGTTGTGTCAAAGAGTACTTCCCTCACCAAGCCAAAGAGCGATTGCGCCACGGTCGTGTTCCCTGGCATCTCGTACACGACGTACTTGGCGTTCATCGGACTCGCTGTAGCGCTGTTATGAAGAACAGCATAATCCGTGAAGACCTTCGGGATGTCCTTGTCTTCAAAGTACGAGGGGTCCTCTGTCTGTGGTGCTGGCGCTGAGCTATCGAGGGACGAGCCAGTTGTGAACGCCTGACCCCACTGCTCGAAGTAAGCTGTCAGGCAGAGCAGTAAGGCTGCCAGAAAAATAGTCACGACGCCCATTACCCCGATGCCTCTCCACTTCTGCTTGGCGAGTAGGCGACACAAACGTAGCCATCTGCGCACAAGTTGAAACAGACAATTCAATTTTTTGGGGCCATGTATTGCAGATGGGCTCGAGGTGGGTGCTGGTAGTGTGGAGGAACATGAGTAGCGGGTGGCACACCAACAGGTAAACTTTGGCATTCAAAAGCTATGACTCTTGTCCTGGACACTGGGCACACTGTAAGTAAGTACATGACACACCTTCGTCGCCTTCGTCGTCGTCGAGAGCTCGGGGTTCGTTCTAGTGTCGCTCCTGCCACCGGCGCTCTGGAGCGCCGAGAGGCACGCGGCATCAGGACTGAGGTAGGCGTGGCTGAATATGAAGGGGGTAAACACCCGGGGTTGGCTAGCGCCAAACACAGAGAGCTGCTGCGGCACCAAGCAGGTGGGGTGGGATGCTCACACAGCCGGCTCGCCGAGGCGTAGGGGCACGGCAGACTGGAATAGGAGTTGCTGGAGAGAAAAATAAAAAAAGAGGGTGATGCGCGCGCGCTATTTTCATGCAGGTTCCACCGCAACGTGCTGGGACAGCGGCCGCGAACGCCCCCGTTGGGCACACAACAGCACTCTGGAGGCCGCGCAGGTCTGCTTGAGTTGGGTAGAATGGTGCGGTGGGGAGCTCATGTGCTGGGGATATTGACGCTCGCAGCGGGTGCAGCCGCATGGTGAGTGGGATAGCGTTCCTTGATGCGTTGGCAAGACCGCGCTGCTGTGTTCATGTTGCGGTGCATGTGAACGCGAAAGAGTGTTGCAGCTTGCTCGTGTTCTCGAAGAGAGTATTTTGGTTCTCCTCCTGGTGTGTGTACAAGGGCACCTGTCAATGATTCTGATGGACTCCCATTTTGGTCGCATCTACATAACGACGGCAGCAGGTGTTCTTGAATGTGGTTTACAACTGCATGTCACGTATGTAGACTACATTACAAAACTCCACAGAGTTCAACACCTGGCGGTCTACATACATACCCCTCATGCGCACCTCCAGGAACTTTGCCCTACCAAGGATGGGTCCATCGTCACAACTACGAATGGCCAGCCACCCTCGCGTCTCTGGAATCCAAGCACAGCGGTATCGTCGGTTGCCTTCGGCACCGCACGACCATCGGCACAACTATTGGGTATCCAGGCATGCGACATCCCGCCTTGGCAGCTCATCTCCGGATGCCTCTGTTGCTGAGGGCGAGGACGTCGTCGATCTGGAGGCCAGGCCATTCCCTAAAGTGGGAGATGTGGTGCGCTACAAGGGAAAGTGGGAGAACGAAGTGTCGTTCGGAGAGGTTAGTTCGTACCCAATGTACAGTAGCACTCCCCAGGGACCGCCTCTTTGGCTCGTGTCTGGACGTAGCGTAGCACGTGGTCCTTGTTGAAAATGAGAGCCTCTTATCGTTAACCATCATAGTACCCAGTCCTTCCGCAAAAAAAATGTCGCAAAAACGTTTGTCAGCCATTGGTCGAAGGGCTACAGTTCCTCCAAAGAATCTGAGCTCCTTGCCAGAACAAGGGTGACTTGGCTTCATTGTGAAAAGTGTCCCCAAAACACGTGGGGACACTGTTCATAATGAAGCCAAGGCAACAATTTTTTCCAGTACCAGGCGATGTACAGTTTTACCTTGGTTTTACGACCTGGGGGGCACGCGGGTTGGGAGATGTGTACAGCAAGTCAGAGGCCCAGGAGATACACCACACAGCATATCACACAGCGTACCATCTCAGCCAAGCATGACAGACCAAGGGTTCTCACGTGCGTTGCACACAGCGGAGCCTAGGGTGACTACAGTCCGATAAATAGGCATTCGAGTGCTGTGTCCCCAAAGTGTCCCCATTTGGGCTTCCAGTACTAGGAAGGTTAACGCCAGCGTCTGGGTGTATCCTGATGGCGTACTCTATGGCGCATCCCGAACAATCGCGTGCATTCTGTAACACCAGATTCGTCAGCTGAGGAAGGTGGAAGAATCAGGCGGATGGAGAGCGTATGTACTCGGTCTGGACTCCATCGGGAACGTGAGTAAAAATTTCCTACGTCTTTACACTCAAGGGATGGTAATTTCCTCTGGGTACGTGTATGTCCTGCCATTGCTCCATCCATTTTATTCCGCGTCTCCAGTTGTACGGAAAGGTGCCGTTGAAACGCCTGTTTCAACCGCCGATGTTTCACAGGCAGTACAACGCAAGGCCATCCATGTCCGAGACGTGAATGTAGACTGACCGTTCCGGGCTGGCTCGGACTTGTCCTCTAAAACACAGGATCAGTATGCACGCAAGAAGAATCAAAAGTCGAAGGCAGAGGATGTCACCACCTTGAGGTGAGCGCTCTGGCTTCAGCTGCTCTATCTCTTGTGCTCTCCAGAGGTTGCGGAACGTATTGCTCATCCAACGGGCACAAGTGCAGGAAATCGAAACAACAAAATTGAGTCCATGTACGATGTAGACCACAACAAAGGCAACGAAGCGCTTGACACGGACTGCAAAGATGTAACCGGCGTGTGGGATGTGGAAGAAGTTACTCTGGTTGGATGGCTGTGGTAGGTGCTGATGCTGGCGCGACATTAAGGGGACGCGACCACCCTGTGCCGGGGAGCCAGAGCTCAATGGTTCCTGAAGTGGGCTGCTCTCTATTTCGGTACTTATTTCCGTCTTTCACTCTCTCTCCGCTGTTTTCTTCCTTGTTGTTGACAGGAGAATAAGGGCGGGTTTTTTATCGTTCTAGCCCAGTCGCCGACCAGTAGCTGTTCACCCCAAACAACCGCCCTCGTATTGCTCTGCCCACGCATCTGTCGATACATGCGTTCGCGAGGTTGAGAGGTCTACGTAATGTAGCGGTCCAATATCTCAGATGTTTCCAGCATACGTTCGAAACACACCGTTCGTTTCGCAGAGTTGTCTCTTGCCAACACGTCTTGTTCTCTAACTTGGAGTTCTCGCTCCGTTTGCCTGTTGTTTCCTTATCTGCTCGTTGATCAGGCCTGTGCGGGCTTTCTACGTAAGAAGTGTCGACGGTTTCAAGGTGAGTGAGGTATCGAGGTCATACCGCGTACGCGCTTTGCTTGATCTTTACTGTAAGGAGATTGATGACGTCGGACAGGCGGTGTCTAAGCTTGTTTCATGTCCTCGCCTTTGACCTGTGGTACTACATAGATACGCGAGGTCTCCATCTCACGCTACACCCTTCCTGTTGCTCCCGAATGGCCGTTGTGTGGCAGGTCATGCACAATTCCGATTCAGGCGAACCGCGCTACATCAGCGACGCGTACGAGCTTGAAGGGTTTGAACTACCGGTAGGTTTCTTTGTTGTTGAGGAGGTTCTTTTCGGTTTTCTTTGCAGTGCTATAACGGATTTTGGTGGGGGAACCCAACAAACATATCCCCCGAAACCATGACAACCGAGAACAGTAGTATGATCGGGGTACGCACAGACCGGTGAAGTTGAACTATTTCCTCCGATGTGGAAGCAAGAAAGAGCATTTTTTGTCTATAATTGAACCTGTGTGCAAGAACGCGGAGTCTTCTCATTCGTGTCACTCTTTTGCTAATTTAGTGTCCCGCCGATGAACCAGCTCGTATGCCCTCCACCTCTCAACCCAACCAACGTTTTTTCTACAGAAAATTGAGGTCGACCCCGTCAAGTTTGCGGCTGAGCTGGAATCGTACGAAGATCTCAAGCGGCGACTCGTTGTGGATGCTGCCCTGTTTGGCGCAGTCGGCGCTTTCGCGGCGTTCCAGGTCGGTGCGGGCAATACATCGGGTGCTGCTTTTCTCGGGGGAGTTGCCGCCGTTGGAAATTCTTAACGTGTGAGGAACACGTGATCACTATGAGCGCTCAGTTTAGTTATGTGAGGATTACGATGTCCCAAGTACGTGTCCACTGCACATCATGAAGCACCTTCTGGTGCTGGTAGCTCACGCTGGGTGACAGGCATCGACATGAAGTGCGGTGGGTTTGTGCGCAAGCTCACCGTGGGACTGGCAGATGTTTTTTTTCAAACGTTTCTGGTATGAGGCGGTTGTCTCCAGGTTCGCGTGTGAGCAAGTTCCCTTTGGGATGTGTGGTGTGGATACACACCGGTTCAACCTCTGGTGGAGAGGCTGACGAGTACGGATAGTTGTGAGTCAGGGGGCGAGCAACCTTGTGTTGAAGCAAGGTTCAGCGTCCATCCTACACTGACTCTATCTGTGGCAACACCCCGAAGGTAGATCTCCGACAGGTCATCTGACGTCACAATCTACGACAGTCTGAGGTGGCATTCACACTGGCACGAGTTCTGAAAATTACCAATCGGCTGCAAGGGTGCGGTACCAACGTCCTGCGGTGGCACAAGTATTTACCGTTGGAACCGGTTCTGACTGCTGCCTCGCTTCGTCAAAGGCAACACCCTCAGGCGCTCGCTATTCGTTTCTTGCCTCCATGACAACATATCAGATATTTGGAGCGGATCAAGGGTTGCTCTTTGCGCTGGGTGCTCTCGCCTCTGTGGCCTACGTGATCCTCCTGGAAAAGACGGCAGACGACGTCGCGAGCGGGAAGCAGGACGTCGCAACCAAGCTGAAGGGTGACGCGCGTTTCGCTGTCCCTGTGGTGCTCGTCCTTGCCTTGGCGGCTAAGAACTACCTCGCGAACCCCGACGGTGCGGTGCTGTTCAAGCTGATCCCCAAACAAGACTTTGCTGCGGTTATGATCGGGTTCATAGCCCCTGCCAGGTTGCCGCTTCTATACCGAGAGGTGAAGTCATCTCTCAAGGGTGACGACGTGCTGGACATGCTTCCCGGGTCCATTGGACAAGGTCGGGCGATTTTGAGGAGCATGGGCGAATCAAGCGGGGCAACAGCCGATGGGGCCGTAGAAATGGCAGGACCACAAGCCACCCGAGTTATCGTCGTGTCGGGGCCAGAATGTCTGGGGAAAACCACGCTCGTCAATAAAATTCTAGCCGAAGACAGCCGCTTAGCGCAGCCGGCTTGGTGTACAACACGGCCACTACGGGCTTCAGAGGTCGATGGGGAAGACGCTTTTTCCACAAGGCAGGTCAAGTTCGAAGAACTCGAGCGGAAGGGCAGCTTTTTGCACGTCTACACGGACGAAAGCGGGGAGTCGTACGGGTTGAGGTTTGAGGACATTTCCGCGATCACAGAAAAGGGCAAGGTGAGCCTTTACTAATTAGTAGTCAAGGTTTGCTTCTTTAACTCTTGAATGTTCGAGGCGCCCACTTGATGGGCGAGGATCGCGGTATACATCTAGGTGAACGCAGAACGATGTTTTGGATACTTTCGTCACTTCTCCGATAGGTGTGTGACTCCCGTTTAGATTAACGCATCCCTCAACGCATGTCATGCCTTACTTACCCTGGCAACGCTTTCGCTTCTTTCCAGGTGTGCGTCGTTGACGCGGATATGGCCTTGGTAAAAGCGCTAACGAGCGTGGGTGACTTGGCGCTCATTGGCGTGTGGGTAAGCCTTGACTCGATAGAAGCAATAGAGGAGCGGATACGGACAACACTCATCAGCGCCGGGGCTGCAAAAGACTCGCCGACCCTTGAGGCTGATGTGCGAGGGATGGTCAGACAAGCGGTGGAAGACATTGAGTATGGTGTCATGAGCGGGGTGTTCGACTTCACCGTCATCAACAACAGCGACGAACAGGAGTCGATGGAGACTGTGCGCAGGGCTGTCGAGTTTGCTACCGCTAAATAAACAGCGCTACGTTTTATATTGTCTGTTTGGCGACGTTGGCAATGTTGGGTCAAGGTTTCACGGAGGAAGAGTAATGCCAGTGCTTTTGGAATGGAGCAACAAAAAAAAATCCAGGAGGGCACAGAGATTGTTTGAGGGACGGCAAAATGCCTCCGTGTCCGGCTGCATCGCACAAGCTCTCCTTGAGCATGCACATGCACTTTGGCCTCGCGGGGTCCCGGGTCGGCACGCTCAAATTGCGTTTCGACACTGTGGGTGGACACGTGCATATCATAAACCGGAGTCGTGGACAAAAAAAATCGAAAAACACATCCTTATAACCACTTCAGACGTGGTACGTCAATGCTTTTCAATCCCTCCCCTGGTAGGCAGCCCCTAGTCCACTACCCAAGCATGACACATGCTTTTGGTGGTTTAACCGAAGTTAGGGGTAGCTTCCAAAGCAATCTCCTCCTTGGGCGGCAGGATGGTGATCACGTCCGAGAGGGGGGTCTTCGGTCCCTCCTTGCCCTGCGGCAGAAGGCATTCGAACAAATCGAATACAGCGGCAAAGCGGGCGGAAAACGGGGGTGGTCAGAAGCACGACAGAACACTGTTGATGCTGTTGTTCTTGTTGTCTTCACATTCAAAACCGTTCCGTTCTCTCTGCCCAGTACCTTTTTCTGTCCGTACAAGTCCAACACTTGACGGGGTCGATTCCCGTGGTCACAGGCTAACTTACCCAAAAAAGGTATACGGTACGAAAATAAAATGGACCCGCCAACAAAAGTCAACGACAGAACACTGTACCGTAAGCAAAATTTTACCTAATGGCCACATGGGTATGGGTACGAGCGTAATACTGTCATATTTAAAAACAATTTACTCTGAAGAGTCGCCACAATCCGAAAACATAGCCGCAAGGATCCGCGACAGCAGGCAGTCACGCGCATCGAGGCGTGTCTGCTGATGGTAAGCATAAGGTACCATGCTGCACGTACCGTAGGGTCGTGGGGAAGCATGATGGACACGGTGACACCCAGCACACCCTGGCGCATCATAACGTGGCGCACGGCGTGGTCCACGTAGTCTGACAAACGCAAGAAAACGAACGGAAACAAAATCGACAAATTTAGGATGTAGAGTGGCAAATGGGTTCATGCAGAACATGGCCAAGCGCCACACCCAAAACATAATTTTCTAGAGTCATGACAGCGTCACGGTCGGCATCACTTGTGCCACCCGTTCCATGCGGGTCTCTACTACTCAGGTGGCGCTCGGCCTCATCAGGTGTACCTTCACCCTCGATGTGTCGCGATGCACGTTTCTGACTTATGTACCCAACCTTGCTTCTCCATATTGTGGCACCACGAAAAAACGTACTTAATGCAATCATACGAGGACACACTCGAACACGGATGGTCATCCAAGTCGTCAAACCGTTCCAAAGCTGACCTTCCTCGAGATAAATCTAGACATTTTCGTGGAGGAGCATGAGTAATGACTTCACACGAAGGACACATTCTTGACCTCCATCGGCAGGATAGTTCGAAAAACAACCTCGTACATAATGAGGTCGACGCCACCAGTATAAAATTTGAGAGGTACTCCTACGCAACACCTTGGCTGGGGTGCAATAGCAATCTGTGCTCAAGAGTAGGCAACGCGTACCCTCGACGACGGGTACACATTGGGCTTGTCGTGGGATGACACACCAACCCAGAACTATCCATGCGGCGGTCAACCCTCTCAACCTATGCTTGAGCGATGCACCGCTTTCGCCCAGATCAAGAACGCGGGCAGGCCAACGAAGACAACTACACACGAAAGAAAGAGAGACAACTCGGAAAACAAGGCTACAAAGAGACAAACTCACCCTCCCTGACGCGGCCGCTCTTGATCATGTAACCGTCGCGGAACTTCATGGCCTTCGCACGTTGCGCCCTCAGCTTACCAGCCACGATCACCTGAGTCATGAATGCACACCATGTCAGCCTGCTACATGTGTGCCGCAAGGAAACTTGTATATTCGCCATATGGTGGGGTGGATGAGCTACAGCAACCCCAGGCCAAACTTGGCCGTCGATCGCCGTGGTGCACCAGATGCACGAGAAAAACATCAGCCGTTTCCCGTCGAAAAGAAGCACACTTCCCACTATTCAAGAAAACGCCACGCCATCCGCTACACCAACGCATTCCGAGAAGAGGAGCTCGTTGGTTTTATCGAGACGTCCAAGAGAGAGATCGTTCAGAGCGCAAAGCTCTACTGAGAAAACACCGCCTACCTCGGCACCCTTGGCCCCAGACTCCATGATGAAGCGAAGGACACCGTAGCATGCGCGGCGCACGGCAAGTCCGCCCAAAAGCTTGTACTTGAGCGACTCCGCCTGCAAGTGTTATCGAAACAGACCGATCCGAGAACAGATGAACATGAAGGCAGGTGCGTGAAGCGAGCTCCATGAAGAATAAATGCATACACTAACAACCACGCGTTCCCTCGCCAAGGGGTTAAAACTGGCGCGCTGACCGAGCTGAGTAACAGACACTTGTGCAAAATTTATGGACAAAGTGCTGTGTGGTAGATACGCATGAAACACAAACCCAGAGGCAGGTTGGGTTCAAACACGTTGGCCGTGTGCAACACGCAGCACGACAGTATTCACCACCGCGTGATTACGCTTCAACTCGGAATGTGCTACAATGTTAAAATTTTCGAAGCCAAACTATTAGCGCATACATATGCAGAGGAGTAAAATGACGGTCAGGCTGGCGGCCGTGAGGAACAAGCTACCCCATAACGCAGCAAGCTTACTGATCAACCATCCACGTGCGATCTTTTCTACACACTCCGTCACACTTCCACCCTTGTAAAACGCCAGGCATAAGGTCGCGTGCGATCCGAGTGCTACAGCAGTACCGCTGCACCATACCTGAGTCTGCGCGCACAGGCCGCGCTTGGCGACTCGCTCCGCGTAGAGTTCGACAGCGTCGTCGGGGAAGTTGAACCTGCACACAGTAGGGGTCAAGCGACAACAGTAACAGTTCAAGCGACACTTAGTAGCTAATCGCGCCAAGATCTTGAAGTCTACCAAGTTGGGTAAAAGTACCTGGTACAGCCACTGAGCGAGCGGACTCACTTCGTGCGAATCATCCCATTTTTCACGGATTAGCGTCGGACACGCAATCCTTCCTATCTGTGTTTCCATAAAAAATGACCTATTGAGTACAGCGTTCAGTTGGAAGCTACACAGGCAACACGAGGAGCCTGACATGACCTCTCCACCAGCTGGATCCTGCTGTATGTTAATCGTATGCTTATCTTGAGCAACAGGTGTGCACAGCAGTACAAGTTGGCATGTGGAGTGTACACAATTAGACAAGAGTTCCAGGCGACCGAGCGCACGCACCGCTTCTGCACCACGGAGGTGAGCTCCCTGATGCGCTGGCCCTTCTCGCCCAGCACGTTCTGCGGGCGGGTGGCGCTGATGATGATCTCAGTGCGCAAAGGGGTCACGCGCACCTCCACACCGGCGTAACCCTCCTCGGCAAGCTCCTGGGTAAGAAGCTGGCGGCCGAGACGAGCGGTTGCGGATTCGTGATTTCCAGGCAAAGACTTGGATGACAAGTACGGGCCCAACGAGGTGGTTCGGGACCACAGCGCAGAGAAATCAGCTCCTTCGTGACGAGTGATGGTAAGTGGCAGGCTGGCTTACCTCGTTGAGCTCGGCGTAGAACACGCCGTCCGCCACGAACTTGCGCTTCTTCGACATGTTGGTCGCCATGGCTGCTGTGCCTGAAAAACAATGGCAGCAATAAGGGTCGTTCAAGGAGAAGCGCAAGGCAGTTTCCAGACTTTGTACGCGTTGGCCACTGCTCTACCGCAGGGAGACACGACCGAGTTGGCCACTGCACTATCGCAGGAAGCCACCAAGTGTACGCTGCTTGTCGGCTACGAGCCTGCTGCCAGACGGGGGACCTTCGCGCAGCAAATACATGGACACGAAGGCGCGCAAAGGCAGAGCAGAAAGCTTGGGGGGAGAAGCGAGCAACCGACACAACGCCAACACATCACGCCAACGAATACAATTCCAATACATCACACCCCCAGCTCACCTTCAGAGTCCGGGCCGGGGGAGGGATGTGTCCGTGCAGCGCGCCGCTCTGCTCCACTGCTCTTGAGGGGGCCAACAAATGCATCCATCCATACCTTCCCTACCTACCATGACATATTTGTTCTGTAGCGCGTGGACCCCTATCTACCGACCCAAACACCCGGCAGCCCTGGACATCGCTGCCCTTACCTCTCCTCCTCCGCTTGTTCTCTCTATCCCCATGGCGAAGCGTAAGGCCGAAGGTGGCCAAAGAGGGGGAAAAGCGCCGGCACGACCGCCTCCGACGCGACAGCCGCCACCAGCTCAAGGCGATGATAGCGATGACAGCGACATCTGCGAGATCGTGAGCCCCCCCCCTGCTGCTGCTGCTGCTGCTGCTGCTGCTGCTGCTTCAAGCAGTAAGAAGCCTCGGCGACAGCAGCCGCACCAGCCTGCTCCTCGACCTGCCATCGCTCCGCAAATCTCCCCAGGGCTAGGTACGAATCTTCCCTTCCTTCAGTCTCCAGCCGGGGCTGCTGCTGGATTGCTGTCGATGATGTCTGGGATTCCAGCCGGAGGGTTTGCGATGCCGGCAGGGCCAGGGGCCGGTTTTATGTTTCAGCAACAGGGCGCCTTCGCCCAGCACTTGCAAGCATCGGGTGGGGCAAATCCTTTCGTGTACGCGGCGGCGGCTCCGCAGGCCCTTCCTCACGCAGCCGGACTGAATGCGAGGTTTTTAGCGGGGTCAGCCATGGCTCATTCGGGCGCTTCGTCCGCCGGCGGGGCTTCAAGCGGGGCACCGCAGCGCGGTGAGATTTGAAATTGTAATCTATGCGTAACAGTGGGATACGGGCGTCTTCACACATGAGTAACTGCTAACTGCTCCAGTGGTGATATTGTCTGACCATTCGCCCCCGGGGTGGTCTATCTAGTGGATAACCTTGTAAACCTTGAAGCAGCAGGTCGTGGGTTCGTTTTTCGTATCTCCGGCGGGGGTGAACTCTTTGCAATTCTGCGGTGTGGAAAGAGGCTTACTTACATCTAGAGCGGTGGTCTATTTATCATGGATGAACCCTTCACTCGTTAATCGTAGGCAAGCACGGGGAGGTTGGACGACAACAACCCAAATCCCTGATTTGCCTTCCTCCTGTGTGACGATGCCCCCGGCTGATACTCACTCAAATGTGTACGGAACGTGTAGGCTGGTGCCAGAATGGATGACGACAAAACACCCAGACATCCTTGTGAGTTGATACAGGTACAGTGCCGAAGTATCGTCGGAGAAACCTACCAAGTAATTGGAGTAGGAAGGATGCGCTTGTACTTCTTGAAATTGACAGCCAAACAACCGCATCGATGGACAGTAGTTGGACGTGTGTAATTTCCAAAAGATGAAGGTTTTGAGCATATTTTCGCATCATCCGGTGATGGTAAACACCCTCTGTCACGGGGAACTTGCATCTCGTCTTCCAAATCGAAGTATCGGGGGTGGGGCGCAATGGGTGTACTTGCCCACGGTGCTAAAGGAACAGCTCATGAGGTCTCAAACTTTCGTCTTGAGTGCACTCTCATGTGCGAACAAGCAACACTCGATCGTTTATCATGACGTCAACACGTGTTCCTCATGTTTTGAGTAGAATCATCTCGGAGAATATCGGATGTTGTGTGCTTCATGATACACTTGAACGCTAAGTAAGTGTGTGCCTCAGAACACTTCACATGACATGAAGGAGTGATCCACCCACCATGAGGCGAGCGCCCAGGCATATAATCCAATGATGAGATGCGTGCCCTTCGGGAAGTCCTGCACGCTCATCCCCAAATCTCTGCAGATGAGTGTCAACACGGGTTACCTCAAATACCTTACCTCGGAGCTGCAGGGGGCTACAACAGTCTGCAGCAACGCCTCCCATTCAGTTCTTGCTCCCGGCGCGTTTGATACTAGCTTTCTAGACATTCTTCTGTTCACCCCTTGTTCGAGTCGCCTTGTTGTAAAGCCGTGGTTGCTGATGTCCTCCAATGCCGCTCTTCGTGCATGACGTGGATGTCGGGAAATTGTGTTTCAGCCTCGCCCCGCGCCCGGGTCCGCGAGGGTCCATCAGCCCAAGAGGTGAAAGAGGAACCAGAAGACCCTCTGCGCCCGAGACCCGAAGAGGTTGGGATGGTCGATATGCTTCGTAGGCATGGTGTGAACACGCCGGATGCCGTGCACTGTCTACGGCAAAGTGGAAACCGGGTGGATGTAGCCCTTCGCTACGCGATGGAGATGAAAAACACTCGTCACGAGAACCGGCAGACAGACATGGCTCGCGTGGAGTCCGAGAAGGAAAAGGATAGGGCCGCGGAACAGCAGCAAGAGGAGGACAAAATCCTGATGGTGCTGGGCGAAGTTATTCCACATTTTCCAAAGGTACTTACCAACCACGAGCTAAGTTACGAATTTGCCATATTTTTGTGATACCATCAACCTGGTTTTCACCCGTGTGGGTTATCTACCAAGCCCCCTGCAGAACTTGTCACTCGTTCGTCATATCGATTGTATACATATTCAGAACGGTGAGGTACTCTGCTGTATCGTTTCGTTTCGTGGCGGTGAAGGGTAAATCACTACCCCCCCCCCCCCTAACGTGTGATGTCAACCCTCTACGTCCCCACAAACAGTCCATACTCCTGAATGCTGAGGATGGCTGCACGACCTTCCGACAATTCGTAGAGAGGCTTTCCGCAGGAGATCCGAAGTTGTGCGACTTTCGCGAGACGGCCATTACTCTTCTTTTTCTGGAGCGAGACGCCTTCCGACACTATCCCGAGAACGATCGCCAGGTGAGGAGAGGGCCGTACGTTGTATAAATGGTTTCGTTTTTACTGTAGCCAACCTAGGGTCCAGGGCCCGCGATTTTACTGTGTGTGCCGTCGAGACACGAGAGAGGCGGAGGAATTGAGTATTTGTAAATTCACTGTGACACGCAAATTTTGTCAACCCAGCGGTTGTCCTCGAGATTTGACTCCGAGTATCGCGTGCCTGCTGCATGGCTCCACTGAGGGTACTGGAGTTTAAACCGTTGCTTGCAATATATCGTACCGGTACCGATATTCTATCAGGCGCTGGTGCATAGGATGCTGAAACCCATCGGACCGCCACACATAAAACACTCAGTCGCACACGATTCGTTCTTTGTGTGTCGAAAACAGATTCGAGAATACTTCGGTAAACTCATCGAACGAATACAGAACCACTTTACTGGGCGTCAAACGGAGGAGGTGGAGGGCGCGTCGTCACAGGGAGGCACGGAAACGGCCAAGAGATCTAGCTCGTGCGAACGAGAACCAAGAGCTAATCGTTGTGGCGACAGCAGCGAGCGCGATGAAGAGACTGAAAGCCTAACAGCAAGGGTACGAGAGGAAGTCGAAGCCTTGCGTAGTATTTTGTATGGCTTCCCGAAGACGCCAGGTGGGGTTCCGGACGCGTTTCTAGACAAGCAAGCGGCACACAGTGCCACGTTAGAGAGGGATGGCGTGGAAGAGGACCATGATCACAGTCGCTCGGCTCGAAGCGAGGATCCCGTTGTCATCGACGTTGACGATTGAGGGAAGGCGGGCTGCGCGGGCGGGCGACAGTAACGATCGATATGCGGTTGTGTTTTTACATCGAGGTTTGATGCGAGAGGAGCGTCAAGCGTTGTACATGACTACGGCTCCACGGAAAGTTCCCCGGTGCGTGATTAAGTTTTTAACGTCGGTCGGGCGTCGTATTTCATCCACAAGACTAAATACTGCAAGGCTGGGTCTACTACAAAAGGGCGCAATTTGCATACTATGTCTATAATACATGCTAATTGGACCTTGCATATGGACACTTCGAGGTCATAACCATCCACAACAGCCATGTAATACTACGCCGTTAATGACTCCTATCTGCGCTGCATTTCGAACATTTGTCAGCTGACGAATCGCTTAATTCCTTGAACCGCACACAACTACTTGTTGGATCGCTCCGTCATCACGCCACACCGCCGGCGAAGTAGTCTTGCCGCTCCTGCCTGCCTGAATCACGAACTGGGCTGCTCAAGGACCGCTTCTGCCGCTCGTCCGTATCTCTGAAACGATCGCTCGTGGTTGACCGTTCTGATCGGCTGCGCTTGCCGTGGTGTTCCCCGTGACCCAAGCCAATCCTGGGCGATCGGCGGCAGTCAGTTCCGTCCGATTGTTTGCTAGGCCTGATGCGAACTTTTCTCGTGCCCCTCCTGACACCCTTCCGGGGCCGTCGTGCAACCCTAGTAGGATCGAACAGGACGCTTGTTTCGTACATGATATCTGGCGAGAAAATATCGTCGCGTTTGCCCTTCCGATGCCACCCAGCCCTGGCGTGGGAGTCTAGCCTTGTTGCCTCACGCAACCCAGTCAACCACGCGCCGTGCACTGTTGAAGGGTGGTATTTCGTTGTATGTTCGCCGGCGAAAAGAACCCGTGGTTTGCCCCGCCGATCGGAGATGGGTTCTGCTAGGGCGTCATACTCTTCCGCGCTGTGATGTCAAGAGATTGAGCGGGGGGATGCAACAAGTGGCAGGTCCATTCGATTGGTCACCATGAAGCATGATTCTGTTGCGTTCACACGTGCGCCTCTTGACATGAGATCACCCGGTCGGGTGCTGGAAAGAGATAAGATTGGGAAACTGCCGATGTGGATTATTTGGTGTGCGTGTGATACAGTATTTCTCACACAAGAGCAGGAGGATACTTTTGCTCAGAGTACTCCGCGACCACCCTTGGATGTCGGGATACTACTGGTGCGTATGCGACTTTCCATACGTTATCCCTGCCTGCCCTGGTTTGCAGGCTAAAGCTACCACGGACTTGGGACCCTTCAACCACGTCGTCGAGCATAATTACTCCAAGGTTCAAACTGTCGTAGAGCACACACAACGCGCGAAGGGTCACCTGCATCCTGGTGGGATAAAAGAGAAGCTCCCTCGTGAGAACTTGGACGTTTTCCATCGTGTCGTTTGCGAGGAAACAGGGTCAGGAGCGTCCGGGTATATCCGTCGGATGACGTCCATTGCCCGTCTTGTGATCTCCGCATCGCCTAACCTCTCTATCAACACAGCGAACGGCCCGCCACTCATTGCCACCAAGATGGGGCGACCGGTCACTCGGCTCATGTCCATGAACAGGAGCCACTTTCGTCTGTCTTTGCCAGCGTGTCCGAGGAAATCAACTTGGTCCCAGAATATCCTTGGGAAGTGCAGCACTAGCTTGTTGAGCGTCCCCATCCCCATGCTACGAATGGCCGCCAGCTTGGAATCTTGAAGCGCAGGTTTGAACCTCACCTGCCGGTGGAGCAACGAACTCCGTTGTGAAACTTTACAACAATTGTAACCGCTACCGGTTGCCCACGAGGAATCATGCTTCAGCCCACAACGACGCAATTCTGCACATGGGGAATCTGAACATGTGCGGAGTTCGGCAAACAGCTCGTAGAGTTGCGAAAAATCGGCACCTTGTTACGTACTCTGCACGTTTTCTTGCTGGACTTCGTAGTGGTGGACGAGTCGTGAGCGGGGTCTTCGAGGTACCACATGTACTGTAGCTCAAGGGGAACCGCTTTTCATGTGCCTGATTTCACTTCCCTGCCATGGGGCAATAGAGCGCTCCAGGTACATTTGCGTACCCTGTGCCTTTGCTAAGGGTAGCGACCAATGAGTAAAGTGAAGAAATATTGGCGCCCGCAAAATAACCGGTTGGTTTTCGGGCTCACCACGGGCTGTGCCGAGCTCTAAAATTATCGACTCACAGCAATCCCAGAGCCATCCTGCATGGAGTGCTTCTCCGCACCGCACAAAGGTTGCTTGCTCAAACGCCACGGCCTTCGGCCACTACTCTCAACTCGGCCACAGCTTTCGCACGATGTGACGTCAAACCGGAGTGTCAGCAAAACGCAACCCACACACAGAAACTGAATTCACTACTGGCGTCTCGCTGACTTTGATCGCAGCTGACTCTCATGTGTGGCTTGTTTGGTGCATGCCCCCACGAGGCTCCTCAGATATCGCAATGTCTCGGTGCTGGATCATACAGCTAGCGATTTGCCGCCCCCGGCATTTGAACACTCTAACATGATACTGTATCACCAGAGTTCATGTGATGGGATTCTAGAATATGACCGTGCAGTTCCGCGTTCCTGGGCTATTTGTTCTATGAGTGCCTTTGTCTTCCGCCACAAGCGTATACTTCGGAGTAGGAACTATGGAGAACGAAGTATGCATACGTTCCATCAGGGTTGTCTAAGGGTGACCGTTCCACTCACCAGCCGCGCCTTCAGCACACCCAGAGGCAGTGTAACCACAACGTAGCCGGCTCGGAGCGTCGTGTCCTTTCCTTCACTGTTAACCACCACCTCCACGTTCGACTGGGCGTCATCGAGGCGAATCATCTTCACTTCGGTGTTGAGCCGGATGTCGAGCGTCGCCGCAACTCTCGACGAAAGCGCCGCGTACCCCTCCTTGATGATCACATGGTCCCCGTCGAAATCGTACTCGTCGTCCTGATTCCAGTGAAGGTGGTCTAGCTCATTCAGGTCCTGCCAGGTGTGAGAGAAGCGGTGAGGGAAAAACGGCGCGAAAAGCTCGTACCCTTGAGAGGGTTCCGTCGAAGGTGTGCGCCAGAGGTCGCCGGCAACACTCTCGCTAGTGCCGTTGCTGTATCATGCCGGAGTACGCAGTGTTGATGTGAACAATAATCGAGACGAGATGGACTCCCCGTGATGTGGCAGGAGAAATGGGCAGTCGTGCAAAATTTCTTTTCTCGAAAGGAGCATGAAGCTTCGTACGTCGGGGACGTGAAGGGTGCATAAAAATGTGTTCTTGCGTGTTGCATAGTACGCAAGCGATCTAGACCGCGACAACAAACTTAACGTTATCAATCTGCCATTGGAGAAGGCACCGTTCAAGCTAGGCGACCACACCCGGCGGTCTGCATCATTCGGAGCACCACCGCCAATGCACAAGCTGGAGTTACTCACCGCGCCACACGAAATCTCCAAGTTTCCCCGGTGCCAATCCCAAACCTCCATTTCCGACTTGGAGAAGCTGGCGAGGTGCACGCGAGCTGTTTCTTCCAGCACCTTGCCGAGGCTCGCCGGCGCCGTGGAGTCCGTGCCATGTGCAGGTCTCTGCAGCACCACCCTATCCACCGATCCACCAACCCTCCCACTACCGACTGGCCCTTTCGATTCTTGGGCTGCGTCTATCGGTACCGCCTTGTGTGTGCCATCTCCATCAGGCTCTTGCGCGTGGTCTCTGTTCGTTCCCTCGTGCTCCACCGGCTCGCTTTCCGCGCCACTGGTGCCCTCGCCATGTGATTCTTCGCTTGTCTCGCCGCGCGAATCGTCACCCGCCGACCCCATACCGGAAGGGGGAAGGGTGTTGTTGTTATTGTTGCTATGTTTCTGTTTCTCAGCGCATTCGTCCAATACCCGGTTCCAAAGCCTCTGGATGCGTTGGTCCATGGCTTCCGGAACGGGTTGACCGTCGTTGCCCAACAGCGTACAATCGTCCATCGGCACCAGGGTGAGGCCGAGCTCTTGCGCAAGCGCCGCCACTGGGTTGTCTTCGATCCCATGGATAAACGCCTGAAAGGGTGATTGGCAGCGAAAGCAAGACAGGTTTAATATACATCAAACGATGCGATCAATCGTCTCGTGTTCGGGATCTTTGCGAACAACGATCATGAATCAAGGCCCTCTGAGCTACGCCGACTGCCTCTCAACGACGCCAAAAGATAACCCCCGACGGACTTGATCCAGAAATGCATGCCTGGAAACATGCGGTTCCCATACAGCAGCTGTAGTACTGTTATTACCCTGGAATGCCCTGTAGCACTCACTGCTGCCTCTCTCACTTACGCTTCTGGCCCGCTAGATTCTACTCGGTAGCTGGGTGCCTCTTTCAGCAATGCGCCCGGAGTCCTGTGGTGTAGGTTGGTTGAAACAAAGCCGTCATGCTATGTCGAACACCTGTTGGAATCGCAAAGGTAGCCAAGGTGCGAAAACTGCTACCATATCTACCGTAGAAAATAGAAAACAATATTGTACAACAGCATGCCCACAGGAGCGAACAAGGTTGTTGGAGGTACGGGGTACATGGGGCGTCCGGAACGGAGGAGCATTGAATTTTGCTAAAAATCCCGTGAAGGACCTCTCGGTTAAGCGAAAAAAAAAAACTCGCGGCATATGGTCCTCGCCAACATGTAAAAAAAGGAGTGTGGCCACCAATAAACCGAAAAGAAGCGCTAGTATCAGTGACGTACTGCAGATATTCGCCGAGGTTCGCGTGGGGAACGATAGCCCCAGATTCTTTCTCTTACCGCGCCAAGGTCAATGGCCGCTCCTCCTGTTTCGGCCACTTTGGCAGAGAGAAGGCGCCCACCGACTCTGGATGTTGCTTCTAAAACTATCACGTCATAGCCGCGATGCGATAGCTCACGGGCAGCACTGAGGCCTGCAAGCCCTGCTCCTACGACCAGCACCTTGCTCTCCATCGTGTACAGCGGGGGGGGAAGGAGGACATGAGAAGGGAGATCAACACAATGCGGCGCAATCAGCTCAGCAGTCCTCACCTACCACCCCCCCCTCTCTCTCCAATCTGTGCGGTGAAACATGGGAAGCTACTTATGCATAGGTGTCACCTTCACACCGCCCACCAGTACCCGCTACACAGAACGGATGGTGTCCGTCTCTCGACCTCTGCTGGCTTTCGCTGCTGCAAGGGCACAAGGTACAGCAGGTTCGACGGTAGAATGAAATGGAGTGCTGCTGCGCACAACGCCGCTGGTCCGTACTTGTCGGGTACATGTCACATGATGTGAACGGAACATGTTACAAACGCGGTCCGTGTTTCGGTTGGATTATTTCGTTATTCCTAAACTACGCAACAGCAGTGGACGGGTTGCTTTACACGATGTGTGGAGAACTATGCTTTCTACAGCGCACTTATTTTGAACATCTGATCGGGGATATTACCTGGCATCATCCAATCACTTGTTATCGAGTATTTTTGGAGGTATAACTTCACAGTATTGCCCCTCACTTCGCTGCTGTGTGTGGCCATGTTTACCAGAACCCCCTTGCGAGCGTAGACTGCGCCGGGTCTCCAAGCTCGATTTTTCCACAAAAGGAGAAGTTCCGGTGCCGAAAAGGGCGGCACTGCGAAGATTATGTCATCAAGAGCTTCCCGAAGACGTCTTGTTTGGCATTGGCATCCCTGGACCAAGCGACTTCAGTACGTGCCTCCGCTACTCTACTCGAAGAAGGGGAAGACACGCGCGCCACAACACGTGGAAAAGGAACGAGTGTACTACAGTAGTCTACATTCTCTCTCTCATGCAAGTCTGGAAGGAACCTTACCGAAGTACCAAGGAAATGCCGACACCTCGTTGGTCTCGCTCATCTAGTACCCAAGTTTCCCTCCATGCCAGTAATGCCGTTTTCATCTACTCTGTATTATTAAGCGAGACCCCCATTGGAAATTCACGTCCATGGAGACTGCCCAATTACCTGGAATCACTACCTGCCTTTTTTACGATCTGGCGACCGGCCTGTGGACCTTGTTGTGCCCCCGCCACTTCCCTTGTTGCTGCACCGAAAGGAAGAATGGGGCCAGCCCTCTCAGGCAAGGAAAGTTCATTCTCCGTTCCAAGCAACTCTGCTACGGCCCCGCTCCCGCCCCAGCCTCAGGGTGCTTGCCTCGTGCAACGTATCGGACGCGTGCATGACAACACCCGTTCTCAGACAGGCCGCCGTTGTGACCTCGAAATATTTTGCTGCCATTGAAGGAAATGTGGTTAGGCTCTACTTCGGATGTTGTCAGTCCGCCATATGCCAATTAAAATACTGAGTGAACTCGCGCCGCCGACGAGACGAACATGTCATCTGACCGTGCCACTACGAAGTACGTCAGCCGTAGGAGTAACGATAGATGATCCGATCGATTATTTTCCACGTGGAACGCATTGGTTGACCCCCGACAAAACATTGCCTAGGCAGCGAAGCACGGAACTCTTCGAAGATGGTAAAGACACCCGTGCTACAGCACGTGGCAATAACCTCTACCATGGTATGTTTTTCCTATCTCCACACCGAGTCATGAATTCACAAACCCCAGATATCATTCCTACAGGAACGACTGTAGTGGTTCGCTTGTGACCTCTGTAAATGCATCCCACTTTAATTCCAGCTTTGGCGAAGTACACGTAATGCACATGATAACCACGGACAGATCCGCAATACCTATCCATTGCTTGAAAATCCCTGCTGTTGTTCAAGCCGGTGGGTGCGAAATGTAAATGTAAAACCAATAGAGAGAAAGAGAGAGAGAGAGAGAGAGAGAGAGAGAGAGAGAGAGAGATCAACGTGCGCTAGCACATCATCTTCTGGGTTTGGGCGTATCATTTCCCATCTCCAGGGACTTTGATTCCCTTGTTTCTTCCATGTGCGCATTCAACGAATCCCACCTACATATTTATCAGACCTCATATTTTCCCGGAGTTCAGCCGAAAACGGGCGGCGGGTCATGTCTTTCTTTTCCGCGTCGGAAGATGCCGACACATCGTCATCTGCGCCAGATAGGTCGCACAATTATTGACAATCGCGGTCCTCACCAGACATGCTCTGAACTTTGGTGATGCCATTGTTAGTCCGAGGCTGTCTATCTTGGGCACTTGTTTCCATATCCAGTACATATGGAACTCGAGAATGCGGCGTCTTGACTGCTGTTGATGGAAGCCCACACCCTTCCCTCGCAACGGATGCTTTGCTTGTGTCGCCAGGGCGTCTTTTTTCCTTCGGGACGGCACGACATTGCGCTGGCTTCAGCAGCCCGGTTGGGGAGGGCAAGCCACAGCATGACTTCAAAGTGTTGAACCGTGACTTGGCGTATTCGGGATGGCGGAAGATTGTGAAGAAGACGGTTCGTGTCGAGGACGAGAAAGACTACGTGTTCGATGTTGTCCATCAGGTGAATTTGATGTGCATCTATCTATGTAGGCAGACTGCTTGTGGCCCTAGAGATATCTTGGGCTGAAGAAGACACAAGAACAACGGCGTAGTGCTATACCTCTACGCCATGTCTTCATCGTGGTATTGCTTTTTGCTGAACGGCGGGTCCGATCCCCTCTCTCGAGATGTGACGCCACTGCTGTACTCGGCACGTACATGTGCAGGAACGCCACATTTTTCTGTACTTGGAACTATGTGATATCTTGTAGTTGCTAACACCAACTTGATCGTCCTTGCCGCTTGCCCAATCAAGGAGGAACCATCGGTGGCAGTTTTTGTTTGGCACACCCAAACCAATACTTTGACGCTGATCAAGGAATTCGCTCCCGGGCGTGAGGAGGTGGCGCACGGGGTTGTGGCTGGCATGTACGAGAAGAACAAGCATGACTCCCCCCTCCAGGCGGCCAAGTATGAGGTGAGTGAGGGCTCTCGATTGTATCAAACCGATAGCATAGACCGCCCCTTGTGTTTTTTTTACTCGCGCTCGATGACAAAACGATACCCGCAAAGCATCGGCATGTGGAATCCAGGCATGTATTTTCTTAGTTGCACTGACACACATGCATTCTGCAGAGATCTGGAGACCTGCCGGACAGATGTCCTTTGGTCTGAGGATTTTACGAAGAATCATCAGCCGAATACCGTCCTCATTTGAATGAGTCGTGGATGCTGCAAGTGTGTTCAAGAAGACACACTCTCATCTTCACTCTTTCTGAGTCTAGCTATTTTGTCTGGGTATCCTCGGCCACGCTTGGCATTCTTCGCCACTTTTCACGAGGAAACAAACTCCGCTGGTAGACAGTTGATCAATCTCTTCACGAAACTGTGACTCAAGCACATGTGTGTTCCGCACTGTACGCCTCGGCATATCTTTGTTTGGTAGAAATACAAAAACATCTACTGTAGACTGTATGTGTACCTCTAGCTTCAAAAAGGTTCAGACGAGTTTCAGGGAGTTGAAGGGCCATTTGACCTACAAGCCTCTACCAATCGTGGCATTAAACACAGCAGCGCCCCAATGTTGTATTCTCTCCGTAACAGTAGCTCCAAGAAGACAGCTGTAGTTGGTGGTCGTCTTGTGTACCAGCATCTAGTCGTGAATTTCGTGAGGGCACGCGCTGTAGTATGTTTGGTAGCAGAACCCATTCCGGCCACCTTCAAACTGTTGTTCCTTTGTTGCATTCGTTTTTCCGTTGCGCAGCTTGAAGAGGAGGCTCATCTGCTGGGTGGAACATGGCACACGCTCTGTGAAGATGATGAAACCACGATAAACGCTGACAAATACAGCTCCAACGAGTTCTACTGTTGGCTGGTCGTCGATCCTTACGTGACTCCGACTCCGAAGCCCATGGACGACGAGGAGTTTATCGAGATCAGGAGAGGCGTATCCATGCAAGAGTGCATGAGAATGGTAGGAAGGGGTGAACTTTCGATTGTGTCGAGTTTTGTTGTTCTTATGGGCGCCCGAAAATTGCGGCAACTAGGTCTGCTGGAGGGCGATTTCTAGTCTACTGACCAACGGTCTATCATGCTATTTGAGAGCGGATGGTGGCTTCGAAGAAGTAGACAGACAGCGCACGGTTATTTCGCTGGAGCCTTGTACATAAACGAGCTTACAACCCCTCAACCCCTCAACTCGGGCCGCGCTGGAAATGGATCTTACGACCTTCACCAGGCCGTGGTTCCATATGGTGGTGTACCCCACAACTTGTTGCAAGCTTTGATTGTGAACGGACAAAGTCAGAAGGTTCAACACAGTTGGGTGTCCGAAGCGTTTGACCTGTTGAGCGGTCAATTCATGCTTCTTGCTCCCTACGCAGCGCCCTGAGTGCACCCCTATTTTCCTGGCAAGAGAAGAAGGGGGTTGCGGGCTGTGCCTTTTGCGCGTGCCCGCCCCCTTCCATGTCTCATGGGCTGGTTGTTCTCTTGTTGTTATGGCGGTATGATTTCCCCGTCTGAGTAGGGCTGTCTGGAGTCTAGGCTCAGCCTCCGTAGGCCGTCATCCCGACGGTGATTGTTTGTATAGGGCAAGGAAGGGAAGACGTCTGAAGTGTATCTTGAATTTGGATTTGAGAAATTTAGTGTCGTTTGCAGAGATTTTTTTGTTCCATCCTTCCTTGCCCTTGCGTGCTGTTAGCTTAACCTCCATACACTATTCATAGGCATAGGGATGTTAGTTTTAGTTCCCTCGCGAATATTGTGATTTGCTCGTCTTGGGGCTATTTCAATTTTGGCAACCTCTCTTTGAGAAGCTTGAGTAGCAGCGCCGTAGCCTGCCACACGTGGGTACTGTAATGGTTTGGGGAGGGGGGTTGAACCGAGGGCAAGAGATAGGAAGATGGTCGCTCGACACAACGGGAATTACTACGCACATGCAGCTTCAACCCCCTTTTTGATGGAAATCGCGACACGAAGCCCGCCCGTAAGAAGGCAGAGAGGTTAAAACATGCATTACTATTTGCCAAAGAAGGTGTTCCATCGTCCATTATGCTTCGCACCATAAGAAATTTTCACAACATGGAGACGTGCCGAAGGGTTGCAGTGGGATTGAGTGACGCCTCTGCTTTGGTTGTGTGGGTCTCTGATGGAAGGGGATGCACCATCATTACAATATATGATTGAGGTTCTGTATTATATTTTCTACTTGTACTCTTGGTGTTTTACAAGTGTGTGTCGTTTTGAGGTAATCGCCCTGTGATCACGGAAGGCGTCCGCGTCAGCTGGCAGATGTTCGAAGGTATATACTGACCAGAGACCGGGGAAGGGCTAAGAAGATGACACACGAGGAGATCTTCCGCGCAGCACAGTCTATGCGTATGTACATTTAAGATTTGGTCACTTGCTGTATCCTTTTTTCTTTTTTCCTGAACATGACTGCTTCAGTTCGCTGTTGCATGACTTTGTTGCGTTTCTCAAACCAGCCACGCAGCGTGCTTCCACACAAAGGCTTGATCGGCGCTGATCGTTCAGTGTGTTGCAGCGTGACACCAACAAGTCACGCACCATAACTGGCACCCTCCAACCAGCACCATCCAATGTCCAATATCGGCCCAGAAATACGGCGGGCAGGGGGGGGGAGGGGGAGACGCGGTTTGCACACCTTCCATTTCAGATCTCGCAGCAGCTCTGATGATCTGGCCACATGGCCACATCGGACGAAAAACACCACACGGCATCGAGCTGGTGACCCCCTTGTCAACATGGCTTCACGCTCTTCTCTCGAGTACGACTACCTCTTCAAAATTGTCCTTGTTGGAGATGCGGCAGTAGGAAAAACGAACCTATTGGCCTGCTATACCTCACAGGTGTGTGAGATGCTGTTGCGTGTCTGAGAGAGGGAGAACGAGAGAGAGCGGAAAAGCGGTTGAATTGTACCATGGTAGTGTTTGATGGCGCTGCTGTGCTGCTGCTGAGCCTCGGCACGACGTACGAAGGTAACAGCAAAGTATGTTTCCCGTGACCCTATATGTACAAATGAATGTAGACGTCGTGCACTCCTGTCCTGTGTAAAAGTTGCCAAGCCCCAAACGACCCCTGTCTGCGTACCCGATTTATTTGTGCGCTAGGACAAGCGCCAAAGACCAGACGGGACTGTTCCAAGTTTTCGATCCGACCGCAAGACTACGGTCGGAGTGGAGTTCGCGACTATGGTGGTGACTCACCCTGATGGCAAGCGCATCAAAGCTCAGATTTGGGATACTGGTGAGCACCCAAAGCGCCGCGCCCCCTTGGCTGACGGCGGTGACTTCGTTCGATTCAGCGATGATTCCGTTCCGACCGACCAATCGAGAGCAAGGAGCAATGAGTTACATGACAACTGCAGCCTGTCCCCGTTTGTTTTGGGCGAGTTGTTCGGCTGCGACCGACCTTGATCTGGGAAATAACATGGAAGGTCGAGGTTTTGATACAAATATTCCGTATGTGGGGCTTCGTTCGATTCAGCGATGATTCCGTTCCGACCGACCAATCGAGAGAGCAAGGAGCAATGAGTTACATGACAACTGCAGCCTGTCCCCGTTTGTTTTGGGCGAGTTGTTCGGCTGCGACCGACCTTGATCTGGGAAATAACATAGAAGGTTGAGGTTTTGATACAAATATTCCCTATGTGGGGCATGTACGCTGTAACCTGACAAACCACGCCGTCTACCAGCATTCAACATTCGTCTGACGAAGCTGGTGCTTACCACCTACTACGCAGCTCACAGCCTCTCGCCGAATCAGGCGATGGCAATTTTCATGCCTCGAAGACCACGGCCCAAATACGGACAGCCGGAGTTTAGCTCGCCGATCGTTTGGCCACATGTGGCGTGGACTGCTTACGGAACGATATCTCTCATAGCACGCATAGACGGAATGTGTTTCGTATGTGGCCGAGCACGCCTACACATGTTCTCCCGCACATGCGGCGTAACTACGCTGTACTTGCTTCAAGCCGGGTCTCTTGACTGCTGCTCTGGACTACTGTGTTGTGAATCACATAGACTTACTGCTGGGGAGTTTATTGGTCAAATCAAACACATGTCTTAAGAGTAGAGCCAGGGGTTCGCACAGCAGCAGCGGTGTTGGAACGGATGAGAAGAATCAACAAGCAAACGATGTTGTACGCGTTTACCCAGCGACGTGCAGCACAAGTTTTTTCATGTCCCTTTTCTTCCTTTTTTTTAAATGACGGTACATAACAGCATGAGTTGTAACTTCCGCAGCGTATCGGGTGTACACGCATAGACTACACCGGCATGGCGCAATCCCGACCAAATGTCCAAATTGACACTCTTTTTTGCGCTGCCTGGTGGTACAAGTCATGAGGACACCCCTCCTCGTTTTGTTTTTGATGCCCACGGCTACCGTCTGCTTCATCTGACGCTCACCCAAACATTGGGAGTGTGGCCCAGTGCGGTGAGCTGTGATTGCTCGCGACCACCGAAAGATTCCGTCACTAGTTCCAAAGTTCAAAGCGTGCGAGGAGCATTTGCTGAAACAGGCGTTTGAACGGCGCGGTGTCGACGTTGAATCGTACCTCTGTGGAGGAGGAATGAATTCACCCCCAAGCGCTTGCAACTCTTACAGTAGCGCAGGTAGAATACAGGTTGATGTAGTCGACAAATATGCGCAGTATTGAAAGTTGTTGCCGGGAGTTCGGATGCAAATGACAACAGAAGTGCGTGGGCAGCCGTTCAGGAACAGCGTTCACCTACCTGTTTCCCCGTGTATGTCTCTCCCACCCCGTGTTTGCACTTGTCGCTCCGCCCGTGCGATTCACTCATGTGTCTGTCTCACCAGCGGGCCAGGAGAGATACAGGGCCATCACCAGCTCGTGAGTGCCCTCTGTGTGCTTCAGTTTCGTGCATCAGAGTGTGGCTGTATGTTGGAGTCGCAATGTTAATGTCGCCAGCGGCTTGATTGACTTGGTGCTGGACGGTCGTGTTCGGGTGCAGTACGTAGTGAACGAACGTCGAGAAAGTGCCTCCCGCGCTCGCTCTTACAACACGAATACATGCATTCGCTCACGAACAGGCACTACAAGCGGGCGTCTGGAGCACTGCTGGTGTACGATGTGACGAGTAGGTCCAGCTTCGAGAACGCCGAGAAAGTGTGGCTTCGTGAGCTCAAGAACGCGGCGGATTCCAACAGCAGCCTTCTTGACAGCCTGGTGCTCGTCGGCAACAAAGTCGGTACGTCTTGACGTTGTGAGCGTGAGCCAGGAGCAGCCTGTCGATATCACGCTTCCTTGTCTCCATTCCCATCCAACGCACTGCCAGTGGTTACAATTGCTGCCTGTTTGTGTGTATTTTTTATTATTTTGCATCAACTAACCGGCTGACCAATGAAAAGACGTCAGTCTCAGTGCGGTGGAAAACACAAAATGCTTCCATAGGCCACGATCTGGGACCCTGTGACCGGAGGAGTCTACGCTACTCTCCGGATGCGTGTGTGTGTTCGTCCCATCTATTCTGGCGACGGTTTACAGGTCTTTCGGCGTATATACCTGACGTATCAGCCGGTTACTGTCTGGTGCTATATAAATAGGCCACGGAATAAACTTGCCTTCCTCGCTGTGTCGCGCGATTTGAACTAGAAAACACAGAGTAGATATATGGCCATATTTTTGGATGCATTCCCCCCTTGATTAGTGTGCTTGGTTCCAATTTGGGTGTGCCCCTAGTTCGGAGTGCGTAAGTACATATCTGCAATGGATGAACGCGTTGCGCTTCAATACTTGCACCTCGAGGCGTGTATCCGATGTTAGAGACGTACTGTACTGTACGGAAGTCCCTCGGCTGTGCTGATTCCTCGTCAACACTCGCACCTATTGCAGATCTGCCAAACGCCGACGTAACGGAGGCCGAGCAAGAATCCAGCGCCATGAGGATGGGACTGGCATCGTCTGCTCGAGTATCTGCAAAGACTGGGCAGGGCGTGGATAAGGCGTTCGAGCGCCTCATATTGCGGGTTTACGAGGTCGAGCATGGTCGTGGACAGCAGGCCGCACCACCGAAGGAGGCAGCTCCGAAGGGTATCGTCTTGGCGACACCGAAACCTCGGGCGGAAGAAGATAAACTGGAGTGCTGCTGATTCGGAGCGACGATGCCCGGAAGCGTACAGTACGTATCTTCCTTTACCGTGGGTGGAGGAACACGGACATATTTCACGTAGGACGGAGGACATCCCGGCTCCGTTCTTGATTGTGCCCTTTCAGAAAAGAGAGGAAGGGGTGTGCTTGGCAATTCAAGCCCGCCGTCGAAGAAACGTCGGAGTTACTCTTTTTTAATGCCAGGTTAAATTGCCGGGGATTGGGTGGAGTACTGCCGGGGCGTTTCCAATAGCACCGGTAACCTGGACTTCTGCTGGGTACGTTGCTCTTGCCCTGGTGACAAACAAACAGGCAGCCTGGCACCGAACTTATTGCATTAATTTTGCTGTGTTGTTCAGGAGGGAAGCAAGGCTTGACAACGCAGTATTGGTTGTACAGCAGTCATTTTTGTCGTTCTCTGTTTGCGAGTCCTTGTACTACGTAGTTGCTTTAAAATGCTACAGGATTGTTGAGGGAAATTGCCGCATTTATACCAAGGCAAGCGTTTCAACAGGTTGCGTTGGATTCAGGTGTTGATTTGCTGGGCGGCATAGAGGTATCATGCGTTGGCCTGTGGACGTGAGTTGGCCTGTGGACATGAACCTAGTTTGTACCGGCCGAAAGCTACGACACTTTGCATGCGTACGGCGGCAGATTTCCGAAACACCAGATCTAGGGTCCATGCGAATATGCACAGGTAAACAGTCTGTAAACCTGGAACGCTCTAAGAAGTCTCCCAACTCCCGGCGTACTGCTTCAGGTGGATGTTTTTTCGCTCGGGGCGCGAGTTAGACTTGAGCACGTTCCGTTCAACACAATGCGCGTCTGTTGACGCTCCCCCCTATATTATTGGCTTGTCGTTTGTGTTAACAACGAAGTGTTCCATATGATGGTCGCGCTGAAGCCAAGAGTTTTCCTCGGCCACGAGCCAAGCTCACTTGACACAAGAGTATCTGTCAGCGTGCAACATCCTCACCGAAACTGAACAAATACTATAGCATGCGTGTTGCCCTCGCATCAATACTGCACGACAGGTTACGACTTTCCATGAAAACTATCACCCCATGGTCCTCCTTGCCAAGACCCCGCTGGTCACACGAATCACAACCCTTGTTTTTTTGTTTTCTTGCTTTGGCTCCATGGACAGAGACAGGAGATACGTCCAACACACAAAAATCCGAAAGTAGCCAGCAAAGCTCTTTTATCTACATCGTCTCGGTGCAAGCTTGTCGCGGCAACGAAAAACACTAAAAGCCTTGGGTCACTAAAGCTCAAACTCCTCTTCAGACTCATCGTCATGACTCTTCGAACAATCTCCACCGTCAGAGGTCCCTTCCTGTTCGTTCACACTGCGCCGTTTCTTCTTGGGAGGAGAGCCGTGGTCTTCTGACCTTTCTCTTCGCCGCGATCCCTGGACGACGTTGCCAAGGTCCATGCCGTCCAGGTCGTTCTTCGTTTCGGTTCTTCGCCGTGCTTGCGCGATCTGCCGAGTGACAAAAGAGCTTAGACTATGGCTGTGGTGGTGGTGCGGATTCGCGTCATGTGTAACCTTCTGTACAAGCGCACGTGCAGTAAGGTGCGCCGACGACTGCGGGTCGGGAGCAGAGGGCGGAATCAAACAAAAGGCTGCCTGTATGTTGGGGTTAAGTTCACCAGATCGGTGAATTGTACTTGAGATTTGGATTTAGATACACGTTATAGCTTACAAGTATTCAACAACAGTTGTGTGCTACTTGCCATACCTCTTTGGATGACGGGAATAAGCCCTTGAACTGTGCGCCAGAAGAGATGAGCCTCTCCCGAAGTGTTCTCTCCGCATCGCGCCTCTTCATCTGCTTCAAACCTTGGAGCGGTCTGGGTCTGCAACGAGCAACGAGGCAAGAAAGGATGACGGCGGTTGGTTGGTTGAGCGAAGGTCAGGACGTGCAAACCTTGATCTTGCAACAGCTGCGTTGGACCGCCCAAAGGAGGGGACTACCTGTACAGGACAATCCCGAGAGAGGGCCCCTCTTGCAAACCAGTTCCCATGGCATGCATGCATAGCTGAAACAAAGTTGTCCGCAGATAAAATGGTGCTGGGGCCAACTAACTCATATCGATAACCAATAATTTTTCTGGAAACCACAGAATCAGGAGGAAATTCCCAGGCCAACAGAGAGCAGCTGCGATTATTGAGATCAACCCTTACGGTCGAAAAAAGGAAAAACACTGGCTTTGACTCGACAGACCACCAGCCGATGGTTGGTTCCTTTCGAACCACCACACACGACAGGCATCAACAGCGGCTATTGTCATAAGATCGAGAAGGATACACGACCTGCTCCGTGTTGAGCAGCGCCACATCATCAGCGCACAACAAGCAAATAAGGAACGGCCGGTTGTGTACTTGAAAAGAGTAAGAACCATGATCTGCGCTCTTTTTTTCCTTCTAAGATCGATCTCTGAAGGATTGTCCTCCTTGCCTCTCTCCAATAAATGCTCCCCATATAATCCTGGCTGGTGGACATGTTGTCGATTGGTGGTGTATTCAAGATGCTCAGCAGAGAGTCGACACACAAGCAATCATCTGATCTGTACATATCATCACCATACAAACGCCGCGACACGTTCCTACACACCAACAAGCTAGCACACGGGTGCCGTGCAAAGTGCAAACAAACGTGCAATTAGTGCCGCGTGCGCGCAACAACGCCTCCACAACGACCTCACACCTAAATCCCGGCCAAAAAATCTCGCTGGGATTTGGCCCTCGAAATCCCAGCGCAGGAAATGCGATCTCGGGGTGATTGGAATTTGAAAGCTCGGTTTTCCAGCAAATACAGTAACAGCACCATCAGGGGGTACAGTATGTCCTGTCGTCCTGTCGGCCTCACCCCAAACCCTAATCTGAGGAACTGCTGCAGACCTTCCACAAGAGTTGGCCTGACAACACAGCAGATATGCATACCTATAGTATATCTTCGATGCCTGCTGGGCGTAATAAAAATGGCCGTTGATACTTTTTTGATAAAGTGTGAAATTGGAAATTGGGGAAGCTACGAATGTAACTGCCGTTGTCGCTCTTCTTGGATCTTGGAAAAACATGCATCGACCACCAAATGCTGTTACTCTCGTGATATGTTACACCCACCCAAGGTTCATCGCCCTGGCCAAATCCCTCATTGCTGGCATGGCATCGCCTTGATCATTGTCATCTGATGACGAAGATCCACACTCGTTGCGATCATCCTCGTCACCATCCTCGTCATCAACCCCTTCCTCCGTGTGGTCGTCTTCGTTGCCGTTGGCCCCTTCTTCGCCTTCCTGTGCGATGAGCGCCTGAAGCGCGACTTTATGTTGTGTGAGTTCCTTAACGGGGACATGAATAGTGGCCGCAATCGTTGTCTTGAACTCCTTCCATGTTTGCGTCTTCCATATTTTGTGCTTCATAACCTCCTTCGCCCCTTGCTCGACATCCTCCCAGGAGACAATCGATGGCACGACCATCGCTCTCCCTCTCTCTCTCGCTGTCTCGTCTCCAGCTGCGTACGACAGCTAGAAGTGGTGTTGAAATCTAGGCACTTCCCAATCCTCTAGACGTGGGCGGGTGGCGTTTTGGTGAGATGTGATGTCGACTTCCCGAAGCAAGACCTGGTGTGCAAGGCGGCCAGTGCGAGTGGCACACCCAAGACGTACATCAATCTGCACAGACACTTCATTTCGGGGCTCCGTGTATCAATCGGTGGGGGGTCGATCATCGCAAAGCACATGATGATTCATTTTTGTCTTGAATACTACACCACACGCCAGCAGAGGGACAGAGAGGAGATAGAAGGGGAGTAGAGAGACGAGAGGAGCGACAGAGAGGAGATATAAGGTTGCCGTTGTTTGTAGTCCAGCAATGCGGGACGGAAATCCTAGACGGCGTACCGCTCGAACAAAGGTTCAAACAGAGGTAAGTGGACTATTGTACAGCAGTAGTTGCTGTGAAAGTGGTCGTGCTGCTTACTCCACAAATCATGACATGATGAATCGAACTAATAGACACGGGGGCTCTTACGTAGGAGAATTCTCGATGTACAGTAGTATAGCATGAACAAACACCTCCCCAGTGACATTGTGTAGAGAACTTATGGACTTTCCGCTGCAAGAAGAGCTTCGGGAGGAAGTCGGAGCCTTTTTGGCCAAAACTGGTCTTTTGCGAATTTCTGAATGAAAAGAGCACAGGCGCCTGCTGATTGGATGATGCGGACAGTCCAGATCTGGGTTCCAGGTGCAAGGCTGCCTCCCCACTCCCCACCTGAGCCGTGTCTTATCAACAGCCTTACATGCATCGAATGGGCCAATTGATACGGATTACAGACAACACCTTTGCAGGAACGCGTCGTAAACGGGACACGAACAGGTTGTAAGATTTACTCCTAGACTTGTAGTGTATGTATATTTAGGGAGAAAGCGAGACCTCTACTACTGTAGGTCCAAGCTCTAGTTTGCCCGGTGACTCCTTCTCATTTCATCGGTGGGTACGGTTTTCTTGCACGCTTGCCGCTGGTAGCTCTTCCAACAGTGCACTGATAGACGCGGAGCAACTTCGCTGCTGAACCTGCGGTATCGTCCCGCGATTCGCCTTCCACTAACTACTTACTCCCGTCTACGTAACACCCGCACCCACACTACTGCTGTTGTAGTGAAAGCAACGCCAACAAGCCGCTTTGACGGGTACAAACAGGGATGTGATTTGGTGCCGTACCAGGGATACCACATTTAAATCCCGCAGTACGTGTAGTGCGTCCCCGGGAACGGGGAAAAGCCTCTGCAATTCTGCCCTCCTTATGTCGACTAACCGCAAACATTACGGTGAGATACGAAAAGGCAGGTAAAACTATGTAACTTCCCGCCCCCTACAACGGCAAGCACAACCTCAAACGAACATCAGTGGATTAAACTGGAACTGTTTATATTGTTCATGCGCACAATTGAGGAAATGTTGAACCCTTCTTGCGTAAAGAACCAAAGTCATGCACCGTAGAGGAGTTCTCCCGTGCGAATTCCGACTACGGGACCCCGGATCGGAGCTCGTCTGTTAGCGAGGGCCACCGCACGGTGGGAACAATTATTAATATAAGCGGCGGGTAATTAACAAGATGGCAAGAAAAAGAACGCGCACATGCTGTTGTCCCGATTCGATTGAAATGCTATCGTATGAGCTGTTGTTGATTATGGTGTCGATTTCGTTGTTGCTGTTGTCTTCACAGTTTTCACCCTTATGTGGCTACAGGCCGATTCAGCTCGGTTCTCACTCCGATCACTTTGCGTGCCGAAAGATCGCCGTTGTGCCTCGGCTAAGAGCAAAAAACATACATAGAGACCAGCAGGGAGACACGGGCAGCCCACCCCAAAAGCACGCTTATCAGCAATGCGCACAGGACTCACACAGTACAATACTATTCACCCATGCCTAATCTCTCTGACGTGGGGCAGATATCCTTTCCAGATCCAATCTACTGCCTACCAGCTGTCAAGATTCAAACGCAAAATACCACCACTGAAGGGGACATACAGCACCCTGAACATGTGATCAACCCGGTGCCGCATCCGCGTGGGAGAGCAGAGAAAGCGCACACCGGAGCCGATGCTAACGTACTGCCTCGGTGCTTGATGTTGTTGTGATTGCGGTGCGTGTGGTTCCCAATATTGGGAGTGAAGGGTGGTTCGTCTGCTGTGTGCAAAATTTCGCTCAAAGGCAAGGGTTTTCGGGACTACAGCTCCGATCACAGCGCCGATCACAGCTCTCTATTTGTAGTACAGAATAGTTAAATTTATCACGATTTTTATGCATTTTGTGCGATAGTGGATGATGGTCTCGATTCTCTGATGAGCGGGCCGTTTTTTTGTCGATCTGGCGCTTCTGTGAGGCGGTTTCCCGTCAGCGTCTTCGCATCTAGCGCCGCTAGCATTTGCGCTTGCCGTATGCTCTGTCCAAGGATGAGGTGGAGAAGATGTGCCAACAGGTATTGCTTGCACAGGTACATCCTCTGTGCGCATGGTTGCTGTCGGAGACAGGCATGCACACCTGCTCAGAAACTACTGCTGCTGCTGTACAGCAGCCTATTTCTCTCCGCGTAGCTGCTACTGCTGTACAGCAGTAGTACTACTGTACTCCTGTTCCGTCACCCTTACATATACCGCGTCCCCATCCCTGTGAGCCCCACACATGGACCCACTGCTGCACCATCCTTGCCGCCGTGATTTATGGGTGTACACGCATGCTTGGAAGATCTTTGAACGCAGAGAGCCAGTTGTGGGGAAAAAAACAAAAAAAAATCAAATCAACCCAGTCACGTAAGGGTTAAGCGGTTGGGATCTCTATTCAGTACCCTCTCCCGCCCCTGTCAAGGGTCATACGCGTTCTCGTCAAGGGACATATGCATATTTTTTTTGTCAGTCGTCACAAGCTGACCCAAATATATGGTGGTCCCGGAGTAAGTCCCGGAAAGTGAAAATAAAGCAGCTTGGAGCAAGTCCAGAAAAGCAACAACTTACAGTAGCAGGGTAGAACAAGGAAAAAATCCACCAAATTTATTGGGACTACAGCAAGAGCGCTCATTGCTCTGACTCGGACTGTGAGCCACAAGACATTTCAGTACATTACAAGTTAGCAAAGACCCGAGGACTGTTCATCGTCGGGATTCCGACCGGCCAGGCCATCCCCATTCAACGCCCTGGAGGTGTAAGAAGGGACAACAACAAATCGAATGTAAACAAGCGCACCTGAACGTAGAACGCTCTGTCTTACAATGTATAATCTAAACGCGAGAGGGGGAATGGACGCCTTAGAAAAACCGAGAGAAGTGGATTTCTTTCTGGCTGATGAGCGAACTCTTGTTTTTGCTCCGAGTACTTCATTAGGTTTTCTTTATTTTTGGAGGTCAAGGATGGCACAGAACCAAGCTAACAAATGCTGCTGTTGTACAACGTAGGTTGTATTTTCTTGCGTTCATCGGGGTCAAGTGAACCTGGATGGTGTCGTAGCATACAATGCGTGCTTCAAAAATTGCACGTTCGTGTCAATGCTCCAAGATAGTTCTTGCCGTCCCTTTCCGACTGTATATCTGATATTTTAGGATGGAATCCAACGACCAAGGCCCGGGGAAATCGCACACTTGCTGCACATGGACATGGCTGCTCATCAAAAGAAGACAGCCGACTTCAACAATGGGTGGAAGGTGATTCCTTGTTGAGTGAATACGATACTGTAGCGCTTGCCACCGGAGCCTACATTATGTGTACACGTTGTAGAAGTTCCATCACTCTCTCATCGTTACGGTGTTGCCCACAGTTGGCCTCACACAACCGCTACTCTAATTGGCTCGTGAGTGTCATGAGTAGCGTTTTTCTTCAACTGAAGTCGAAAATCCTTGCCGCGAATCAAATCCAAATATCACTTTTATTCAATGGTTGGTATTTTTACCATACAGCCCGTGGATAATCTCTGACGGGGAGAGTTCCACATGTGTGAGTTGTCACCCCTGCGATTTCGGGCGTCAATTTGTACGCGTTGAAGTATGTTTGGACCCACCAGTTGGAGCACACTGGAGACGGCCATGCAGTTTATATTCTTTGTCACCTCCCTTCTGCTTTGCTGGCCATCGCGACAGGGATGCAGCCGTTCCTTTTCCTGGTCGACCATGAAGTTGAATTATGTGTGCACACGAATCTATCGTTATCTACCTTGTTGTGTGGGGAAAGTACGTACTTGAAGTAGAGAAACGATCCCGAATCATGTAACTGCTGCCGAGATTCGAGCTCCCAAACGTCAACCGTCAGAAAGTTGCAAGAATACCTCTAAACCTGGTGCGACTGGTAGCAGGACAAACCATCGATGTCCCTCAATGTGAAGAAATACGTGGATAGCATCGGAACATGTTTTGCTCTTGCTCAACAGCAGTGCTCCTCAACGTTCATCGTGCTTGCCTCAAAATTTGAGCTTGACTGGCCTCTCTTTTTTTTTGCCTCGCTCTTTATCTGTCATTGGTGGCCCTCTCTATCTCTTGCTACTGTTGCACTTTCGCTCCAGCGAGCCCTCTTGTTTGCTTCGATTGGGCTAGCGGCCGTAAGCTTGCTTAAGGCGGTCGAGAAGGCCAGAGAAGGAGACTTGGGCTGGTTGGAGCGTGGCCTGACGTCGGCCAACGCTGGCCTCATTGGGTTTTGGGTGTCGCAGGTTGACCTTCAGACGGACAAGGCGTCTCTACTTTATTGCAAGATTGCGGCTTTCGCGGTGTCCCTGTACCAGCTGGTGTCGTGGTGGACTAGTCGACAAAGTGAAATCCACGTGGACTTTCCAGTAGCTGTTATTCTGCTCATCGTAGTTGTGGCCTCTGTCGCGTCGATGAAATCAGCTCTCAATGAGGCGGACAACGCCTTCCGAGCAAGCGAAGCTCTTGCCGAGAAGGTAGATAGAAGACGTTAAGGAGATTTTCCCTCTCCTCGCTAGCAAGCTTCGTTGTCTTTGCGGTTGCGCTGCTCTTGCCCGATGGCCGTGATAGTGGCGGCAAAGGCTACCTTAGACGGCGGCGGTATCAGCTTCCCTCGAGTTAGCAGGGGACTGTGGTGTCCCTTGCATCAATTCTTGGTCACGCTGCTCTGCCTCCTTTGTTGCCTCCAACTGTACGGTCTCGTAGAACCTGCCGTATAGAATAGTATAGTAATAGCATAAGTAGGGGTTCCGTGCCTACCGCGCGAGGTTGACGTCAAGAACAGCCGGATTGCTTGCTAGTGGATAACGGTTGTTCACATCAAGGGACGGCGCAAGTTCTCCACTCCACTAGCACACGCTAGAGGTCGCTTTCGAGTCGTACAGTACTAAGCCGGCGCCAGGTGTAGTTGGTGCCCTCGAAACCTCTCTAAATGGTATGAATTGGGATCCCGAATCTGGGCGAAGCGATCTCTTTCCGAGTAGTTGTAGAGAGCGCTCTTGATTGTGACTACTTGGAAGCACAAGATACAAGTAGGAAGTACCTTTCTCGCCTGAAATACGGGCTTGTCTCTTTGGATAGAGATGACTTCGTTTCGTTTTTTGTAAGAGAAAAACGGCATGCGCCAGTTTGTTCTGTGTCACCCCGAATCTACCTCTTAGTGAAAGAGAATGACCGAAGCCTAAAATAAGAGTATTTTCTCGGTAAGTAGAATTGCGGATGGAAACAAACGTCAAACCTCCAACTATTGCCGAGTTAATGGTGTGGTGTTCACGGTTCACGATTTTTATACACGTGAGTGCACCTTTTCCCGGGAATGCGCCGCCGTCTTTGGGCAACCAACCTTCAACCTGCGTACGAACGAGTCACACTGGATGTATGCATGTAGTCGATGTACGATGTACGGCCCGCCCACAGAGGAGAGGGGAAGATTAGGGGCGCATGATGCGAGATTCGATCCACAGGGATAGCTCCACGCTCTATCTCCATATCTCCACCCTAGGATTCCAGCCACTGCGGTTTGCCAGTAGCTCATGTCGGAATGCGTAACGAATTGTGCTGTGTTGCTCTGCAAGACCAAGGTCACGCGTGTGACAGGATACGCAGCAACCTTCCTTTACAGTACCTCTTCAGCTTAGCTTTCTGCTTCGCGGCTCGTCGTAGAAATTCTTCATCTTTTCTTCGTCGATCTCGATCAAGTTCGTCCCGTTTCTCCGATTCGCTTTTGAGCATCTCTATTTCCCGCTGTTCCTTCTGCAACAGCCATGCCTGCAGCTGGATGTTCTTCTTCATTCGTTCCTGAAGTTGTGGATAGCATAACATTGGGTTCGGAAGACGTGAGTCTGATAGGCGACCTTGGCAGTGCTGCAGCTCCGAAGGAAGAGCAATCCCAGACGAAATATGGTATTACTGTAAGATGAGAACGATACGGAGAATGGCAGATCAAGCAGACGTAGAAAGCCATATATTTGTGTAGTGGTTCCACCGAATCGTGTCAACGACCACGGGCACAAGTATGATTCAAACGCTGTCCGGCGGTGCACGCCATTACGAACTACAGTAAGACATCGCTAACTTCGTCATTTCGTCATTTCAGAGGGGAAGGATGTTGTGGCGAGAAACGTCCAAATAAGCCGAAGTGTTCCGTACTCCTGAATTACCTTAGCCAGCCTTAGTTCTTTTCGAAGTTGCAGCTCCTCGTCCTTTTCCGTGATCTCCTTCTTCATCACTACCACCATCTCATCTGCGTGCTTTCCACGAAGACGATAAGCCAACTTCTCCGACGTGTGGTCTTTCTTTGGCGTGACTGGGGGCAACGCAACGTGTTCGCTTTGCGACTTTTCCTGGTGCAGCTGCCCCCCGGCTGCAACCCCTCCTTTCCACAGTTGACTCGCTGCGGGCAGCCCCCCCCGTGTTTCGCTCTGCGCCTCTCCGGGGGTGCTTTTCTCATGCGAGTTCGAGTGTTCTTGAGCGTCTATTCCTTGCCGAATCGTCTGCTGAGCGGCAGCCAACGCAGAGCAAGAGTTTGATGTCGACACGTTCAAACTGTTGCACCATCTCGCTCCCCCGGGAATACTACCGCTCAATTGAGTCAATAATTTGGCCAGATCAGCGCGCAGATCTTCTTCCTCGATGTCGAATCGGAAGAAACGCCGAATATCGAGTACTATGTGCTCGATAGCGGTGGACAAAGCCCTATTCGCCGCTTGCAGGGTGGCGACGTCCGATTCCATTTGCCCCGGCTTGTTATCACTTTTGTCAACTGCCTTGGGACCCTGATTTTCTCTGAGAGCTGTGTTTTCCCGACGCAACTGATCTATCGTCTCCTGGTACCCTAGCCTCTGAGCTTCAGCAAGAGCCGTGAGAGCAGGAGGCCGAGTGGGCCCATCGGGTGCCTCTTCGCGGAGGCTCCGAGCCTCTGCGGTATCTTGGACTAACCCACGCAGATGGTTCACCTCAGCCTGCAGGCGATGAACCAGCGCGTGGTCTACAGGGCGGCGCTCATTCACCCTGACAAAGGCCATGACTTGCTTTGCCCGATCAGCAAAGCGTAGCGTGCTGATAGTCTCATCCACAGACTGACTTGCCGGTGACAGTGTGGCGATGATCCTCGTCCTGGTGTTCCCTCCGAGAGAATCTTGAAGGAGTCGTGTGAGCTTGGAGTCTCGATATGGAACATGGCCCTTGCGCGCGCCCCCCTCGCCGTGGGAATTAGGGGTACTTAACGCGGCAATCACGCGCCCGAGCGTGTACAAGGAGACGTTGATGTTCGTCATCTCGCTAACACGAACCTCTGCCATATCTTGCTTCACGTCCCACTTCTCGGAACTGTGGCCCAACAATGGGGGTCGGAATTCGACGGTTAAGAGTCAGGCGCATTTGCACATGAAATACTACATACTCTACGTGCGCCCCCGAAGAGGGCAATGCACGTGTAAGTACATGGTTGTTTGGTTTCGTATTCCTCATCTCATTACTTCTTTGTGAAGCTCCTTTTGGGAAGTCGACTTTTCTCTCAAGTACAGAGTAACTCAGGGCGCTGTACGTACATGTCCGCATAGTACATGGAGTCAGCCGGGAGAGGAACACTATCACGACCACCGTCGAGATGCTTACCCCGCGAGATCAACAAGGTTGAACTTCGACCGAAGGATGCGCTCCCCGTCTTGCTCACTCCGGCGTTTTTGCTCTACGACGATCTGGAAGATACTATGACTCCGACTTGATGCCTGATTCATGTGGGTTTCTCGAATCGCTCTGTCAACATCAGGTCAATCGGGCAACGACCGGATAAGTTTGTATTGGTGAAGAAGAGCACATATATATCAAGAATGGCACAATTTGTTGTCTCCGTCCGCACGCATGCAGCTTTCCCCCGATCGAGCTCTTCCAAGGGTCACTGAAAACCCACACCTACCTGTGTTCTCTCCCGACACGTAACAACTGAAGGCATTCCCGGGCGCTGCGGACCGCATACTCGCTCAGCCCTTGTACGTAAATCCCAGCTTCCGCTTGCTCGTGTATGGCGAGTGGATGAATTCTCTGAGGATCTCTCAGCATGTCGAAAAGTTGTTCGTTGTAGATCTGGACGCCGCTGCACCACACTGAAGACTCACCAGCGCCGCCCATTTCCTGCCTTAAACCCGCCTTTGTAATGCGAGCACGACACAGAGTGGTTGCGGGGCGCGATGCTTGTGAGGTGTTGGGTAGGGGTGTGCGAGAAGGGAAAACATACAGCAGTGCTGGCCCGCACGTAAGAAACCAACTCAAGAAAAATGCCTGGAGAAATTGAGCATAGCGCCCGGCACTACAACAAGCAGCAGTAATTACTTGTAGTTGGTTCCTACAAGGGCGGCCGACGGCGACGATCGATGGAGCGACGGCGGGGCGATCGACGAAGGCGGCCCAAGGCCGCTCGACCGACCGACCGACCGAACCAACCCTACCCAATCCTACCCTACCCTATCCAACCCCATTTGTTCTTGTAAGAAGCCTTTGCTCTGTGGGTGGGGACGTGGGGACAACATATGTTTGAGCCTCGTTCAAAATACTACATGTACTGCCTGTAGATGTATGCACAAGTACGGTGAATACGCGTAAATCGTACGTAGAGCAATGGACAAAGCAAACACTACTATGTAGACGGTGCAACGCAACATACGCCTTTCCTTCTTACCAGCCCCTGGAACAGATCGGTGACCGCCAAAGGGATGATTCCCTTGCCATATCCCGGCGCCGTGCCTCCATTCGCGTCTAAATCGGGCCCAAACATCGTGTACGTCTTGCCCGACCCGGTTTGTCCGTATGCAAAAATGCTTGAGTTCTCGCCCTCAAGGACAGCCGACGTACATTCGCGAACATGCGAGAACACCCCCTCTTGGGACACTTCTGACCCAATCACGGCATCGTAGCGACATTGCAGTTGCCTCTGTGCTGTCGCCCCTTTCACGCGTATCGTGTTTCCCTCCCCTATCACGACGGCGACGGGTCCCGCCTCGTTGGGCAGCAGCGGGCGTATGCGCACCAGCACCTTGATGTTCTCCCGTCCACCGTGTCTTGTCGGAGCACCAGGCGCGCTCTCCTCTAATAACCCTCCAGAGGCTTCATTTTCCCCAGCATATTTCTGTTCTTCAACTATATCTGATCGTGACATCCTTCTTGTACGGGAGCCTCCCTGACAAACTCGATGGCCCCTGGTCGACGACGTACTGCAACATACCACTCAACTTTTGTAAGCCCTAGAAGTAGAGACGGCAACAACGAGCTGCTCGAAATCAAGCCATTTGCAGCGTACAGGTCAGCAATGTACTACAGAAACATATCGGGTAGAGGTTGGTTGGAGAGTCTGGTCCAGAGAGTCCTGCACCCAGATCAACGATGCAGGGATCAGAGGCGTGTGGTGTGTAAATCATATCCAGACTGTATGTAGAGATAGATACTACGAAAAAAAAATATCCGTTGTATCCATATCTTTTTGTCCTCCCCGGGGTTTCCAAGGTGCGAAATTCGGCTGCAGCCGCGGCAGGGTTTAGAACCAGTCGACCCGATGCAGTCACCATGGATACGTGGGTATCAGAGCAACTCAGACACAGGCCTCCAAACTGACATAAGCGCACGATACAGCGCGTCGTTGGATGATAAACAGCGTCAGTTTTATCCGTTCTGATCAAGGTCCAGTACCCAGCCGGTTTTCCTCCACTCACTGAAAAGACTCCACCACATCCCGTTCGACTGCTGTGGGTGTATGTCTCGAATGGGTACTATTTTTGTGCGTGTATTTATTTTTCCATAATACTTGATGTACAACAGCAGGAAGAGAATGTTGTCCCGCATAAACTGCATGAGCCGAGGATATGGTCGATGTTGTTCTTGTCGCCTCGGCAGCAGCAAGAACACCGTTCAGATGAATATCCCTCCTGCCTGTTCTTCAGAGGCCGCAACAGATATTCATGGTTGTAAGCTGCCCAAAAAATAGACAACGAACGTAAAGCATGTAGCCTAACGTTCCACCACCCGGCGAGAGAGTAAATTTCGTAGCCGGGAAATACACGTTCGATGCTACATACCACACGCGTGATCTTGTGTACTACCGGATAGCACCAGAGAACCTGCTGCCAGGATTGCGCACCCAGGGTCCGGCAATCCAACGCAATAATTCGTGCGCTGTTTGAGAGAGGGAATGAAGACACACCAGTATGCTTCGAAGCACTGCATGCATTTTCGGGGGGTTACACGAAGTTGTGTGGGGCACCGCCCTCGTTGCGTCATCTAATATTATGCATTCGGTACGCATGCAACCATTTCGAAACTGTTCATCAAATCACCTACCTATAGTGATGGTACGTAGCGCACAGACTCGGGGCTTGGGACAACGCTACACAACAAACCAACAGCACATGCTACAGGCACACTGCTACACCATGCACCTTCAGAGAGCATTTTCTGTGCTCACAACCAACCGTGCTGCGCCGAGCTGCATATGACTGCTCTGAGTGCATAACACACAAGAAACTTACACGGAGGATATTCACAGCCACGGCAACACCAAGGAGACCGTTACACACATAACCAAGCACAGGCAAAACGCAAAATACGTCGCTGTCAACACGCAACTTTGAGACATGCAAATGCTGAAGGAACAAATGGATGGTAAACCCACTTACGGATAACCCACCTACTTCCATAGCCACTCCACGCGACAATTAATCACAACTGACTAAAAAATTCCTACGCCTACACCAGGTACAAGGACAGCCTCCGGTATGCAAGCGTTCTCGAATGGCCGAACAGTGGGAACCTCGGAACTACCCGACTGGGGCCGATCCGTGACCGCCCGCGCTCGAAGTTGCCGCTCTAACAGCTTGCCCTTGCAGGATACAGCAATTCGACGTTACATCCAGATCTTCCACCGTGCAGCCCCGTGCAGTACGTGCTCCCATCTTCGAGAGGAGCGGCTTCCTGTTCGCTTGAGAACATCCAGACTCCCTGAGCAGTTTGGCCTCCTGCAGCTGCCAGCGCTCTTCGAGTTGCACGCTTGGCATACCCCCCACACCTTGGCGACCGGTTGCCAGAGTCAGCCTTGGCGCAATCTCGCAGATTGGCATGTCTCCCACGTCGCTGAACTCCATCGCCTCGTGCCAGCGTTTCCGAAGACAGGCCGCGTCCAAGCCGCCCACATCGCTCTTTCCGAATGACAACGCATCCTCGCTCCACGTTGGCAGATCGGTTGCCAGAGTCAGCCTTCCAGCGAGCTCGCTCACCGGCATGTCTCCCACGTCGCTGAACTCCATCTCCTCGTGCCAGCGTTTCCGGAGACAGGCCGAGTCCAAGCCGCCCACATCGCTCTTTCCGAATGACAACGCATCCTCGCTGCATGTTGGCAGATCGGTTGCCAGAGTCAGCCTTCCAGCGAGCTCGCTCACCGGCATGTCTCCCACGTCCCCGTACTCCACCGCCTCGTGCCAGCGTTTCCGAAGACAGGCCACGTCCAAGCCGCCGACATCACTCGTTTCAAACGTCCCATCCTCTCCGCACCTTGGCGAATCTGTTGCCAGAGTCAGCCTTCCAGCGAGCTCGCCCACCGGCATGTCTCCCACGTCCCCGTACTCCACCGCCTCGTGCCAGCGTTTCCGGAGACAGGCCACGTCCAAGCCGCCGACATCACTCGTTTCAAACGTCCCATCCTCTCTGCACCTTGGCGAATCTGTTGCCAGAGCCAGCCTTGCTGCGAGCTCGCCGACTGGCATGTCTCCCACATCACCGAACTCCATCGCCTCGAGCCAGAGCTTCCGGAGACAGGCCACGCCCAAGCTCCCGACATCGCTCCTTCCCAATGACAACGCATCCTCAGTGCACGTTGGCAAACCGGTTGCCACAGCCAGCTTCCTCGCGAGCTCGCTGACCGGCATGTCTCCCACGTCGCCGGCCTCCATGGCCTCGTGCCAGCGTTTCCGGAGACAGCCTGCGTCCAAGCCGCCGACATCGCTCGTTTCAAACGGTGTCGTTTTCTCCCCACGGGCTAGCAAATCGGCTGCCAGAGTGAGCCTTCCAGTGAGCTCGTTGACACGTTGGTCTCCCACGTCGCCGATCTCCATCGCCTCGTGCCAGCGCTTCCCGAGGCAGGCTGCATCTGAGCCACCGACGTCGCTTGTTTCAAATGGCGTCACATCCTCGCTGCACGTCCGCAGATCGGTTGCTAGAGTCAGCCTTCCAGCGAGCTCGCTCACCGGCATGTCTCCCACGTCGCCGAACTCCATCGCCTCGTGCCGGCGTTTCCGGAGACAGGCCGCGTCCAAGCCGCCGACATCGCTTGTTTCAAACGGTGTCGTATTTTCCCCACGAGCTGGCAAAGCAGATGCGGATGCATCAATTCCAAAATTGCTAGGCGGGATCCTGAGCGAGCTGTGCCGTTCAAGACACATTGAGTTCACCCGGCCCCCTCCGGCGCATTGCGAGTCAGGGCTCCTGCGCGGGCTGGCACCTGTAAAATGACTGCCAATATCGGCGTGGCCGGAGCAGCTGAGGCTATCAGCTCCGTGCAACACCTGACAAGAAGTGCCGAAAAGGTCGCCCTCACTGTGGATGGGCATGGGAGAGCGCGATCTGTCGTGCGATTCCCGCCACGAAGAACGAAGCTCGGAAGACGATGCTGCTCCAGCGGTTGAACTTGCCGTTTGCACACCGCAGCTCCATCGACGGCGAAGATCGTCGGATGACATCGCTCCTACGTCTCCTCCCAGACCAAAAAGCACTTCACGCTGCGTCGTTGAGGTTGGGACAACCCCCACTCTGACCCGCACCTCCTTTTCTTCGCATGCCCCTTCGCTGGCGGACATGGCGGCGCCTGTTGCGGTAGGGCGCGAGCGCACCGGCGGCGGCGGGATCGCCAGGCGCTGAGCGAGGTTCAGCATTCGTTGCTCATCGAATCGGGCGCGGAGTTGCTCTGGGTCGATCTCCTGCTCCCGTCGGCAGAGGGCGCATGAGGTCATGTTGTTCGCGGCCGACTGAATGAGGCACGAGCGACAGAAAGAATGTCCACACTGGAGCTCGATGGACTTCGTGCACGAGTCTAAACATATAGGGCATCTGGTTTTTTCTTCCTTGCCTCCGAGTCCACGTGGGGGGCCAATTTGGATTCGGTACTTCTTGCAGAACCACGTGAAGAAGTAAGATGTCGTGTCGTTCAGCCGAGACAGTATAAAAACGTCGGCAGGGGCGATTCCGGTCCGAAGAGCACCGTCTGCAGCATCCAAAGAGCACGACATGGCGAACGAATGCGGTCAATAGTAAGCTCACGAAGGTTGCAGAATACATCAGTTCATGCGGCAGCCGTAGTTACCTTCGCTTCGGCACCTTGCGCTGCTGCCAAACTCGCAACAACGCCACCGAGACTCGTCCAGCGTCGCCCTATATATTGCCGCATTTAAGGCTACGCCAGGCTCCACACAAGAACAAAAGCGTTGTAAAGAGGGGATGGCGCTTCGCAGAACCAAACGAAACAAATTGAATTTCGAGAAAGGGATTTGCACAAAAGCAGCTTTTTATGGGGGGGACAAAAAAAAACACATAAAAGCATGTTTAAATAACGTTTTGCGCCGTAGATCGAAAAATCAAAATGTGCCAAATCCAAAGCCTCTATATGTTTTTGTGTTTTGAGAACATCCGGTCATCCAGCTACATTCGCGTTCAACCCGTTTGTTGATCGGGTATACACACGTGGAGAACCGCGGCGACGCGTAAAACGACCAACAAGATCGGGCGTCTTGGCCAAATTTCGGGCTGCTGCGTGCAACACATATGGTTCACGAGGACACCTCTAGATTGGTTTCTGGTTGTCTGTTGCTGCTGTCAAGTCATGCGACGCCACTCACACACCATATCGGTAGGCCCCAGCAGTTTCGAGCAGTGCGGTTGCTTGTGGCGTGCTGTAGCTGTCGGGGAAGCACACTTTGCTGCGCTGGTTCAACAAAAATCTCGGCGGGAAGATCGTGCTCAAATAATGAAATAGCCAGCCCCTCGATCTCGCGCTTCAAGGCCTAAACTGATATGTATGCGGCACATTCTTGCACGACGGGGTTGCTCAAGCTGGTATGCAATCTCCAAAAAGATGTAGAGGTTTGTGTCTCCTGAACCAAAGCGCCGGAGGGGATAATTGAGATTTTTCAGCAGCGGGCACCTCCCGGGATTTATTATCTAGCAGTTTGAGCTGTGATAAAAAAAAAAGTTAGGGAAAAAAACACCATCGGAGCCCCGGGGGCAGGGGACGGCGAGGAGCCTGGCGTAGCCTTAACTTGAGAGGAATCCCGCCAAGGGCACGCTTGAAATGGCGTCCCCCTCAATGATTCATAGGCTACACCAGGGCGCGAAACGAGCCCTGCTGTCACTGCTGGTGTCTTCATAACCCTTACGCCACTGGGCTCATTTGACTATTTTTTTACCTTCCCACGACTGGCTCTCTGTTCTCCAAGATCTTATAGCATGCGTTCATGCACACACATCACGGCGGCAAGGCACAGCAGTGAGAATGAACCCATGTGTGGGGTTCACAGGGGTGGGGGCTGCACAGGAGTAGTACGATTGCTGTACAGCAGTACAGCAGTAATACATGAAGAGAGCATATTTTCAGCATGTGAGCATGTGCATGTCTCTCTCCGACAGCAACTTTCTTTGAGCGAGATCTGAGAGACAGAGTCATCGCCGCGAAATTATTTCTTTTCCAACGGCATCACTTTCAGCTTTCCTGCGCGACACGGGAGTATTCGATCACACGTTGCTGAGTTCGCAGCGTAACGGGGCGAGACCAAGACTTTCCAACCCGCCTGATCATCGCCGACATCCGGCACTATCGCTCGCTGTGTGAGATGTCCTCCCTGTGACTCTCATGGTCATGGTGTTAATCACTTCACCGGACACTTTTCAGGCCTTTTTCGTGTCACCCAGGAGTTATTTCCACCATGTGTCCGAGTAGAGCCAACCCGAAATCGAAAATCGAAATCAAATTCGCACCGTAAGTTTCGAGTATCGTCTCCTAAAAAACGAAAATTGGTTAATTACTTGAGATTGTATGGATTAATTAAATTTGCCAGAGCAGTGGCAAGTGTGAGAGGGTTCGTAGAAGAACTGTTCCTCCGTACACGATTTCGCTCATACAGAAGCCGGGCTGCACTGACTGACACCTGGCACCAGGGGTATTCGTTGTTTTTTGCTGTTGAGAAAAGAGTTTTTCACCACATGTTGTAACGAAGAGTGGGCCGCGTGTGGGCTAGGGGACAGACTTCTATCCGTGAGCTTTCCCGCCTTATGTTCACTTCCCCCAAGTTTGGCGACTTTCGCCAATGGCCAAACAGCATCGCCGCAAAGTGCTTGCGTCCGAAAAAAATGATCTTGCCTCCATATCGTCTCCCCGAAACCAAAAACATTCCCCAAACCAAAAACAATTAATTAATTAAATGAACACACCCCATATATATATGTACATATAAGATTTGGTCACTTTTCATGGTTCGGCGTTTCTTTCTCTCGCGGCAGCGAGTCTTTTATCGCAATTCCTTCTCAGGGGCACGCAGGAGGCTTGTCGGTACATTAACGCCCGTGCCCGGAGCTCGGTAGGCCTCCGTGGCGCGTGTGGATGACGTCCAAAGTTGCGAAAACTGGCTCAAAAACCCGGTGACGCGTTCCGCGCTGAAAAAGCCTGGCGAACCAATTCTGAAACCAACCAAACCCATCAAATACGACGGTTTGAAATATTTGCCTCTTGCCTCTCCACAATCTCGTTCTTTCATTCATTCATTCGATGATTCATGGCTGTGACTCTTCGTGTCATCGCGTTGTCCAACAGCAGTACCTACGTTTACTACACTTCGCAGCGGGCCAAGTGCAGACAAGTTTGAGAGCATGCATCCAGCCGCAGTGTTGAACACGTGCCATTTGTGGTGTTGTTTCGGCTTCAAATTCGGTTCTCATCGGAAATCTGCCATCATCAAAGACGTCATGGAAGTCTGAGTTTTCGCTGCCAAAATATTGTCCGCTCGAGCTGGCTTAAATGTAGAATAACAATGTGCGCAATGTTTAGTGCGGAAATACAAGCGTTGTAAGACACACAGTCCCTCTTCGGGCAATGCGCATGTGGTCTTGCGTCACCTGAGGGAGGGTAGACACCCACGTCCCGAAGCGAGACCGTGTGTATATATATCATTGTACTCAACAGTACTCAGATATTTCAGTGCTGCAACCTACCCGCCGCAACCCCTACCTGACGAGTATTCGAGTATTGACTATCGCTGGAGTCGCTAGTGGTGTACAGCAGTGTGTGGTGCGTGGCGGTGGAACACGCAAGACCCGCAGAAATTGCCCGGCACGAAGTGATGTCTTAATAATACTACCGGTCTGGGGGGGGGTTCACCGAGAATGAGTACCAGGGACACTCAACCATACTCGAAGGCTATGAAGTATTTTCAAAGATGCATATATTCAACCATACTCCCGAGGTGAAGTAAGTGAGCGTCGAGTATCTCACTCTCGAGTACGTACTCAAAATACTCTTGAATGCATATGCATACGTGTAGTGCATACCAAATACAACCATTTGCAATTCTGTACCTGGTACAAGAACAAACGAACGGTGTCAGAAGTCTAAGTCTGATACTAGCGTAGTAGTGAACACGTCACCCTCTCCCACGTCGACAAATTGCACACAAGACGAACCTCCTTTCACTCCAAAAAACGGGAACCGCACACATGGCAATCACAACAACAGCAACCGCGGCAGTACACATCACTGCTCTCTCTCGCCCACGCAGGACCGGGTTGATCACTACATAGTAGCCGCCATGGTATAATCGTGTTTTCCGATACATCGTAACAGCCCTACTGCTGTAGCGGTTCATTGGTTCTGAAAAGGGCATCTACCCCACATCAGAGAGCTTAGGCATGGCAAATCGTAGTGGGTGTGTGCACATTTGCTAAATGTACGTGCTTTTTGGAGTGGGGTACCTCTTTGTCTTGCTGCTGCTCTATGACTGCTGTATGAGTCGTTCTTGCGGCAGGCCGGCGATCTTTCCGCGCGCAAAGTGATGGGACATGAGAACACTGAGTCCGACCAGCAGTCACATACTAGTGAGGGTTAAGGAGCTGACACAAGCGGTGATCGTTGCTTTGAAACCCTTCCTTCCCAAGAGCTGTAACGATACGGCTGAGGGGGTAAGAGCGGCTCGCGTTGGATGGGCTCGAATCTTACATTCGTTTGCTTTCGCTACCTTTAGGTGGCAACACATCATCGAGGGTCATGTCGGACAAATTTGCTGCGACGTTGGGAAATGTCAACCCCTATGACCCACCACAGCAGCAAAAGCACACAAGAAGCAGTTGGGGAAATGTCAGGCTTCTGTCCTTTCTCGCCTTGGCTCAAAAGTTTCAAACCCCGCGCAACCCTATGGCACATCCTACTGCTGGGAGTTGGATTTTTCCAAGTTTCAACCACACCTGTTCGTGTGTGTGCCCGAGACTGCAGTGCTTTCAGGCGAGTCCAAGACCAGTGAGGGGAACCAAACAAACTTAACCTCCTGGCTCAATCATGCATGCTCTGCATGCATTGCCAAAATGGTCTTACCCCGACTCTCCTTACCGTCAAGACGGGGCGTACTGGAGCACTCGAGCGACAAAGACCTCGCCGGTTTCGGCTTGTTGAACTTCGAGTCGCCGCGCCCGCGACTTCCTCCTGGCCGAGACGCCATGTCAACATCGCCACCTTGATCCATGCTCCGCTTCACTCTCCACACAAGGAGATCCAATCCGCGGCGAGGGTAGAACACCTGTCGGAGAGTTCGGTCCTACAACCGCCTGCTTGTTGAGAAGCTCCGAGGGAGCCCGCGCGTCACCTACAGCAGTTTACAGGAAACGTTGATGATCTTCTCTCCCTCCCCTCAGCACTTGGATTTCCTCGCTAAAGCATGTATCCTGGATCGAAGAAGAGGCAGGCAGGTTCCGGCCTTGATGAGGGGCCGGTGACGGCCAGGATAGTAGTTATTGGCTAGTGCTGGTGTGATGGATGTGGACACGTCAACATGATGGTGAAGTGCTTGACATGCTTCAAACTGGTGAGGGGTCCCAGCCCGAGAGATTGAGCGAGCGCTGGGGAGGGGGGGGCACGCAATTTGCGATCTGGCAGTTGCGCCATTTGCGCCAGCTCATTTGTGCTGTGCATACACCGCGCGCAACGTACCGAGGGGCGGGCCCACACGCTCTTACGATGAATGCCGCGTCCTCCGTACCGTCTTCCAAAGAACCCCACTACGAATTTGGTGGGCCGATTGGGGCAGGCTTGATCACCGTTTCTTTACCAATCGTGGTCCTTGGTCTCTGCTTCATTTGCGGGTGAGAACATTAGCCGGCGCACTCGAACACTGAAGTATTTTTAGAATGTACTCACAAAAAGAATGCCCGTTCGAGATATAACCTCAGTCGAAAGGGATGTGGTGAAGTCTTTTCAGTAAGTGGATTGAAAACTACTGGAGACTGGGCTTTGAGAAGTATTTTCAGTGTCACCAACTCCTCAATTCGCACGAGCTCTAGGCGTATGTGCGACGTAACGGTTACATCACTGCTGTGCGACGACAGGCCTCTGAACAGTGCAAAAATGTCGCAATTTACTACTGCTGTAGACCAGTCGGTGAAACACCCAACACATATTTTACCGAGGCCGTTCTTCCTGAACCAAAAGTAATGCAGAGTTTTTCACTCCTCACTTGTTCTACCTTTGTACATGTATTAGGATGTAGGATGTAGCAGAGCCAGGGGGTTAAAAGTGGGGGCAATACGCCAACGTGTCTACCAACGTCGCCTTGGTGTCACCCTTTTCAGTTAAGACGTACTATAGACCAGTCATGTCTCTGTAGCACGATGCCTTCAACGGGCTTTGTCGCTTTGTTTCCCCTAGCATCTACTACTGTCCAGCGGCAGTCGATGCCTTGTGCCGTTCGTATGCATATGGCATATGGCGTATGCATATGATTCCGGCTGTGGTAGCAGGAGGAAGGTAACCACTGGAATTCATTCGTTCAATCCCTCGTCGACCTTGAAGGCGAACATCATATGCTCTTTAACTACCCTAACCGCTTCTCTATGCACATTGTAAGTAGACAAATCCCATTTGGGTACCGGCGTATTCGGGTGTTAGAAAGCGGGCACGTCGTGGAATGCACAAGGCCATGCCGTGTTTCTCACATGTGCTTATCGTTCAATTCTAGCTTACGGTAGCAAGCCAGGCACGAAAATAAGATAGGAAAACAAAGAAACTAAGCGGCGGACGGGTGTCAGATGTACTTGCAGCAGTATCTGATCTTCGGGATCTTGGGGTTTAATAGGTTGGGATTTTCGCGTGTTGTGGGGTATCACCGGTGAAACCACTGGACCCCTTTTGCGTGGATGCTGCGATGAGGTTTTTGCACTCGCGGCCCACTTCCTTTCTCTCTCTCCACCTCCACCTCGGTCTTTCTCTCCACCTCTCTCTCTCTCTCTCGACTGTACACGGCCGACCACCACCAGCCCCAAGTAACGCCCAACACGTGCTTGCTGCACCCCGCGTAGTTTATCTTTCAACGGGTATCAATTTCCCCTCATCATACGTAGAAGTACAGAGGTCGAACAACTTTGAGGCAACCCCGGCTTGCGTCCAATCATGTCAAGGAGAGTTTTACCGTACGGACAGCAAACACGGGAGCACATGGGTAAAGCAGGATGCACGAACGGGAGAGAACGAAAACGCAAGCATCAACAGCGAACTACAACAACAGAAATTATCAGAACACTTGTTGGTTGTAATGCAGCCGCTGACGTAGCTCTTTGCAAATTACTCACGTGCGATATGCTTGCCGGGCTACGGCACAGGCACGCCGAACAAGCGTACCGGCCAAGTAATGTTTGTGTTTGGTACCCAACAGTACATCAGTTCAAAACAACTTGTCCCCGGAGGGCAAAAAACAGTTATGTGGTTGAGGTATCAGCATCAGGTGCTGTGGCTGGCTTGTTGGAGTCTCATCTCGGAGCCTTGGCATCGTCGGCAAGCACAGGTACATCAAGGCGTTGGCAACAATTTTACAATTCCATTGCTTCTCGGGACCAAACTACTTACTTCGCCTCTTCTCCACGGATCCAAGTGACAGACGCCACAAGATACACTTATGACTTCACCAACGTTCAACGCTAAGTTTGCGCAGCAGCAATGTTTGGGGTTACACTCATGAGCAAAGCACTCTGCTGTTGCTCTCGTCAAGCCCTTTCGTTTGTGAGACACCACGCATGTAGTGCGAAAGGTGTCAGCTCAAGAAGAAGCACACGATTTACAGTTTGTCTGGTGCGGCGTCCACGACATGACCACTCCGCTGCGCATCTTTGCCCTCTCTAAACGAGCCCTTTTGTTGATGTGAGTCTTGGGTATTGCTGCAAAGGATCGCGCCGGAGTCCAACCACAATATCATGATCTTTGGTAGTGCTGCGCGCAAACAGATTTTCATGCGATGTCTATGAACTGAAGTGTTTCGTGTTCGTTTGCTCTTCAGCAAGGAATACTGCTTGCAAGGATTACGGTTCGACACACTCGGCGGAGCATTGGAACAACTTCCAGACAGCTTGGGCGACCTCTTTTCTCCGGTTGCTTTCACGATTGTCTCTCAGTGGCTTCTGTTCCAAATTCTGCTGGACCGCGTTTTGCCAGGAAAGGTGAGCAAGAAGTCGAATCTAGATTCTGATCCTACATCAAGCAGCGCGATCGCATACCCTGGCCCCGAACAGAACCGCACACCCGTGCTCTGAAATTGTGGAACAGTTGACGAGCGACACTGCTGTGCTTGAGAACCGCCACGCGTCTCTCGCCCTTCGGCTTGTGGGAATTAGGGGTCATGCTCCACCCCGTGTCGGAGGTTTCCTTAGAATCGACCCGTGTATCGTCTAGACTCGGGATGTGCAGACCTTCACAATTTATCATACAAGCCGGCCGCTCTTGTACGCCGACAAAGATGGAGATTTCCTCGCCTCTACTGTTTGTGCCCAGACTGTGGAAGGAGTGGTTTTACAAGATGGCTCTCGTCTTCCGTACAAGATGAGTGGGCACGCAGCTTTCTGGACAACGTTAGTGGTCACGTAAGTTCCGAAGTGTACCCGCCTTCGCCTTGCATCCCGGGTTTTAGGACATGGAATGCGATTGCCCAAGCATCCACTCCTGTGAAATTTACTGCATGCCTCGTTCGTGAGTGCCACCACTTGTCCCCGAAGTTTTACAGTGTTCTCCGTGCACGCGCGCGCCAACTCAAGACGTTCCAGTTCATTTATGTAAGCCCTACTCTCGGCTTTTCCCAGGGCACTTGGGCTCTCGGAGCTCGGTGGTGTGGGGTCTACTAAGCTGAACTTATCTGCCCTGTATGATCTGTACGAGGAGCTTGCAGTTGCAACCGCCACGATTTCGTTCGCGTTAAGCGTTGGGCTGTTCGTCGCCTCTCATCGGAAAGGGGCTAAGCTTGCTGACGCTTCGGGAACAGTTGGACGGAGCGCCATCTATGACTTCTACATTGGCCGTGAGCTCAACCCACGGATTGGGCCTTTGGACCTGAAGTGCTTCTGCGAGCTGCGACCTGGTCTCCTGGGATGGGTGGTCATTAACTTGGGCATGCTGCTCAAGCAAAGAGAGCTTCAAGGATATGTATCAGCCTCCATGATCATGGTCAACGTCTTTCAGGGTTTATACGTGTGGGATGGCCTCTTCTTTGAGAGGTCAATCCTGACCACAATGGATATCACCACCGAAGGCTTCGGTTTTATGCTGGCTTTTGGGGACCTGTGCTGGTTGCCCTTTACCTACTCCCTTCAAGCTCACTACCTGGTGACCAACGATCCCGGACTCCCCCTTTGGGCTGTTGCCGTCATCAGCTGCTTGTGCCTGGTTGGGTACGCTATATTCCGGTGAGACCTTGTTTTCGAATCGACCGCATCAGATGGTGGTGTGGCGTTGGATGAACGAACCCTCCCCCCTCGTTGTCCGCATGTCACGAACGGTATACGAAGCGTAGTCCATCATGTACGAGCCTCGTTTCTCCCCGTGCTTCAGTACTTTTTCTACGGCCCAGATGACCCCGTGACCCCGTCTCTCCAGGCGATTCGGTTTGTGACGGAGACAGACGAAATTGTCGGCATTGTGGACTCCCCGACAGGCTCAACAAAAATGGGAATATGCCCAATGGCTTCAAAATACAAAGTCGATGTATCGCTGTGAGGAACGACTCTCTCCCACTTTCTAATATCCTGTCGACCCGATCCCATGTTTTTTGTAAAATTAGGGGCGCCAATGGCCAGAAAGATGCCTTCCGAAGGGACCCCAACGCTAGTGCGGTGTCACACCTACAATGGATGCCAACTAAGCGAGGAACCAAGCTCCTCACATCGGGATGGTGGGGGGCCGCTCGCAAGATTAACTACACGGGAGACTGGCTCATGGGTCTTGCCTGGTGTATGTTTGCAGGGTTTAGTTCTCCAGTGCCGTATTTCTACTGCATATACTTTGGGGTGCTTTTGGTGCATCGAGCCATGAGGGACGATCACGCCTGCGCAGCCAAATACGGCCCTGACTGGAGCGTGTATAAGCAGAAGGTTCCCAGCTTGTTCGTACCAGGTCTGTTTTAATAACACCCGCCCCGCCTTCGACAGGTTGGATAGCGGAGATTGGCGGTCATTGAAAGGCAGTTGGAAAAGTAAAAGTCGCTTTAGCTGAAGAGTTGGTCCGTTGATTGCTCTCTCTTTTCTACAAAAATACAAGATAGTTTAAACTATTTTCTATTTTTGGCGTCTTTTGGTCTAACTGCGTCCTCTTCTTTTCGATCGTCCTCCTTATCCCTCAACGATAAACTGTCGATCGCCTTGGCCACATCAGCTATGGGATCTTCGTGGCATGTGGAGAAATGCCTCATGTCTTCAAACATGATCTGTTGTAGGTCCTCCTTCGGTATGTTCCCAGTCCCGAAGACACGCTCGTATTCGAAGTCAAATCGCTGCCCACACGTTGGCTCCGCCATCTGCTCGGGCGATCAAACAGGCACGAGTAGATCAAAAAGTTGAAAGTGAACCCATCCGTCAGCATTCTCAAACCACCACAAAGCGCGACTATGCATCGGGAAGTCCAGCAGTGCTGGGTGCTTGGCATGTATGACATCGGACACAACGCCCACATTGCCCTTGATAGCTCCCACCACCATTTATCGAACTAAAGAGCACGATGTACTTATTATAGTGAGAACGCCAGAACGGACTCCGAGGGACCATGGGCGTGCGGGCAGTACTCGGTGTATCCCTTCACGTATTATGTGGTGGTAGGAAGTAGCGGTAATTGATACATCCAACACGTCACTAGGAGTGTAGTGACGGAGACACAATCCACATTTTCAGCGAGTGGTCGTATTCAAGGTACAGTGGGCTCAAGCCGATCTCAGATCACCTGCCCGTGGAGGTCCGCAAGATACGAGTGCTCCAAGGCCTCGTCGACGGTGATACGATGTTCTGGATGGAACACGAGCTGTGGGACGAACAAAGCCGCGGTATTGGTGACAAGATTAGTTAGTCTATGGGTTGCGCACAAGCTCAAGCTCTTTCTGGCTCCATGTGAGGGATCGTCGGAGGCATGCCAACAGCTGCTATTGGTTGCTGACAGATAGATGCAAAATGCCTTTCCAGCCGCTAGCCCATGCGAGAGAAGGAAACGCTATTCGAGGCACGAAGAACAAAAACGATTGTGTCCTGTCGCGGCACGCACCATTCGTCGCAGCAAGTCCAACGCCAATGGGCTCGCGTCCGCTGGAAAGTACGACTCCAGATCCTTCGGCTTGGCGTTTGCCTTCGACATGATGGCCTTTCGTGCAGCAGGGTGCGTGACGAACGACAGCTGCTCCTCCGGGGGCAGCCCGAGTACCGACACGATGGTCTCTAACTGATGATGCGGATTGTGCCCCTGGAAACAAGGACAACAAACCACGGGTTTCGGGCTGACTGCGCGTTGGCAACTGCGAGCTTGGACATTGCCGAAATTGACATGAGGTTGACTTGCGGGCAACAACAATAGACGACTCAACCGACGCTTCCTTAGAGAACGAAATTGGACTCCATCACAAACCTGGAAGAAAGGACGTCGGGACAGCATTTCGGCAAATATGCATCCAACGCTCCACACATCGACAGTTTTGCCGTAGTGCGTGGAGTCGCACAGAAGTTCAGGGGCCCGATACCACCGGGTCACCACGTATTCCGTCAATTCATCCTCGTACTCCAGTTCGACGCCTCGAGCGAGACCAAAATCGCAGATGGCGAGGTCGCAGTTCGCGTTGACCAGCAGATTTGATGGCTTCATATCCCGATGCAGCACGTTAGCGCTGTGGATGAACTTCAATCCACGCAGAACCTGCACCAGCGGATTAGATCTTGTTAGAGGCCACTACAAAAGTTCCATGTGGGAATGCACGGCGCCGGTGCAACACACAGGACACATGGAACAATTTGCAACTCGGTGTCCTGACGTGGGTCTCTAGCGTACTGCACCAAAATAGCACGGAAAAAAATCCCTTATACCCCGGCGAGGGAGAGTCTTCAAAGCCAACTATAAGAGACAAATATTTCGTTGGTTACGGCCATAAATGCCCACAGACTCGTCCCTTGAGCCAAGAGGAGGATTGCAGGCAATGTTGTGTGGGTGTTCGGCGGCGAATGTTCTCTTCGAAAGCTTCCCGAACCGATCCAATATGTCAGGAAACAGCTCCAAAACAAAACTCCACGTGTAAAAAACCCGAAAGGTTGGGACTAGTAGTGCCCACGATACGCACGGCCATCGGATATCTAGCAACGATGTAAACCAGCAACGATGTAAACCAGTGCAGTCCATCTGTTCACGAAACAGGAGCCGACATGTGGGCAAGGTTGAAAGCAAAGGCCGAATAATAAAACCCCGGTGAGACAGGACCGCTCATCGTGCGTTGGACACGCCCCCAGTAGCCCTACTCATGCCGCTCCACGGAAATTTCAACTGTACCAGCCCTCGACATTTGGCTACAAAAATACACTGTTTTCGAATATGTAGGTACGGGTAGGGCGCTTTCTGACCCACGTTCTGCGGCCAACTCGTCAAGGGCTAGCACAGAAAATACGTAGCTTCCGAGAACGAGCAAATCAGGAGGAGCGGAACGTGTTCTCATGATCGCCTGTGGTTGCTCTCGCAGGTCCTGCGATAGACCAAGCTCGAAAAAAAACTGTAGTTCGTTTTCATCGCCAGCAGCGCGAGGCACCTGTTTTGATAGGTGCTTTTTTTCTCTGCATGAACTGGGCCGATATCTGATCCATCGACGTGGGTATGTGAGTGATCCTGTGGTGGTGGAGGCGTGTGCGCTGAGGGGGAGGCGCTTCTGTTTGCGTTGGTTCTCTCTGGGGCGCCTTGGGGACATTCTTGCTCTACCTTGTGGCATCGTCCTGAAGCAACACGTGCCGGTACCGGGACAAGGAATACTTCTGCAGCTTCCAATTGAAGTTACATTGCTCGCAATGTCCACGTCGGAGATGGAACTTCACATTTCCACATGTTCGAGCAGCGTTAAACAAGTAACGACACAATTTAAACGAGGACACCCGTGGCTCCAGTTCTAAAAAAAAAAAAAAAGTTGGTCGCTGAACCCAGAAAACGAAAACAAAATTGGACCATTCGCCGTGCTATTTGCTGGTCGATTGCTGGTTAACCTCGACGTCCAACCATGCTAGAGAAGTTACAGCTCCAAGCCCTTGAGTACTCATGCACCACCTGGTAGATGAAGTATTGGAAGTGTTGATCGGTGAGGGGCTGTCCAGAAGCGATAATGCGGTCCATGTCGGACTCCATGAGATTTGTCACGATGTACACGTCCTTGAAGTCAGTTGTGTCTGGAGGAATCGTCATGATGTCGGCAATCGCGATGATGTTCTCGTGGCCATCGAAATGCCGAAGTAGCTTGATTTCCCGCACGATTCGCTTGGCATCGACCAGGTCGCTGAACACGTCGCCAACTTTCTTGATAGCCACCTGCCGTCCCTCAACCTGAAGTCAGTTGCAATCAATGTACCGTTTTCAGGTTGGGGTCACAAATAAACTCAAACCAGGGACGGCGCTGAGAAATGCCTCAGTTGGAATGTTTCTTCATCTCAACCTGCCAATCATAGATGTCTTGCTCACGCTTCTTCACCTTGAGCGAAGACACACCACACGAGCATCCTGAATATCACCCCATGTATCAGGTGCACGTTGTGTAAATTGACGCTTGCTTCAAATGAAGACAATGCAACCTGGAAATAGCCATCCTTTCGATCCAATTTCGTACAACACATGCACGCCAAACATCATTACTGCCAGTCCTGGAGACCAGCAAGTACGGACGATGAACGTTGAACATTGTAACAAGGCAAGCACGCACGGCGTGGCGGAAACCTTCCGTGTACACTAGCATTAGCTTAGAAATCTTGTGCAAAAACCTCCGCGCACTCGGCTTCACCGGTACCCGATACTTTACGTTTTACTTCGTTTGCCCTCTCGTAAAACGCAGCAACGGTTGGTATAGTTTCGATGGTCGGCGTCATGTCCCCTTCTCTATCGTTGGTGTAGTGGTGACCATACAACCATGAACGATGGAGTATATGTCTGGGGAACCTTGCGTGAATAACGTACGGCCCTTAGTTGACCTTGAAAAATTGTCTCTGCAACACGATCTGCTACTGCTGCATTTCCTCTCCTCTCCGTCGTCGAGTACAAAAAAGAAGCCCTGTCGGGCGGCTCAAAAGACGGAACAAGAGTTCCCGGCATACGCTGTTCAAAAAGTACGAAAAAATGCGAAAGAAATTGACCTTAGCCGCCGGCACCACACCCAATTCTCCATCGGCGCTTCGTAGCCGGTGCATGATCGTTGAAGTACGACAATAGGCTTTGCGCAAAAATATGCGCAGGTGGTTCTTGCGCGTGGGGCAGTACGACTTCCCATTGATAACTGCCGTACTCCTGTTCATTGTAGTATGTAGTACATCGAATGCTCGCTCACAGCGAGGACTTACGCACACCGCCATAAGTTACATCGATAAATCATGAACTTCGACTATCGACAGGAAATCGGTAGTCACCTGTTTGACTGACGTAAAGTCTAAAACAAGAATGTGTGCGGATCCATATCTACAAGCAGCGCACCTTGCTATTTTAATTCTTCATGAGCATACACATCGTCTAGCCTTACTCACAGAATCCTCAGCGGAGCACACAAAACCATAACTCCCGTCGCCAATAGGCTTGAGATCCGTGTACCTAGGTCGGGGTGGATGTGTCACAGAGCATGGGCAGGTGGTGAGGGCACGAGCAGGAGCGATGACATGACATGATGATGTGGTCGAATACATTCATGTGGACAACTTGATGTGGATATTGTACATCATTACAAATGTCTGCTGTTCTGCTGTAAAATATGCATGCATATATTGACCAGCAGATGGAAAGTTTAGGTTGTTACAAACGTACAAACTAACACAGACCTCGTGTCGATTTCAAAGCTCTCACGCCCCACAGAGAGCTTATGGTACTTCCTCCCCATCTTTGCAGCAGCTCTGGGTCTGCGGCCCGCCGTTGTGGTGGTCGCGGTTCTGTCTTTTGTCGTTAAGAGGATCACGCAGATGGGATAGTTGATGTATGTTCTTTCTTACGCTGTGTGTGCCCCCCGGCGCGGAGGGCAGCTCTCACCCGCATGCTCAATGATGCTGTGGGCCAACTGCTGCTGTACACTATGCGGAAAAGAAGTGCCGATGGAGAAACGGACTCCCAAGAAGTCATTGCCAATCGGAGAAAGGCACGCGTATCTGGACGGTTTAGGTATGTGATTTGTCCTGCTTTCAATTCAGTTGTGGTTTTGCCCAATCAGCGCACGGCGGTGTGTGTCTCTTACAATACACCAGCAGCTGCGATACATGTAGTGGGCAACACCTACGATATTCTCTCTGCTACCCCGCCATCTCTCGTTGCGGTGCTGAGAACAGACTGATGGTTGTTCGCTGAACTAATTTGATCCGGCCATCCACTCCAACCACAGCAAGGTAGTGAGTGTTGTTTAGGATTTCCTTCGCAGACCCAAGCAAGAAATTGCATTCAAATTTCAGTACAGCAGTACCAACCTTCGGCCTTTCTCCCTCGGGCAGGCAATCCCTCGAAGCCAAACCTGCCACGACTGCCCCTTCAGCATTCGCCGGGATGGCAGGGATTACCCCTAATCCCGGTTTCGATTACGGAGCGGGTGCGTCAGGCCGGCCCGCCAAAAACACGTTTTCTCTGGGCGCGGCACCAACCTCTGCCGCTGCGGGTAACTTTAAGTTTGGGTCAGGTGAACCCGCAGGAGGAGGTTCTACCGGAGTCGCTACGGCTGGGTTCTCCTTTCTGAACAAACCACCGGCGACCACCCTGGCAGCAGCTTTGTCTAAGCCGCCAGTGATGCCGAAGGCAAGCTCCCCGCCAGTCCCTGGTTCAGCATCTCCAGACACCGCTTCATCGACACTGGACAGCGCTCGCTGGGTTGGGGGGGCATTTGGCGAGGGCAAAACTGCTGTGCAAGGCGCCCGCTTGAACAAACGATTCTTGAGCTGGGTATCCAACCATCTCGCTGAGGGCGAGTTGTTCCTGGACAGCGGCATGAGGGAGTATGCGGCCTGCGCTGCCGAAATTCGTGATCGTGCCAACCACGCTGAGGCCGGAGCGGTGTCAACTACGGCGTTCCTTCACCCGCGTGGGTCTGCTGCGGCTGTACCTCCGCCTCAAACCGTGCAGAAACCCTCGGAGGATTCAATATCTATGGCAGCTGAAGCGAGCGTTTCAACCGCCACCCCTTCCGTCACAGCCCCTGCTTCGGCGCCGGCTCCTGATGTGAAGTCAACGCCGGCCTTTTCCTTTTCAGCGCCGTCAGCTCTTCCGGCAGCTCCATCTGGGCAGCGGTTTTCTTTTACAGTTCCTTCAGCCCCTGCTCCCGGTTCTACCCCTGGAGCACTAACATCCGTCGCCCCGCCAGCGACATCACCACTGGGTGGATTCAAGTTTGACGGCGGGGGATTGGGTGCCGTTGGCTCATCTGCTGGTGCCTTCAACGGTGAGAGCGCGACGGCAGACAACATGATGCGTCACCTGTTCATGCCCACTACTGGTACTGCTATTGCATCTGAAACACGCGGAAGGTTGAGAAAAATTACGAACTTCTTGTGTTGAGTTGCAAGAACATGCGAGTACTGTTGTTTTCAGTGTGCCGTTCGGTTGCTTTGGCCGAGGCGCTCATGCGGTGTCCTTCCTGATCGTCTTCCTTATTTCTCGACAACGCTCATTGTCGGTCGCCCCATACAGGCTTCAAAGTACCTTCCGGAGTAGCAATCCCACCACCGGTAGCTGCGGGGAGCTCTGCGGCCGACGCAGAAGAGGACGGGATGCCAAAGGAAGACCCGTCAAAGCTGGAGAGAGCACCCGGAGAAGAGAACGAAGAGGTGCGGAAAAAAGAAAACCGCTCAGAAGTTCCGCCGCGTTGCCTTATATTTTTTGCGGAACGGGCGCATGTCGGAACTACTCCAATATTCGATGGCAGGGCGATCACCTGGACCACCCAGCCCAGGAATGTTCTCTTCCCGCCATATCTCTCGTATCGAACACCAGCAAGGAATATCAAGTACACGAAGACATGGCTTGGGGCGTGCTTTTTCAACGATGGCCCCTCACGAAATTTGAAATTTAGCGCTTGTTGTCATACCGGAGGCGTTGATCACGGAGCTGAGCATAGAACCGAATAACATGGAGTTGTTAAACGGTTTAGTCGTTTTGCCCATTGGTGGAATCATCGGGCTATCAGTATCTATTCCTTTGTTGAGGGCCTCGTGCGCCCATGTGGATGACAATCCCTGTTGCCCTATTTTGTTGCATCTGTACTCCGGCTTCTAAATTTTCCTTGCCCACGCTGCGTGTTGTACTTCCTCCCGCAGGTAGTAGGGACTTTCCGGGCGAAGCTTTTCCGCTTCAAGATGGAAGACAAGACATGGGGCGACATGGGAGTGGGGATGTTGCGTCTGATGAAGCATACGACTAATGATTCCCGGCGACTTGTTCTCCGAAACGATATGGGCAAGGTGAGGTTGTAGCTTGTTTTGTGCAGTGCCAACGAGTGTTATGAGCATTCCCGTGTAAGATAACGGTTTACGCGAGAATGTGGTGTGGCGTGGTCTAGAGAGGAACAAACACGCACAGACCCCCATGGTCATTTCGATGATTTCGACCTGCCGAGATGAGCGCTCAACTCAGACAGACAGCTACCACACGTGGGTTCCTTCAATATCAAGGACTTGGTTTTTCCTCGTATAGAGCTTGTATTTGGATGTACAAGCTAGCATGAGAATGCGAGTCATGCACATATTGGGGTCATCGCACATGGGTGCATGAAAATAGTAAGAACCAAATGGTGCAGTTCTATTTTCGTAAGTGGGTGTATCGGAATCATCGCGCAGTGCTGCGACAACCCCAGAAAAAGAAATTGGGCGTGAAGTTGTGTGCTACCGCGAGCGTCATTGCGCTGTATTCGTCGCAGTGCTGACATTTTGCCAACTCATCGGGAGCGAGCTCCACTCCTGCTTTGGAGTATGACCGTCGCAGGCCACACGTGAAAATGGAGAAAGTGTTGTCATTGAATCGGTTAGCGGTATCCATCACCAAGCAAAGACGCCAAGAATCTGGCGTACTTTCACCTGCATCTAGCCTGTTGGCACTAAGCACTCGTGACGGAAGGGTCGAACGAGGGAAACGTAGCAGCAACCAAGAACACGGTCTTCGTTCATGGCACCTGACCGAGCTTATTTACCTTGTTTGTCACACTACAGTACGCGCTGTACATAACCTTAGCGCCTCATCTATGTTGGTATGCATCTTCCATTGTGCACCGCACACACCGAAGTTGTCGCATAGGTTTGCGAGTTTTAAAGCACCCTGTATCGCGGCTGCCGGGGACTAAGATCAGTATCGCACGGATATGGAGTTGTCGCACATGGGTGTGCGTTGAGAAGAAGCGGGTATCAGAGTCATCGCACGGCAGTGGGATAAAACGTCAAGAATCGAAATATTTCAAGAGCCTTTCACAAGGTCGCGATGAGTCACATCGGTGCGTCGATCTCCTTGACTTTCAGGCGTCAGTCACGTTGTGCGCAAAGCCACGAACACCGAATATCGCGATAGTCAGCGTGGAAACACATTCCAATCCCAAAGAATGATATCCTTCCCGCCCCTCGCCTGCCAGGTGCTTCTCAACGCAGCAGTGTACAAAGGAATGTCGGTGACCAGGGCAAAGAAGATGATCAAGTTCGCGGCCAATGTCGGTGATGGGCTTACATCTTTTATGGTGAAGGTTACCGCTGACGAAGTTGACGATCTCCACACCCGCGTGGTGGGGCTGGTGCCTCGGTCATGAAGTATGAAGTGACTGTCCTTTCCTTGAGGGTGCATGAGAGTGTACCGTGATAGACTGGCTCCTAGTCACAGGTGCGGGTGGTTTTATTTGTGGTACTTTATGTAGCTGTGAGACGTCAAAGGAACGTAAAATCCTTGGAGATAAGTTAGAGACGGGTGTGAAGCCATTGGAAGGGAAGGTTTGCTCCAGGTGTGGCTATTTAGTGGTTTGGTGCTTTTTTTCTTGATGCGCCTTGGTGATTTTGTGTTGGTGCTTGGGCCTCAAAGACACCTGTCACAGCAGCATAGTACTAAGTATCGGACCGTGCACTCACGCAGCTGTTCAAGCGTCGATGAGTCACGATAGCCATGCTGCCGGCTGCCTTTGTTGCGACTACAATACAATGTCCAATCCAAAGACTCGCATGATAGTACTTGCTCTGGGAGACTTCAAGGCATGTAGATGACAGTAAATGTGGCGTGGACCTCTCCACGCGCCTGAGCGCCCAAACTCCTGTAAATTGGACTATTTTGATCTCGGTCTGAGCACAAGAATTTGAAGTATTGAACCTATATCGCCACCACGCAAGAAGTAGTACCGAACCTCTTCCCACCTCCGCAAATTCTGCGTCCTGTTGACATAATCATCGAGCGCCAATTTGTTTTTGTTCCATTGCTTTCGTCTACACACCATGGAGTATACGGGTATTCGATATTTCTAGAACCAGGGGCACACGAAACGCTCATCGTTCCGTCAATAGGAGCTCCACTACACATTTCCCCCGTCTTCCTCGCCCTCAACACTCCGCAACCCCGGACTGTGCGGGCAGTTGGCCGGAACTCAGGTTGCACGGACCGAAATCATCACAATATTCCATTTCCACGCTGTACATGCCATGCCTTTGTTCCAACGTTGAACTCATGCACATGCTGCAAAGGGGCAACCAATCTCAAAATTAGACGAGCATATTTCGCGTAATAAGTGTTCACGCTGTCTTCTCGTTAACAGGTGCCGTGGCACGCCCGGATGATTGTCGAGCTTGTTCCGCGCGACGAGCCTCCTTTCGCCTGTTGTTGATGTCTTTGTAAAGCATTTCTCGATAGTCAGCAGCAGACAACTTGGTGTTGTCGTCGACAACACCCTTGTCGATAGTAATCTGCACACGGAGCGAGGGAAAGAGGGAAATGTTACGGCAATTTTATGATCAGCGCCAAAGAGCCATGAAGGTGACGGAGGTGCGTACACCCAACCTCAGCAATAGTCTACAGACCGAATATCAGTACAACTTCACTATTTCGCGGCGTCAACAGGTACAGGGCGTTCCACGCCCACTAATATGTTGATAGGCGTTGTTCCCGCGTCAGAAACCCCTACCTGAATTGCCCCGTGTGGGTAGTCGGGCTCGTCGTCTGGGTTGTGAAACTCGGCAACGTACGGGTGCTTGAGGGCGTCAGCAGCACGGACGCGCTTGTCGGGGTTGAATTGCAGGCATTGGGACATCAAGTCCAGAGCCTGCGCCGACGCGCTAGAAAAAACCTCGTTCAAGGATATTTGTCGGGTTGGTGGGATGGATTCGAGCATGGTCCCGGCGAACGGAGATTTGATGGACTGGACATCCTCCGGTGAAGGCCGTCCGGTAGATTCCATTATTTTTTCCAGCTGAGACGGTCGATGCCAGCAGAAAACAAGACGCGCCAAATGGACCATGTTGGATTGGAGCCCCCAACACATTATCGTCAGCTTAGAAATTTGAGGTGATACCCAACGATTGATAATACATGCTTGGCAGTCGCTGAAACTAAAAGAGAGGCACGTACCGGAGGGGCCCAACAGCATGGACCTACATAGCATCGATATGTGTCTACGCAGCACTGCGTTGTCACACCTGATTCATCGTGGAAGTCCCAGGAAAAGTTGGCCTGCCACTCAACATTTCTCCCAGAATGCACCCAACCGCCCACATGTCGACTCCTTTCGTGTAGCGAGGCGACCCGAGCAAAATCTCAGGGGCCCGATACCAACGAGTCGCGACATAATCCGTCAAGTGTGGTTGAGGCCCAGCTGTCTCGGCGATGTTTCTGCACAGACCGAAGTCGCACAACTTCACGTGGCAATCGCTATTAAGAAGCAGATTGCTAGGCTTGATATCTCGGTGCAGGAGATCAGCTGAGTGCATAAATTTAAGCGCTTTCACTAACTGGTAGATGATGTATTTCTTGTGGATCTCCTCCAGAATGTTGGCTCGAATGACGGCGTGGAGGTCTGTCTCTGTGTCGTCGGCAGGGCAATACGGGGTGATCGGAAGTGTAGGTATTGGTAGCGATCAGACTGTGAATGTTTGGACGACTCAGACTTCTTTCGTGGACGTATCCACGGACATGTTCACCGCCCACTTCCATGTCCATGGGCATGTCTGCGGACAAGCCCCACCTCTCTGCTTGAATACTGAGAGTGTAGGTGAAATCAGAGGAGACCAACGCTAACCGTGACCCCAATCTTGACCACCAAGAGATGATGATTCAGTCGTAGTGGCGCCAAGGAAGGTTGAGGGATGATCTGGCGTATATGTGTCCCTTGGTGAGGGAGGGTTGCGTGCATTGTGAAAGCGCTATATAGACTATACTGACGTTGGTGACTATTAGAACGCATCAGACGCCACGACGCCGCAAGAATTTTGACGAGCCTTTCGGGTGGACAGTATAGTGTGGGGACAACCGACTCCCGCGGAATATTTTTGGTGGCCGTCGCTGGAATTGGGTTCGTTCTATAGTTGACAGGGCTATGGACGTGTTAGTGAGTGTCTACGAAAAATCCTGATTTCAGCAAACAAAGCGGTATGATGCTATTTTCTTGTGAAGGTGGAAGATATGCTGCTTGATTGTCTGGCATATTATGTGGTAGCCTACAGTATGTGATTTACAATACTACAAGTTAAAAATGGCAGGCATCTTCTGCGAAGTACATTGGCGCATGTCTCTCGGTGCAATTCATGTGTTTCGGGTTTTACAGTGGAGCTCATGGGACTGTGTGTGTACTGCTGTAGACGGTAGTGTCCGAGCTCTGAACAGCAATTCCAAGGTGATCGGCAACAACAGCCTTTAGGTTACGTACATCACGCGTTGCCTCTCACCCATGTGGTCGAAGGTAAGGTAGATGTCTCGCCCATTTTCAGCCTTTACTACATGCTGGAGTCTAATTAGGTTGTCGTGTCCAGCCAGAGCTTGCAGGTACATGATCTCCCGGAACGTACGCTGAGCATCGGTGGCGTTTCTGAAGGCATCGAAGCACTTCTTCAGGGCCAGGACTTGACGAGTACGTTTTTCGATGGCCTTCCAGACGACGCCGTATGCCTGCAGGGAAAGCGCCATGACTCTTAGGAGGCCCAGAATAAATGAATGGCTCTAGGCATTGTATGCATAGGCATACGCGTTTGTAAAATATGGCAGAACTCACCCCTTTGCCGAGTTTCTGGCAAATCTCGAACCGACGCAGCACATGCTTATCTATTTCTTCGCTCATGAGGAGAGTGGGTTGCCGTTCCCGCCTCCGAAGTCCAGGAATGATGAATCGGGCTCGGTTTCGGTAGGGTGTTGAAGCAGAAGTTGCAATTGCCCTTGGAGTTGATATCTCCCACATGACACAACGTAACTGATGTCTTTCTACTCTTTTCAAGGATTCTGGATTTCTACGCAATCTCGTCGAACAAAAAAAGCGAGATTTGTGTAACGGCGATCGCAGAAGGAACGCTTTGGTTGGAACTCCAATCGGGCGACTACGTCATCAAACACACACCAACACAACACAACACCTTCTTTTTCCTGTGCCTCACCACTCACCACCTCGCCTTTACACTCTATCCGCGGACCGATTCAAATGGAGTTGCCACCACTTTCGTGGGGAATTATGGGTGCCGGGCGAGTGTGTCATGATTTCGTCCAGGTGATCTCGCCATTGCCATGTTATGTGCCGTTGTTGGATTTACCCGCACACACAGCGCAGACATAGGCATGTGAATCTTTGACTCATGTCACAGACCCGCCCCATGACATCGGCTTGTATTTGACTTTGGTCTTCACATTCCTGATTGTCTACAGGCCCTAAAGTCTATTCCCCATGCAGCCAAGGTCAAGACAGTGGGCTGCCGTGAGCTAGAACGATCGGTAGAATTCGCGGATCAGCATGGTGAGAAGCAAATCATACTGTAGGGTCACATCAACACTCAGCATGTCTACTCCATATCTTGCCGCAGCAATGGGGGCGTTAGTGGCGCTAACGTTGAGTAGTGCCGAGCACCCGCTATAGTGCCCAGTGTATTTGGTGTGGTACAGACAGGACCCGGGAGTTGTACACGCACTGCGTGAGTAAATTGATGTGCCAATTTGGTGCCTGCAGCTGGCTGCGGACCTTGTTTTTTCCTGTAGTCCGTCTGCTCTAGTCTAGCTAGAGAGCGCACCGCGACAAGTGGTGATGCAAGAACATGCAAGGAGCAGACAGACGAAGTGTAAGTGGCGGTGCGTCCCATGGTACCAGGAGAGAGAGAGAGCGCGCGAAGAAGAAGAGACTACGGCTATAGTTCTACCTGACGAGGTTGTAAAAAATTCAAAAACCGTGAGATTCTTTCCTTGAGAAACACCGCTGCGCTCTCCGTGACATGAACGAAAAAGGAAAAAACCGATACGCTCCGTGAGATTTCCCTCGGAAAAACCGCTCCGCGAGGCTTCCCAACAATCCGTACAAGCGGTTTTTTTACGGGGCGGTTTGAGCTACTCCGTCACATAATGCACGGGGTTAAAACCGCAATAAAATCACGGTTTATTCACGGGGTCACGGTTTTGGCACGGCACGGATATGATATACAACACATACTCGTGCACACGTAGCTGCCACACATAGCTGTGCCCACACACGCAGTCCGCCAGTCCGCGCCACACAAAATCCGTGCACATCATTCCGTGTGCACGTCTGCGCCAATTACTGATTGAGTCGACACGTGACTCTGGCGACCGCCCTTCTGGCGGCCGCCCGCCTCGACGTGATGGTGCTGGTTGTTCCGTGTAACTCATGACTACAGCAGTAAGTTGCCAATCGGAGATAGAGTTTCGGGACTGGGATTCGTGCATAACAAGCTTCGGCAGTCAATGACGCCCGACCGTGTCGAGATGGTCATGTTCCTCAGATTTAACCCCGATCTTATTCCGAAGATCAAGATCTTGAACCACGTGTTGGGGAAGCTGTGCAGCTCAGTCTGTTGGGAAGACTAAAGCTGCATCTATCTGTCCAAGTTGCTCGTGCAGGAGAGCAAGTGGAGTGCAAACGTACAATATTTGGTTGAATACATGAGATAGATGTGTAGAATTACCAAAGTACTAGTAATGGCAAGTTTCAACAAGAGGCAAGTGAAGAAGCATCTGTTATTGTGCTTGTTGCAGGAAAGTATGAGTCGAGGATGTATCGATGTGAGGAATGTGACTTTCCCTGAATAATTGATCAATTGACAGCTTTTGGGTTTGTTGTGGGCTGTCCTGGCGGCGAGTTGTCTAGACTCAGAGATTGGAGGGTTGAAACCACCCTCTCTACCGTAGCCACTAATTGGACGAAACTGGAAGGAACACTAACCTTGGTTGAAGTCCCGACCTTGCCGCTGAAAGGTTTGGAGGTCACGAACCACACCACTGAGCCGACCGGCGCTTACCACGGAGCACTATTCCGTGAGTTGGTTGTGTTGGTGGTTGTTCATTTCAAAGCCATCCTGACTTCTTCCCCGTATTCGTCTTGTTGTGCGCAAGGAAGAGGGTTTCCGTGGCCCCAAGCTGACGCAAAGCAAGGTACAAACATTGTACGCAAGACCCTGAACATCTCATGCCACCTACTCCAACAGTAGCACTTCTACAAACCTAGAGAGCAAACCTAAGTATATGCAAGGAACATCTCAACCCCTACCTACGGCGTTAGGGTGATACACAAAGCACGGACTTCCAATCCCGAAAGCCCCGGGAATCATCACTTGGTGCCTTTGAATTGACTCTTTTGTTTTCTTGTGTTTCTTGGTCGGCGACAGGAATTCCTAATCGGGTTGGGAGCTACGAAGACGTGGCCAAGGATCCAGAGGTGGACATCTGCTACATCGGCATGCTACACCCTTTTCACTACGAGAATGCCGTGACAGCACTGCAAAACGGCAAGCATGTGCTCGTGGAAAAGCCATCTACCTGCAGTGAATGTGACACTAAAGCGCTAGTACGACTGGTACGTGCTAAATAGCAACATCTCTACCTCCCAACCCACGCTTCCATGCCCGCCTGTTTTTCTCTCACCCTTGCTACCACTCTCATGTGCGAGTTCTGAACACTTCTGTTTTCATTCAACCTGGAAACAGGCTCAGGAGAAAGGGCTGTTCCTGATGGAAGGGATGTGGACCCGCTTCTTTCCGGCGGTGGAAAAGGCTCAGGAACTTGTCAAGTCTGGGACCATTGGCAAGGTGGTGGCGGTTCACTCCGACTTTGGTTTCAACGGAGGTGACGTCGCCAACTATCCGGACCACATATTTTACAACCTCAACCTTGGTGGTGGCGGATTATTTTATGTCGCGCCTTACCCGGTGGCTGCAGCTATGCAGTTTTTAGGCCCAGCCTTTCCCTCTCGGATAGCGGCGGCCGGGGTGAAGGACAAGCTCACGGGCGTGGATCTCAGTGGTGCTATTTCTCTCCACTTCGAGGGAAAAGGAATTGCTTCCTTGACATACAACATCGAGGTGCGTTGGCAAAGGTTCCTTGTTTTGAAGGGAGGCGATATTACTGGTTCTACGCACATCTACGTGCGTCTTTTTTCCTCGCGTTGTTCTTGGTGCCTGCGGCTTAGCCGCACCTTCGAATGCCATTATGAAGACATCCGCTAACCTTCACGGCACCGCAGCGTGCATATCTTCAAACGTGGACTAGTCTAAACTAAACAGTGATCGCTTCATGTGCTTGATATATTGGGAAAGTCTTCCGTTGCAAAGCTCACGAAAGCCTCACTGCCCCACATGCGCAGGCGGAAACTCCAGAGGAGACAATCATCATCGGAACGGAAGGTCGCATCAAGCTACTTTCTCCTGCTCATTGCCCGACGGCGATAGAGGTCACTACAAAGGCAATCGGGCGAGGTACGTTAGTGCGCATTGACTCAAAATCGTCGCGCTGGTTCGTGTAGCCGATACCCTACAATCCATGTGGGTTTTGCTGTCGGAAACGCGCCTCACGTTTTGATACAAGTGCACCACGTTTGACCCCCTTTCTGTTTTCAGGTAACACCACAACGATACGCCACGACTTCCCCCTTCCGGACCCGCCTGCGTCAGTGGACGCCTCCGGTGGCTTCAACTACCCCAACTCGAACGGGTTCCAATTCGAAGCAGCGGCCATCCACAAGTGCATCCGTGGAGGGCGAACTTCTTCAGATCAGTACACGCCAGATGAAATGCTAGCGGTAAGTATCTACCGGACGGAGACGCAACAGCAGTTGGCTGGGGTCGCACGGCTTTTGATATTTCCAACTGTTCGGGGGGCTGATGAAACGCGTAGATCGCCGTAAAAGCCAATTCCTACAGACCCTTCTCACGTGTTGGTTAACGACGACTGTCACATGACTATTGTTGACCAGTCAGGGTGGCGGTAACGATTTTATAACTGGTAGATACCCCTGGAAGTTTCTTGAACTCTCCGGTTGAGGCAATGTTTTTGTTCGCCTGAATCGCTTCTCTGTATCCCCCAAATCGCTGGGTGGGTACTTGCCCTCGTGCTTCGACGGATGCGTGCTGGCAGGTCATGCATGTGCTCGAGGAATGCCGCACACAGTTGAAGATCGACAGCGTGGAATAATAGATGTGGACGCCTGAATATATCGTCAGGTTTTTCCCGATGTTCCGGCTCTGTGGTCTTTGAACATTTTATCAAGCGACTTGCGCGTAATTGTTGTCTACGTTACGGTGGTGGTCCCGGTTTAGCGGTTCCCTGTGTAGCGGGACGGTTCCACAATCTGGCGGCACGGCTGCAGCAACCCAGAGAAACGATTATACGATCGCTACACCGATCGCGCCCCCAATGCGGTTGCTAGAGCTGTCTTAACACCAATAATGGCGGTTGTCGATTCAATTTTTCAATTTTTCGGCCCCCAATGGCGGTGTGGGGGTGGCGGAGCTCACGGCTGTACTGAAAGCGCTTAGTACGAATGCAGAGGAGGATGGGACCGCGTGCAGGACTCGAAGTTGTGCAAGGTGTTGACGCACCTTGCCATCACCCCGGGTAACTCTGCCCCCCCTGCAGCCGTCGCAGCGGCTCTTTCTTGGGCGGAGCTAAAGCTAAAGAGGAAAATATAACTGAGGATTTGCAGAAGGATGTAAACTACCCGCTCGTCGAATGATTTGTCGAGCAAGCACTTGGAAGAGGTTAATAAACCCTTCCGAGCTAGAGCTAGATGGCACGGAAGAAGTTGATTGGCAGTGCGGAGGGTATGGGGATGATGGCGCAGCCTCCGTACTCGGAGCTATTTCTTGTCTCATTTGAGTGCGCGGAGTCGTGTTGCGCACTACAGTGTCTTTGCAAGGCAAAAATAATCTCGTTCGGGCCTCGCAGCGTACACCGCTTCACCAGCGCGCCACCCTGACATTAGAGATGTTGGGTTAAGCATGGTCGATTTACGTGACAAAGTATGTAGCAGAGGTGAATTACTGAAGCGTGGTTGTTGCCGTTGTCGATATTTGCCCCACGTGTGGTCGAGGCGCTCATGATTTTTCATTATTTTGGAGGCCGAGACTTGGGGAATCTTTGGGCCTGATTTTTGTCTCCGCCCCACCCACCCCTCTTTCGTTTGGTACCCTCGGATCGGAAAACTACGTTTGTTTGCTTGTTCTACATATTGGTGATATTTAGGGCAGCTTGCGGGAAACAAAACAAAAATACGAACAAACTTTTGTACCAGGAACACCCTCGTTAACGCGAAGAGGCGGACCGAGTGGCGCGAAACACTGCGCCGAATTAAGGATGGTGTTGAGACATGTAGCTTAGAAAATAACGTGAACTGAAATAATTGCTGTGTTTTCTTCAGTACGGTGCTGCTTCCTCAGCTGCACGTACCCTCGAAAACCTCGAAAACCTGCTACAAAAAGACAACTACATGCATGCCGCATGATGAGTGACCCTATCAAGACAAACAAGCTTTCCACGCTGCTGTTGTGGCACAAAATACCGCTTTCCCCGGTTCACAACCGCTTCTTGACGCTCCCGATTCAGCGGTTCATAACCGCCGAAGAGGTCTAGCGGGCATGTCTGAAGAGCGGCTCCAAAGGGTTGGCTGACGAGTACTCGGAAAGTTGAAGACGAAAGACATGTTGACTTGTTTTTCCTGCCCGTTTTTGAAGCATCTTCCTGTCTTCGCCGTCTCATCTCTTCCTCGTCATTACTCAAGAAGAACCATTAGAGGTAGGCGATGTGTGTAGGTGATACGTGTACATGACAGTACCAATACTTGGCGGCCGTGTGTTTATGGTTCCGGACAAGTATATGCCAATGTTTCTGCGGTGTGTAGTATTCCGAGGAAAGCACGTCTTTGGTGCTCTATAGAAAACTCGCCTTTAGAACATGAGGCGGACAAACAGAGTGCTGACACGGAGCCCTAGCTCGCTTTCACATTCATACATCAACGTGAAGGATAGTATGCTGCTTGAAGGTCACCCCCGTTGTATTTGGCAGGAGCTGATGATGCTCGCGATGACGAGGTCAGAGTGACTGAGGCTGGAACATTGGGACAAAAATCTGGCCGAGTGGCCAAATCTCCTCAAATTTCAAGACACGTTCGGAGGTCTACGCACTTGGTCTTTGATATTTACGTTGGAAGGTAACCATCACCCGCCACCGTAATGCAGACACAAGTCTACCCACGTCTGTTCATCGGTCAAATATCATGGCACGCGTTGGTCAAGCAACTTGAGCATTGAGCGACTTAACGGACAGCTGCGTGAAGATTGCCTCCCACGAGTACGAAAGAGAGCCTGGAAGCAACGGCAACCAGACTACTTTTAAGTTGAAACATTTCTCCAGTTTGACGCAAAGCCAAGGCACATAATCACATAATGGTTCGTGGACAAAGAACGTGGCTGTCCTGAAAAGCATCCTACCGATGTCGTGACAAGTCGAGGTCTGTGCGATGACTTAAGATCATGACCCGAGATAGTGGGCGCAAGCAAAAATAACAAACCCAGCAGGGTTCCGGAGAATCGTCGTTCCTTCTTTTTAATCGGTGGGGTAAGCAACAGGGGTGACAACACCATGTCAAGGTCACAATCATGTGTGGCATGAGCTATGGTTTTCAGATTGTAGGAGAGGAACACTTTCCCACACGGGCTGGTCGGTCGTCCACGTGTACCACGAGTCACTCCTCGAAAGTCCAAAGAGCTAACCACGAACCGGCAATAAATCACATATCACACCTCAGCGAGGCAGAGTGCCTGAAACAAGCAGCAGCCGAAGGAAGGGTTAGGGGGAAAACTCAAAAACCCCGCCCGAACCAACAACAACCAACAAGAGCCAACCTTCCCTCTTGTTCCGAGACACATTCCGGGACCAGGAATTCGCCATGGCCGGGCATAGGGCAATCACTGTCATCTAGCCATTAGTTTCGCCGCGAATGTTCTCGGGTGCGTCCACGAGATAGGTTCTGGAGCACTCTCAAATACGGCAAGCCAAAAACAAAAGCCAGAAAGATGCACCGGAAATCTGTTTATTTTACTTGAAGACCTTGCCATCGAGCACGGGCCTACCCTCGACTGTGGTCTCGCTGCACCACATCTCTGTGACGAGGGCCTTGTCCGCGTCGGAGACCGGCGTGGCAACCTTCACCCAATCGTACCTGCACGTCAGTGCGTACCAGGGGGGCGGGGGAGACGTTCAAAATATCGGCCTGTGACCTTCGATGACCAAAAGAGCTGTCAAATTAACCTTATCAAAGGCACCAGTATTGAACAATCCCTCATAGCACCGACTCCACGCCAACAATATGTGTGGGAGTACTATGTCGGAAACAAATGAGCAGGAGGTAGGGAATGAGAGTCGAACCACACGCCCCAGAAACCACCCTGATTAAGTTGGATAAACAAAAGCATGTGTCTAAACAAAGGCATGATGTCTCGGGGCAGCCAATCGCCACCGGCTGCTTCGCAGTATACTACATTACAGCGACTCGACTCACCAGTTGGCGTCATCGTTGGCGTCTACCATGGGCTGGATGCTCTGTCCACGGATGAGCCACGCTCCGGACACGATCAACTCCTTTCCCTCCTCGCCGGTGATCTGCATGCAGCTGTCAGTGCGGAACAAGCGAAAAAAACATACTCAGCGAACACGGCGAAAGCACAGGTAGACCCCGAATGCCCTCTATGCTATTATTAATGAGCTGCTCCGGGCGCCTCTTCAGACACCCTTCAACAGCATTTCGAGACGCCCCTTAACTTCCTAGAAGCAGAAGACCACTCACCCAAACGCCCACTTCCTGATCTCGCCGGAACGCTGGATGAACCCGCCCACCAGGTTCGACGTCATGAACAAACGAGTGTTCTCAGCGTTGTACTTGTACCGGCAAATCCAGAGGGACCATCCCTCAGCGTCGAAGATCTCCCAGAATTGCTTCATGCTCTCCTCGTACGAGTTGTTGGAGTAAATCTGCCAACGGAAAAACAAGGACTTCAGCGTTGGGACCCGACACAAACAATGGATACCTCACAGAAAGTACACGTCTCTTGGAGATCTTCAAGCCACTGTCAAACCCTGTGAATACTGCCGGCTCATCGGGAAACTGCAATAAATTGAGCGAGAAACTTACTGACCTTTTTCCATGTGTCTCCCACAAACGGCGATTTCGCCTCTTTGTCCATAACGGCGAGGGGGTGAGGGGCCTTCTTCTCCTCTGCGGGCATCCCCAAGTCCCTGGAGCCGTCGTCTTCTTCCTTCTTGTCCTCCTTCTTTTTCTTCGCCTTCTTCGCGGGCTGTGGCTTCTGCGGAACAGGATAAGAAATCGAGCCACGTGAGTGCCACGGACACGAAACATCAACCGGGGGAGACAGCGAATGACACCGAGCGAGTCATCGAAATCAACGAGAGAAAGAGATGCACGGGCTTAAGCACAGACTGCCGATACATTTGATTTCGATATACAGCCTTTCATTATCCAAGGAAAATGCATGACTGTTTCGTGTTCAAATATTCTGCACGTCCGCTGCATTGGACACACCTTCTCCTTCTTCGGTGCCTTTGGGGCTCCTTCCGCGGTCATTTCTTCCTTGGCTAGCTCCACGGTCCCGATCACAGCCTTGAATTGAGGCTGGTTGACACAGGTAGTGAACCATCGAGTCACACACGGGAATGCCTTGCGGTACTCGGGGCTCACGACGAGCTTCATGGGGTACACCAGGGCCGAAGCCACGGTGATATCGGCCAGGGTGATCTTGTCGCCGACCTTGAGGACGGGAACGACAGGCAAAAGGGTAAGGAAGTGAATCAATGAAACATGAGGTCGACATTCTCGCCGACTTGCCTGCCATTTTGCCGAAACGGAGAGATTCACCACGCCGTGACGAATGAAGTCGCCAAACGAGATATCCCTCACCAGGTACGTTCTGTGCAGCAAGGCTTTTTCAAGAGCACCCAGAGCGATCTTCAGGTCCTCCTTCGCCTTGCTAACGGCGGCGTCGTTGTACGGCATGTAGCCGATTACTGGGTAGCACCAGATGGTGGCCGGAAGCTCAATTTCGTGCGCACAAAAGTCGATCCAGGAGTCTACCTGCGGGGATAATTCGACGTGATCGGACGGAACATGAAAGCGGGAATTTATGACAGCAGTGCGAGAATCACCCCAAGTGAAACCTGTGATATTCGGTGTATTCGTGGTGGCCTGAGCACGCAAACCTTTCCCTTCTTGACTGCTGTTTGATTGGTACCTAGCATCTAAACACTTTACAGCAGTGAACAAGCCCTTGATTTGCACGGGTACAAACGCAACATGTTTGGCGCTCTGGGACTGTGCTCATTTTTACATTCGTTGACAAGAGCACCATTCGGCGACGGGATTCCGAATATGCTATCCGTAACATCTACAAGTTGTTTTTCATTCACATCGCAATTCGTTCAACTTGCCTGGGCAGACTCGAAGAAAGAAACACCGTAGAGCTCGGTGTCACGACGCATGCGTGCGACGTACCGTGCGATGGCATTCGACTCGAAGATTGAGCCCTGTCGAGAGGGTAGAGAGCGGGTTGGAAACAATATCGTTCAAAACAAAATTTGCAATCAACACGTCCATCTTTGAGCACAGGTGGAGTATTACTGGTATCAGCTCGTACATGCCTGCCTTGTTGCCCGGCTCCAATCCACGCATTCATTCGGTACAGGAGTACGCCGTCGGTGAAATAGCGTCTTGCAAGAAGAGTTCTTTACTCACTCCACTCACCACTTAGGATGGTAGATCACGATAGCAGCAGCGACCCCGGCTGTGACAATTGTCACTTGCAAGCGTCATCAATAAATTTACATCAGCAGTGATAAGAGACAGGGCCCGAGGGATGCACTTCATTCCTGTGGCTTCGCGGGACGGACGTGTCTATTATTGCACCAGAATTTGAGGGCCAGGCGGGCGTGCGGCGTACACATCCGCACCCACACACAGCACTCGCGGACAAAAGGATTCAGTACACATCTTTGCTGTGCCTGCCAAAAAACAGTACCATCTTCCCACCTGGGGCGTTTCCAGGACAGGCACGCGTCCGAGCGGAGATTTCGCAAGGAAGTCTGGGGACTTGCTGTCGCTGGGGTGGTTGAACTCGGGCACCTCAAGCTCCACGCCGTTGTATTCGGCGGCGATCAGAACCTTGAATGCTCTGAAGTTAGCGGGGTTCGTCCAGAGCTTCTGCTTTCCAAACACGAAGCAGGTGCCCATTATGGTCGTGTGGTCATACAAAGGTTGCACTCGATCTGTGTGAAGAGTGCCAACGCCAGCGAGCTCTATCGGACAGGCCGGCAATGTCATTCCTCTACTTCTGCTGCTGTGTGTTGCTGCTGTCAGCTCAATACGCTGCTGCGTTCGTCCGAGCGTGAAGGCCAATTATGCCAATATCGTTTGCGTCACCCGAGAGCGATGCATCTACGAAGCACCAACACAACCCCGGACGTGAGCAATAGCATTAACAAGATTGGAACAAGGTGCGTTCAAGAAGTTACTCACGAGAGCCATCGTTGCGCAGAGGGAGGAGGTCGTCGAAGAAAGCTCTGGGCCACACACACGCTGCTCCGCTTGGGGATTTCAAGGATATCTCAGAAGCTTGTTTTTGCTGCAAGGGGGGGGGAGAGGGGATTCATGTTCCGGCTGTAGCCGCCGGCCAGCGCCGGCACTTGCCGGCACCGCCGCCGACACTAATGGCGTAACCATTGGGTGTATCGCATACCCAGGGCCCAGGGCGCGGGGTACAGACACGTGCAAAGCTGGATGGTCCGGGGGGGGAGAAGGTAACTCTGCCCTCTCTCCCTGTGATGTTCAGGTTTTCAGGTCACTCTCACACTTACAAAATAGCACACGAAGTTGATGGTGCGTTACTACAGCAGCTATGCTGGTACTTGTAATATTTTTCATTTATGTCTATGTAGCTGCCCTTTGCGGTACTACGATATCTCTCGGGTGATACAATGATGGTACGGTCACTGCCACGCAGTGAGTAAAACTACCAAAATAATAATTCGTACAACAACCAGTCGGTCGCCTAGCAAGTAAAATGTGTGTGGTGTCCTCGAAACCGCTATAGACTACAGCAGTGAGTGGCAAAGTCGTGAGTTCGAACCCACATGGGATGAAAACGAACGAATTTGCGGGTGATGAAAGCGAAAAAGCTGAAAAAACGCTTGGGAGTGTACCAAACTTCGACGTAACGGTGACGTTAGCACCGTTGACGAGGGATCGGGACGGCTGGACCCTTGTGGCGATAACAAGTAAAACTCAGCACGCACCGCAGGAGGAAGGTGGGGCACAACAGTAACATAAAAAATAAAAAAAAGAACCCGGTGTTTCCCCTCCTGTCTGTGTGATCCTGGATGGTTGTATGTAGTTGCAAGCGAAAATACACTGAATAGTGTACGGTACTTTAAATAGTACACGTCTCACCACGAAAAATGGGGGGACTGTCGAAAGCATAGTAAGTGCGGTGGACCCAATGTTGACCACCAAACCCACACACCAAGCCGCTGGAAACGCGACGACCGTGACACCGTGAGTTTGGGAGACATTACTTTTCTTCGAGATGATGCTGGACCAGCGATAACACGAGGAGGCGACAAATTCTCGCCAGGAATCGTGACATCTATCACTGACTACCAATGTCCATGGGTACATGTAGTGCTGACACAGCTGGTGCTCGCAGGGGAGCAGACGGGTAGAGTGCGAAAGATCCGCTGCCATTCGCGAAACTGGAATGGGAGCGAAACCTCCGAAAAGTTGGGGGGATGATTGATTACAAAATTGGAGGATTAAAGTAGTCTGTAAACCCGATACAAGTACAAGACTGCTACAGAACCCAAAATATCTCAACAACATCAAGCTGTAGCACTTAAAAACATTTCAACATTTCGTAATGCACACGCCTGCATCTTGCAGTCCCCAATTTCCCCCACACTGTAGACTGAAATCTAAAGTACATAGACTAATAGTCATACGTGAAAAACAGAGATTACTTGGCACGAAGGAGGGCCGCTCGCTACTGCCCAAACGCATCAAACTGCTGCGCATCGGCCGCCGGAAAAGCGTCGAAGCCATCGGCCGCGGCTGTCGCGTTCGTGAACACAGCATCTGTTGCCGTGAATGGATCGGCCACGGCCTCACCCGACCCGTTTGCACTGAGCCCATCGACGGCAAACGGGTCCGTTCCGTTCTCGAATGCATCGTCGACAGCAGGGAATGCATCGAATCCGCTCTGCTCTCTTTCCACAGCAGTGTTCAGCTCCGGCGGCTCATCCCCTAGTGGATTGGGAGACGAAGGTCCGGCGCTCCTCGAGCCTTGTTCTTCGACTACTTCTGCGAAGGGGTCTTCCACAGCCGTAGGCTGCGGTACCATACCATGAGGAGGGGGTGGCGGTGTTTTGGCGGGCATCATGGGCTCTGGTGGAGCGTCGGTGGTGGGCTTAGCCTCTTCGGGTGCGGGAGAGACTTCGAGTTGCTCTGCCATCTTGCCTGCCAAGGACGACCCTTCGTCCTCGCCATTCGCGGTTGTGGGCTCAGAATCTTTTTCTTTCAACGTGCCGTTCTCACCCAGGACGTGTTGGCGTAGAAAGGCATTCTCTTCCTGGAAAATTGGATAAAACAAAGGATGCGGGATTCCCGTGCACAAATGTCCGAGTGTCAAGGCACACCGACGGCTACCGAGCATGTTACTTGCGGGCCGGTGCAAAGCAGATAGTGTGGGGTTTCGTCGACACGCTGCAAAATGAATGACGATCTCGATCGTCTTTCGGTATTGTTTTCTAACTGATAGCACGTCATGAAACGCAGTCAAGTACTTTACCTGGGGAACACAACGGCCACATATCAAACGAGGAATCCATGGGACATCCACACCAGAGCCAAACTGCGACGCACACGGACCTTTTGTGTTCGAATTGAAGAGTCGCACGCCTTGATTTCTGCCAGCAGAGTAGCCCGATCCACTCCTGTTCGTGCCACACGAGCACGTAGTTCGGCCGTCTCTCCCTGCTGCTTCTGTAAGGCCACAGGGAAGGTAGGGCACGTGGAGCACATAAACAAGGACCCAACGGTTTAGCTGACGCTCAGCGCTCACGTTTTGACTACCGTAGGTGACATTTGATACCACACCCGTGTGATACAACATTATTTTGTATCACACGGGTGTGGTATTCTGTAAGGGGTGTGATATCTTGTGTGACCCGTGTAATAAACTGCACTCACAGGACTCCAATCCCACAGGGGGTGTGATAACAAGGGTGTGTGATAACGATGGGGTGTGATCAACCATGGAAAGAAATGAGCCCACACGACCCCACCTGCAGGGGGTGTGATAACGAAGGGATGTGACAATGTCGCCCGTGGGATGAAGTGCGCCCACACGACCAACCTACAGGGGGTGTGACTACGAGGGTGTGTGTAAAAATCACGGGGTGCGATAACGTTACACGTATCTCGTGCGGGCCTCAACAGCACGGGTGGTGGCAGGCACAGCAGGCGCTGTCGCGAGAGTGTCAGCAGTAGGTTCTGCTGCGCTGGCCTCAGCAGCACGGGCAGTGGCAGGCACAGCGGGTGGTGCGGGAGTCTCAGGGGCCACAGAAAAAATAAGGCGTTGTTAATGGGCGTGGCGCCGCGGTTGGAGTCTGACTCACTGCAGTCTGAGCCGCGATGCTTTCAGCAGTGTTGTGTGCTTCTTTCGTCTCCGCGGTATTGTCGATCGCCATACTTGTATAGCCCTCGAGTGCTATTGCGCGCTCTTTGCGCGAAATCACGGCCTACCACACCGGTGTGATAGGGGGTTCCGGACATATATTTGTGGCTCAACTTGAGGGGTGTGATATCTTCTGTGACCGTGTGATATATCGGTGCTTACACCTACACCAAGGTTAAAAAAATATGACGCTGATGTGGTTTTCTGTACATTTTCGTTAGGGGTGTGGTATCTTCTGTGCGTGTGGTATCTTGTGTAGCCTACGGTATGTTTGTAACTGCACTCGGGTATGGGCGTTAGTTGGTTGGCACGCTGGTGTGTCTTGTGGGGTAATGGGTTAACTGCCGTTTTTCTCGCTGTCAAGATAGATGTGTTTTGTTCCGAATATTGAAATTTGGAAGTGTGAGATTTGATATGTTTTTCTGGATTTGTCATGGTTTATGTGCATCTCGATTCACATCCAGCGCGCCAGGACTCATACTTTGGGATCTCTGCGAGCAATTGCCAAAGAGCAAAGGCGTGAGAGCCCAGCAAGTGAACATGTACTGTATCCTGCAGAGATTGCTCGTGACTGGCTTCACTGCTGAATTGGTGCGTCGTAAATGAAACATGACATACCTCCAAAGTGACTCGGGGGCCTCAGAACACTGATTGGCCAACTACATCAAATGAGGTTTTGCTCAGAGAATTTCGGTCACCGGGGTCCTCCATTTCGTGTTTGACCGCGTACATGTATTGGTCTACATGGAATGGGCTCGTGGGGGCAAAAGGTAGGAATGCGTCTCAAACTATTCCGCTTCAACCAAGCTGCTGGTATGAGCGTGACTAATCAGCTGGGACAACCGACGACGCCAAAGGTCTCGCCCGGACATACTTTTTCCTAGAAGGCGTCACCACGTCACCACGTCACCACCCCTACGGCTGCGAGTGTTGGTTATGTTTTCTCGCAGTCGCCTGCTCGACGCGCGCATGCGCCGAAATGTCCGTGGTGAGCATGTCGGGTTGCTCCTTTGGGTACCGTTAAAATACGACGACATTGAGCAAACGGCAAGAAACTCGGGATTCGAAGTTCCCTGATTCTTGCATTTGTAGGGCTACAGTAGACACCTTCAAATGAACGGTGCCACTCACGCTCGCGTGTAGGCACGCGTGCTTTTGCGGTGACGCGCAAATATATGTTCCCCCTAAACACCACCGCCCATTGCCACATAGCTGTGTCGGGCGAGGTTGCTACGGGGTTCCTTTGGGTTGTAACGTGTGTACGCCGGTGCTGCTGTGCTGCCGTGTTGTCGTAATGGTGTACTTGTGTGCTGCTGCGCGTGCGTATGAAACGTGTGCGGCTGATAACGTTCATGTTTGGAACGGTTCCTAATTTGCTTGCCTTTGTCGGAGATACCTGATCGGGACACACCAGCCTCCAGGCGGACAGTACTTTTTGGCGCCGGAGAATATTTTAGCATTCGCTTCGATCGTAGCAGCCATTAATATCCATCCACTTCTGGATATAACCGTAACACCACAGCTTCTGTAGAGTCTGCTCGAGCGCGTTGAACTCACCACGAGGCCCGGAATTGCTCGAAGGCTTCGTTTGCGAGCTTTTGCGAGCGACGTTCGTCGTTTTATCAAAACCCGCTCAGATCATGATAGCAGCCATATTATCTTCTTTCTCCGACCAAAGGTGACGTTTGCAGCTGGTCTGTCTCCCTCATGATACGGTACCAGGCGGAAGATACGCGGCGCCCGTCATAAGTGCTTTTGATCACAACATTCCGACACAGCAACGCTCTTAACCGTTCCTCACGAACTTACGCGTACCTGATACTCGTTCCGAAGACAATCCAGCTCATGACGGAGATTCTCGAGCTCCGTGCCCATGTCGCGAAGTAGTTGCTCATTGTCCGTTTGAGTCGCCTAAAATATGCGAGGTTGCAAGGTAAATGACGCGTGTTGTCGTCGGATTAGCCATCAAAGGCCCGGAAAAGCTCTGGCAGACTCTTCAATCGCCACAATCACGCAAAGGAGTGGTTAACCAGGCAGTATCGTTGCCGCTGCCCATCGCACAAAGTCAGGAGACCTTGCGCTAGATATGTATTTTTTTAACGGAATGCGGCGGAGTACTACAAAGTTCTAGACCAGCGCTCTTGACTCACTCACCCTGCCAGCCTTCACGATAGAGCTCAATGACTCCTTTTCCGCCTTCAGGATCTCCACTAGCTTCTTCATGCTGTGAATGCTGGACGACTGTGCCGCCGTTGCCTAACGGTGACGAAATAGAGGGGCATAACCGCAGAGTGAAGGTTTGGTTGCAAAGAGAGCCCATGTCGTCAATTGTTTCGCTGTGAAACCTACGCTATGACCCCGACATGGCACCTGACTGTGAGCGGTCGAAGCGTCGCGCGTAACGGCCAGAAGCGCACTTGATGCTGCTGAGAGCTCCTGCATTCCCGCAGGACTTGATTCTCCCTCTGGCGAAGTGTGGTCGGAGACATGCGTTCCCGTCGGCGAACGTGAAACTGCTGTGTTCGGTTGGTGTTGGGTGCTCGTCATTGGTGGCTCCAAAGCAGGTGGGCCTTGCTCAGACGCGGGCGTTTTGGCTTCAGCTTCACTGCCAACCGTAGACATTAGGTCCTTTGTGGCAAGGTCCACAGCCAAGGCACTGTAAAGTTGGTTTCACCCGTGGCATGAAAAAACGGACGATCATTAAAATCTATGCTGGTACGACTTAGCACATGTCGCGCATTCCACTCTAGCCGGCGCCAGCATCAAGACTAAATGGTACACGCACCGTACACATGCCAAGCGGTTAATCTTGCTACAGGATTGCCGCTTCCTGAGCAAAACAGAACAGTGACCAAGTTACCGTTGCCCACAACTCTGCAACATCACTCATACACAAATGACCCTGTCTTCCACAACGAAGAGCAAACAACTTGGTGCTGACCTGAACGCGTCGGAATTAGAAGCTGCAGTTCCAAGCGGCATCATCACAGCAGGAGGCGAAGATGGTGGTCGCATTGCAGGTGACGGCCGTACAACCGGCGACGGAGGCACAGATGTGGCAAGTGAACCGCCATGTGCTTGTGCAGGGTTTGTAACAACGCCCGAAGCGCTGCGAGTACCAGGGAGGAGGCTAGGGGGGCGGGTCATTGGACATGGTAGACCCTTCTTGCTCACACACACGATCAAGTGCATGCCTATGCAGAATTCCGCCAGAGAGAGCTTGCTATCTCCGTCGGCATCTGCTAGCTGCCAGATCTGTCGCAATTGCTTTTTAGGAGTGGCAAACGCGGTGCGAGTTGTACGAAGAAGTTAGTGCGTCGCTCGTTTTCTTCGATAACCAGGCTTCACACTAAAGTTTGCCCAAGCCCCGTTGCACCGAATTCTTCATGGTGTTGCCGCAGGATTGATTCGGGGGAGAAGAAGCTATCACTCGACATCGTGGGTAAGTCCCAATGGGGTAAACCTAGCGCAAATATCTCAAAATCTGGCACTGTCACCAACGGCCCAAACCATGTAATTTACACACCTCGCGCGGAAGGCGGGACTTGGAGAAGAGATCTACCGCCTCCGTGCCGGTCACAAATCCATCTCGATCAGAATCGTACGTCGGGAAGATTGATTCATACTTGGACCTCTCCTGGCCAGACATGGCATACGGGTCAGCACCGACCAGAGGTTCATGCGCAACTAACGCGCCGCCCGAAAGTGCTAAACCTTGTGAAACAGACCCTGTTGGCGGAGGGGGGACATTCTGCATCCTTGCGAGTGGGAAAGATGACGTTCGTTCCAGCGCTAACCGCTCTGCAGAGATCGGCACCCCTGGAGAGGCCTGGAAAAAAGAACAGGAGAAGAACAAAGGCAAGGATTGTAGGCAATTGAAAACATGTTTTATGCAATTCAACGGTGCCGCAAAAACGTAACGGGAGTGAAATCAGAGTCTTCACAATATTCGATAGCCAGCCCATCAACCTGTAGAATGTCCATGTGCGTCAACTGCACTGACCTTTCGCCGTGGCAAAGTTGCACGAGCACACAAGTGAGGTACTGGCGTATAACACGCGTATTCCTAGGCATACAGGCATGCCTTACCTGCGCCATCGCGATCAGGCGCATCGCCACATAGAAGTCCTCCGGGCGTAAGTAGTTCAGACTGGGATCTCCGGCAGATATGTCCCAAATCTTCATCCAAAGAAACCAAGTCCGAGAGGAAGGAACAACAAAGATCAGTGATCCATTCTACTCTACAGCGATGCCCATCTGGGGAAGAAAAAAAATCGGTGTGTTCCACAATCACGCGCTTCTCAGGGTGTTCCTGAATCTAGCGAACGGGCCTAGGTAGAGGGTTACTTAAATTACCATAGATTTTGCATGGCGGAGCCCTTGAAGCTCTGTCGCTGAGTGATATCGTGAACTTGAATAACACGCCGAGAGGCAAATATATTTTCAACGGCTATGTTGGAACAATACAATGTTATACCTCTGTACATGCACAGCTTTCTGAGTAGCACCTGAGTCGTCAACACTGGCGTGAAGCAGCAGTGGTGCCAAGAGTGGGGATAATGAAGACAGCCGAACCGAAACAATAAGCAACTCAGAGGTCTTGGTGCTGTTGCTACTCTCCATCAACTACTATTGGTTATGGGAGGTGTGTGGGCCAAACAGTGGTGTGTCTGCGGTGGCCGAAAGGAAGACCAGAACAGCATAATTCAACTTGGTGCAGAAACAGACTCGCCAAGGGTAATTGTGCCGGCCTAGCCTCGCAATACTGTATGCCAGGAGGTGACTTTGCCATATCTTGCTAACGTTGTTGGTGGCAATACAGCACACTCTCGGCGCGCCTGCCCTATCCTGCGGTCAATTTTCAGGGAACCCTGAAATGAGCAGCAACCTTGTTTTAGGCGAAGCTCCATTTCATGGTTCCAGAAATACACACCCTCATATCTGCCCGTCACTTTCAGGTTTCGGGGGGAGGCGTAATCTTATGTTTTGCATGCCTCAACGGTTAGACCATTGAACACGCGTCCTCGAGAGGACGGAGCATTGTTCCTACAGGACCGATCACCGATGGCCAATCGTTCCCTCCTACTTTGCCAAAGGTGGCTCAAAAATGTCTTCCCTACAATAGTCTATCTATCCTATCCATGTCATTTCCCGCCTTTTCAACCCACTTCTTATGCCCCAATACAGCTACCGTCTTCTCCTGGCTATTCCATGCGTCAAACATCTCCCCGTATCTTCCTTCTACCCTTCCCAGCTCTGTCATGTGCACTTCCCTCTCCTTAAACAGCCGACATTCCCCAACTACATGAACCCGGTCTTGGCACTCGGACCGCAATCACATTTGAACCTATCTTCATCGTCTACCTTGCTGAATCTTCAGCTTTGTCCCTTCATCCATTGGTCCATATAGGTACTCCTTGAACCCTATTCCTTCTGTCAACATTACGTACACATCTAGACCCTCCTTATCCTTGAGTTCTTAAGTTGCATTCTGTTCTTCTCTCTCGGCTAAAGTAGCAGATATTTTTTCTTGAACCCCTCTAGATCTTCCGTTTCCAGTGCATTACCTTCGTCAATTTCGAACTCTTTCCATACGTCATCTACAACCATTCCGTGGGTTGGGGGGGGGAGGGGTGTACTCATAGTCGTGCATGCTATGCAAGTCGTTAGACCATTGACCTCGCATCCCTACAAAGCCGGGACGGAGCACGCCGGGTTCGCACCGGACCAGGCTCTCACATCACCAAGCGCGAAGCGCCGTGAGGTATTCGGCGAGTCGCATGAAGGGTGCGCTGCATCCTGCTAAGGGTGTTCGGCATCTTGTGCTTACTTCCTTGCGTACGAATGACAGCTGCGTATGACTTAGTTTATTTTCTGGTGCTTTCCGTGGGTCGGGGGGGGGTGTACTCATAGTCGTGCATGCCGTAGTCGTTTGACCATTGACCTCGCATCCCTACAAAGCCGGGACGGAGCACGCCGGGTTCGCGCCGGACCAGGCTCTCACATCACCAAGCGCGAAGCGCCGTGAGGTATTTGGCGAGCCGCATGAAGGGTGAGCTGCATCCTGCTAAGGGTGTTCGGCATCTTGTGCTTACTTCCTTACGTACGGACGACAGCTACGTATGACTTAATTTATTTTCTGGTGCTTTCACTTCCAGAGACAGTTGTAAGCACTGTGTAACTGCCTCGAGGAAGCTTGACCATTTTAACACAACGTGGTGCGATCATCCCCCGTTGCGCGGAGTGAGGGTTTTCGCCCCCCCCCACCATGTTTTACTCGCCCCCCATTATGGTTCCCCCCGGTGGGGGGGGGGGGGGGGGGGTTAACTTTTGGGTTCGCGGGAAATAATGGGCCTAACCTCGCGCTTCGGTGACTTCGTTTTGACTTCGTTTGTGCGACGTTCTCACGCCAATCGCTCACGTGTATTGGTCATGCTCAATCAAACACGTCTTCTGCGATATCTGTTTGGCGTGGGCGTGCGTAGCGAAAGTAGTGAGTGCACTGCCTCGTGTGCGTGCGGCCCGCCGTGGGTGTCTTTCGCGTTCTGTGCGTGCAAGCGAGTGTGGGGTCTCAGCGTGCTTTGAATCGATAACCGTTATTGCTCACTGCAAACAAACAGGTGCAGTGGTGTAACGAGACTTGGTAACCTCTACACTGCAGATTTCGCTTAACAGGGAACCGCTAAACCGGGACCCCCACTCTCCAAGTGTCCTGTCTGAGGCTGTTCATTGGTATCAAATTTCTCATAAGTCTCCTTCCACAAACCCATCTTGAAGTCTGGCAATCAACAATTTCTGCTAGCTGCCAAACCCGGAATAGGTTTCATGCAAAAGTGCAACATTTCAACCGGAGGTTCGAAGACTGCAACTCTCCGCATTCGAACTCGGGCAGGTTCTGACTTCTTCTGACAGATGGGGGAGTGCACAAATTCTTGGGTTCCAGCACTTTTACCATGAGCACGAAGATAACAACGCGAGGTCATGCGCGCAGCCACTCCGAGCACCTACCCTATTAAGTGTTCCATCTGGTGATTTGCTCGAGTTCAACCATTGAACAGCAATATTTGACACTACTTCAATAATAGGCGCTGTTGAACGGTACGCCGTGTACAATCATGGTATACCGCGATACATTTGTGAGGCAAAGCGTCCCACTCACTCACGGATGGCTAACGCCGTTCATACCCCTTCTACGCCGCAAATTCCACAGCAAGCAGTCACGAGCACACCATGCCACATGAGAGCGACGCTGAAATCGGTGATTGGCGTCACAGATGATAAGGCTATCCTATAATTGCGATAGTTGCTGCGCGCGTTAAGTTGTAAGCAAAGCATCTGAAAGCATGCCGCGCAGCTTTGAGGTCCTTGAGAATGTTCTGTTACGCATCGTCATCGTCGAACAAAGTTTAAGGGATGGCAGACAACCTCACGACACTGGCTCCATCTTCATACTTAGTTCAGTATACAACAGAAAGCAACCTTCCCGCCGTTAACATCTGATGCATTCTACTGTTATCAGTAGAGGACACCATGAAGAGACGTCGTGTGTGCTGGCACGTTCAGGTTTGCTACAGCAGAATTATCGAGTCACAGCAGTCTCTGAAAACAGTCCGAAATCTGCACCGGAACCCAACATTTGTCACAGCCGTGCTCATGGCCACGAACCTCAACCGCGGGTCGTCAGCAGTAGATAGTGGCATCAGCTACAGCAGTAAACCCGAAGTTCAGTCAGTGGCGGCGAGAACGAGCAGCAAGACACGGGTGTCGGTCTAATTTGCGGAGATTGTAGGTCGCTACTACGACCCTCGATATAGACTAGAAAGCCCCCACCAAGAAGCGGATTTGAGCGCGCCAACACCCCCCCCCCGCTGCTATAGGGTGTCCTCTTGTGATATCAGTACAACGCACAAGGTCCAATGTGGAAGTAAAACTGACCGTATTTGAGCGCGTGCCGTTGACTGAATGTAGACTAGTGGGATTTTTATCTTGTTTTTTTCAAAGGAGGCTTGTGGAGGTAGACTCGTAATATGAATGTTTTGAGCAGCCTCTACTGCAGAGCCCTGAGCGAGAATCAACGATTTATGTTCTTCCCGAAGCCCAGCTGGTTTTATGTATATTTCTGGTGATTTTGCGGTTTTATCCGAAATCAGTCAAAATGAAAATCCGCTATCTGCCATCCCGTAACGGCTACAGCTGTTGTGAAACGCTGCGACCAGTCAGAGTGCATTAAAAAAGCAATCTACTCGGGTAGTCAAACTTCAGACTGTAGACTTGGCACCTGAGATGATGTACGTCTTAAGGTCTGCGGAAGTTGTTGTTGTCTTCACATTACAAACAGTTCAGATCTCTCTACCCACTTAATCTGCCCGTACTGATCAAACACTTGGCCGAGCGATTCCCGTGGTCACACGCTAACTTACCTAAAAAACGCATGCTCAAATAAAATGGACCCGAAGAGTTCGCAAGCCAATAAAGTCAACGACAGATAGTCTGGGGCTGTGCGCTCCGCTCTAAACACTCGCTAACGTGCGGCAGAAATGAGGTGCTATGAAAAAATCGCCATGATACGAAGCGTGTAGTTGCTTATGTATGCATACCTATTTTTTTGGCTCAAGTTGGAATGCTGGAAACTCGTATACATATTTCTCGCTCAAGTTGGAATGCCGGAAAATATGCATAGAAACAATACAATCCAGGCGATTTGCGATTTCTCAGAGGAGGCCAGATAGCCACATCACTCTGTGGGCGCCTTCCGAGTTTGCTGTCATGAAACAACGACAGAACATCGCTGCGCTATGCTACACCGGTAGAATTCATTCATCATAAATCGCTTGCTCGAGATCTATCTCATTTCATGATTGTCGTTCCAGCCTAACTGGGGCATTATCTCTTTAAGTAGGCAGTGTGCTCTTATATGACGGATAAAGGTGATGAGGTGCACAGCGATAGTCGTGCTGTAAGAGAGTTGCCGAACAAGGTACTTCTACGTAACAACATCGGAGATGTGAGATTTTTCACCTGTTTAAGTAACGGGAATGGCAGTCCGCTAGCTTGGAGAAAAGTGACCGCAGATGAACCAGCCAATCTCCGTGCTCCAGACGTATCCGCCAGCTGGAACAATCTATCATAGTAGTTCTTCTCTTCCGCGCTGCTCGGTGTCCACCTCACATCCATGGCAGCCATGGTAACTGCTCCCGCTGTGAGTGACTCCGTGTGAGTGGTCCAAGTTTCTCCGCTCTCCGCCTATACCCCTCAGCCTCAACCCCACAACTACTGCCTGTAGAGCGATCATATTCTGCGGGGCCGCCCAAACATGTCGTTGCAGGGAACAGGGACCATGGGTAGGGATGATTTCTTAAAAACGACGCAATTCCATTGGTCCAAAGCAGGTCCTTCCGGACTGATTCTTAAAAACGACTTAAAAACGACAGCTCGTGATTGGCGGGTTAGGGTAGCACGAGGTGGTTGACCCGCGCTTTTTGTGCCGACTGCACTGCTGTACTGCAGCAATGCTACCGCAAGCTCACCTACGCGCCACGCGAACCCACGCGCATACCACCCACCCCCGTGGGAGCAGCACCCACCGCCATGGGCCGCAACGAAGGGTCGAGGCCCGGACCCGGGTCCAAAAGACCCGGCGCGAGGACACAATCAGAAAAGACAGCAGCTCCAAGAGACATCGCACAGCAGGCGCGAGGCATGCAGTCGTGGCTGTCAGGAGGGTCGACCTCGAAGCGCCCACGAGTAGGTGGTGCTCAGGGTGGGGAGGGAAACAATGTGAGTTCAAATGAAGGTCAGGGCGTCGGGGAGAGCAGCACAGATGCCAGAAACGCTGCTGGTGGATCGCCCAACTGCAGCAGCAGCGGACCGGGTCATGAAGGAGCGCCACGACCCGCAGCACCACCTCAACAACAACCGCGAGGGTCGAGTAAAGGGAAGGGAAAGCTCGCCATGCTTCTTCGCAAGGGGGAGCAGCAGCCCCACCACCACCGCCGCCGCAACAAGGAGCTGGAGGGGTAGCAACAGCAGCAGAGCTGGCAGCAGCAGCAGACGCAGTCGTGGCGGCGACAGCAGTGGGCGCGAGTGCGTCAACACCAGCAGCACAAGTTACCGGCGTACGTCAAGGCCGTGGAAGCCGCCAACCTGTGCGAGCGGGTGGGCGCGGGGAGGGGACTGGAGGAGCTGGAGTGCGCGGAGAACAGCAACCGAGAGGAGGAGCGGTTGGAGGTCACGGCGCCGGAGGAGGTGGCGGGGCAGGACCCCCCGAGGTGGAGGGGGGGGCAAGTGGTGCCGATGACAGCGACCGGGTGTCGCCTGCGCAGCTCGCTTTCATCGACCAACTGAAGAAGACGATCGACAAGAACATCGTCCACCATGCCGGCGGTGTGAAAGCACCAAAGGGAGGTCCAGGCGTGTTCCCGTTCGACAGTCTCTTCATCACTCCCAAGTGTGCTGCGATAGCAGAAAATCACAGGTATGTACAGACAGTAGGCGTCGTAACAGGGATGGATTATGTTTTTGGTACTGCCATACTGCCACGTACCGGCAGAGCCCACAACATGCCGTCCTCAACAAATTTGTGTTCTGCCACACCCTTGTAAAAAAATTATTGAAATTAATCTTGCAGCGTTGTTCCTCAGTGCTAATTCTTACGCTGTTTCAAACGCCGTTTGGTCTGGCTCTCACCATTTTGATAGGTGCAGGACAACCGAAGGTTGATCCGTACTATCTCAAGACCGTGATCGATTGCATGCAAAGAAACCAACAATCATCAACAAATATCAAAACAGCCAGCTTGGGGTTCAGTTTCTCCTCGTTTTTCTTTTCTTCTTGTGTTTGTGGATCATCGTCACCCGCACCAACCCCCCGCCGCGTGCCCATCCGCTGGGCAATAACGTCCTACGCGGCAAGGTATCAGCTTGTTGAATAGTTCTCTGCGGCCCCCCCCGCGCGCCTGATGGCTTGAACCCCAAGGGACCGCGCCGGGTGTTCATGGAGCATGACGTGGCGTACATGATCGGCTTCCGGTGAGCAATGCACAGATAGATGCCCCCCCCGTGCGCATCACACGTGCTCCGTTTTCTTGGCATCCATACGTGTGTAGCTGCATGTCTATGATAAAACTTGGCAATCAAACTGCCCGAGTTGATCCATCAGTAATTGAATACGCAATGACTGCGTGTGAGACGAAAACATTTCTGGGTGGGGGGATGAGGGCCGAACGAACATACCATTATTTGCAAGGTGCTAACTTTATGGAACCGAAGGACGTGACACGGGAAGGGGGTAAGAGGCAAGGGGGGGAGGGATGGCAGACAAACAACACGCAGGGAACAGACTGATGCCAAGTCAAGCACCGCAAAACAAGTCGTTGGTACGTCTGTGGGTGGTACACCAGTCCTTCAAAGATGGTGCAAAGGATAAGACTTCTTGTTATGTCACACTACGTGGTGCATGTGTAGAACGACGTCGTGTCTATTTATCTGCATAAGAGTTTTCTGCCCCAAGGCCTCGTAGCTCAGTTTTGCGTACACCCTCTAGTTGTGGCATGCCCTGCGGGACAAACCGCTATTAACAAGAAGCAGTTCAACAAGAAGTGCCGAGCGCATGTAGCTCAACTCTACGCCGGCCTCATCCTGTAAATATTTGTTGTCGCATTCCCTACAGGACAAACCGCTACAAGCAGATTAAGAACTTCGAGAAGCGCATCCTGGTGGCCACCGATCTCTTCGGCCGCGGCATCGACATCGAGAGCGTGAACATCGTGGTGAACTACGACTTCCCCGACGGCGACGACGGCTCGGACCAGTACCTCCACCGTGTGGGCCGCGCAGGACGGTGAGAATAGAACCGGCTTCTTTTTTGTTTTCAGCAGGGAGTCTGGATCGGACCTTGTCTGTGAGAGTAAGCCGCAATGGACGGCCGGGAGTGGCATATATTAAATAATGAAATCAGTAGCACAGGGCCAGCGTGGTCCTAGTTGTAGTACGCGTTTTTCGAACGGCACCAATGGTGTGTGTAGGTGTGGCATCAGTTTTTCTTCAAGCCGATGTTGACTGCCGCAAGGCCGTGACACATGCGTCTTTTTTTTTTCTCCTCATTTATCGAAGTGTGTATACTGCCAACAGCTTGCAGTACCGATCAGGCCGATGTTTGTCGCTGTATCTTTTGCGCTCAACAATTCGTTGTTCTATCTGTATCACGCAAACACTCGCTCTCTCTGTGTGTCTCCCTCTTTCCGTTCGACAGATTCGGCACCAAGGGCCTGTCTATTTCGTTCGTATCGACGGAGTCTGACGCCAAGAAGCTGGAGGAAGTGCAGTCCCGCTTCGAGGTGGACATCCCCGAGCTGCCGGACACGATCGAGACAAGCACGTACATGCAAGCAGCAACTTAAAATTTTACAACATGATCATAAAATGTTTTTAGAAAAACTGGGTTAAGAACCGCGTGCAGGGAAGGATGGGCCACAAAGAACGGCGACACAGAGAAACGGTGCCGGCTCGGTCGAAACGGCAGATGGTGGGGGTGGGTAGCGGCCTTGTAGTGGTTTTCGATTGCTCTGTTGTCGGAGGGAGTGCTTCTAGACGAATGATGCTGTACCGGTGTAGTGTCTGTGGCCGCAGCAGTATGTACCAGCAACCACCGAGCACGAGCAAAAGCCCATCGCTCAATGAAAAGTCTCTAGTTGAACATGGAGTAAGAACCAGGGAGACCGGGAGAGGGGGGAGAGGGGGGAGATGGGAATGCCTCTTGAACTCCTGAAACGATAGGCGTGGGCTTGTACTGCTGACGAGGACGGGGCGGCCTGGCATTCTTGTGTTGCAGAGGTTTTTCCGTTCTTCTTTGTAGTTGCCAGCTGTTTTTTGTCATGTTTTCCAGAAGGCGACACGGTTGGGTTAGTCTCTCCGAGCAGAAGGCAGACGGTGGTCTCGAAATCTCTGGCCGAGCGTGCAGAAATGACGGGAAGGTCGCTGCTTCTGTATCGTGTTCAAGTATCTCGTCTGGTATCGTGTATTGTAGCAAGTAGTGGCGTGCTCCATCTTTGTTGAGTTGTGGCTGCTGACAACAGCAACGCCAGAGGGATAAAAAAGCAATATTATAGTGTATGCGGAGATCGCCAATCGAAAAGGGCACACAAGGCGGAGGCTTTGCGTCTCTACACGGTTATTATTATGCGTTCTCAGCCGCAGAACTGCTTACGGTGGGGGGGGCGGTTTGTCCCTGTTTAGCGCCATGCCCTGTTTAGTGACCACAAAACCACGTCGCACCGCCGCACCCCCGGTAGTATAACCGCAATATAACTGGTAGTTCGGTTTAACGAACTGCCTTAAATAGCGGCAACATCTCGTCGTGACACTGCTGTAGGTGGGGGCCGCTACACTTGGCCCCCCACTACTTACTTGCTGCTGCTGTATTTCGTATTTTCAACGTCTCCCAGCGAAATTTTGCTGCATGCTGCAACAACCTGTGGTGCACCCCGACACGATGAAAGCAAGACGGAGGGGGTGGAAAGTCAAAGTATAACATCTCTTTGCACGCAAAGTAGAGCGCACGAGCGCATGCACGCTGAGTACGGCTGTGGGACTTCGACTTCAAAAATATCTCCGGCGGGGGGTTACATACAAGGGTCCATTTCCGAACACAACGTCTCACGTCTGTCTCTATTGTTGTGTGAAGTGTGAGCATATACGAGAAAAACGCCCCGACCTCTGCTCAGCACCTTCTAAAATTCATGTACTGCTGACTGGTCCGGTGGTGAGAGGTACCTGTACCACTTGCGGTGGTAGGGTCCGAGTCCCCGCAGATCGGACAATTGTAGAGGGAAGCACACGGGGTAGGGATACCACGCAATGATTCTGCGGCTTTCGCAAAAAAAAATATAATAGCCCAGATTGTCCCTACCTATGGTTTCTGAGCCGTTTGCAGAGATGAGATGCGCTAAAGACGTTCCTGTTCTTTGCAGGCTGCTGGTCTGTGGTTGCTTCTTTCCGCACGATGTCCTCCGTAGATTCTGAGCGCCGTTCCCTAAAACCTTCACCTTCCCAACGAGTATCCTCACCGCCTTCCTCACCTATGAGATCACCTCATAGATCGGCCAGTGGTCGGTAAGTCGATTTTTTGAACTGATTCGCTTTGCCTTGACGACGTTTACATTTATAGTCTCGGCTTTAGAGAAGTAGGCCAAGTCTTCCCTGAACCACGTCGGGACGCTGGATGTGGTGTGTCGACGAGAAATGATTGGGGTCGAAAACAATCGGTTGATGCTTATTTCCGGTGTAAGGTACAACAACTGCTGTCGGCGTGATTGTATGCCGCCTAATACCACCCCCAATGGTATCTTACAAACGCCCGCCGTCAGGTCCACCAGGGATCTACAGCAGTATAAGTAGAGCTTTAGGGTTAAAACACGGGGAGGTGTAATATGTTCTGCGCAAAAGCTGGGATGAACTGGTGAAATGCTATCATAGGTGTAACATTTAATTTTCACGTAAGCAATTTAGTGTTCCAAGACTCCCGGAGGGTCCCAGCCCATGTCCATGAGAGACCAGCCAAGAGAGAGCCAAATGCACCCGAGCAAAATGCAAACAACGACGACGAAGTGCGCATGACTGAAGATGAAAAATAGTACTTTTTGCCATTTCACCAGTTACACGAACACCGTTGGATGCTGCTGCACTTGCTGTCTGGGGTGTGCTTGGTGATGCGCGAGGCAGGCAGGGTAAAGCACGACTAGCAACGCACGAATGAAGAAGAGTTGTTTTTTGGACGTGAAAAAGCGTGTCGGTCTCTGGTCAGTATATACCTCTGTGTATCATCAGTACCGGTCCAACTGACGCGAATGCCTTCCGTGATCACAGGCCAAATGCTACCCAGTACATCCTAAAAGGTACGTATGAAACTATTTAAAAACCAAAGGACAACAAATAAGGACCCAGGACATCACTAACGCGATGAGAGCACAATCCATCCGAAACAGAAAGGTCACAGCCAGACAACAGGCAGGCGTCACAGGTGACATATCGGGCAAAGGAGAAGTATACACACAAAAATAAGATAGAGTCCATCGCTCCGGCTCGGTACGAGATGCCGAACAAACACCAAACGAGAAATATCAATCAAGACAACACAACAATAAGAATGCCTCTGTCCTTGTGCTCTACGAGCCGGGGGCATATTCACTGCCCGGGCTATACACCTGTCATGCCATTCTACGCGTATGTGCACGCACTAAATGGCGGGCGTGCTTTTATTGCTTTCCCTCCGCAGACGATTTGCGTATGTACGTAGTATTCACCTTATCTTGCCTGCCAAAACTTCACCAGCAGCACGCACACAAACGTCAAGTATTACGTATTAGAACTCCACCGAAGCAATCGAAAGCCTCCCTAGCAGAAGGTGCTCAAGAAGTACTGTACCGCGACAGATCCTTGCAAGAGTCAGATCGCAACCTGTCTATCTGTTGCACTGGCTCTTTGGACCCTTGTTTATGTCCTGAAGCGCACAAAAAATATGATACCAAGTATTACGTATGATCAGCGCCCTATGGAACCACTGAAAAGCTTCGCGAGCATCAATGGTTACTGAAGAATACCTGACGCGATAGCACCAAAGTTTATTGTTGAGGTATGGCTCTGTGCTGCAGCAGCGGTGCCTCTGCTCATGGATACTCGCAACCGCTCCTTCGAAGTTTCGCAAATAGAAAACGGGCTGTACGTGCCACCAAACGTTTGATGCTTTTACCTGAAGTGAACACAGCAAAGGAACGCGCCTTAAGTTCTACGTCGGGACGTGGGTGTCAAGTCAAGCCTTCCGCGACTGACGCAAGATGACATGCCCGCAAAGGGTTGTGTCTTGTTGATGGGCAAAATTAGGGCTTGTATTCCGTTCTAAACATCGCGCACGAAATTTGGAGCCAGCTCGAGCGGACAACTTAGCCGGCGAAACCTCATGTACTTCCGTTTACGCACAACGAACCAGATGTTGGTTGGGTGATTTTTGTCGTGCGATTTACAGATTTCCTTTTTGGATCAGAATTTGAGTCCGAAACTATTCCACAAGCAGAGCCAAGAGCGCGCGCTCCCAAGAAACTACATGATCAACGCTGTTGGTGCATACTTGTTTTGTCTACAGCAGCAGTGTATCAGTGTGCCCGCTGCGAAGTGTAAATGAGCAAAGGTGCTGTTGTATATTGCGGTGAAAGGAGAGTCAGTGAATGGAATCAGCCAAATGTGGGGATGAACAGCCCAAGAAGCATTTTTTTCTCCGTGCACATTGTATGTAGAGTTCCAACTCCCGGGCGGCAACTGATGTGCGCCCGATAACCACAAGAAGAGGCGACGCCGCGAGCTTTGAAGAGTCAAGATGAGTAAGGTTGTGGGAGCATATGCGATGTGATCAGCTTTCTCCGGCTACTTGTCGTTGGTAGCGGGAGACCTGTTTGAATGAGCACGCTGGCCATTTTTCCTTTTGGTGGTTTTTGATGGGCTCCGGTATTGGTTCGCCAGACCTCGTCGTCGCGGAACGCGTTCCCGCGAGATAGAGCCAGTCCCCGCGACTTTGGACCTCGAGAACATACCACTGATGCCTGGCGGTTCTCGGGCATACGCGGTAATGTACCTGAGAAGGAAGCGTGAGCAAAGGCTCGCTGCCGCCAGAGAAAAGATGCGCTGAAGCACAAACACATCGAAATGATACACATACAATCGTAGGAGCAATGAAGCCGCCGAGCATCACATGTTGCTGAAGAAGACGTGACTTTACAGCACCGAAGGTGTAGGCGGTGAGCGCTCTTACACTTGTAGATCCTCCTGCACTCTCTTAAACCTGCCCGGCGATGGTCTTCCTCGTTTAGCGGGTGGTGACATCTCGATCACGATCACCCAGGCAGTGAGCGAAAACGACAGTCCGGCAGGAAATAAAGAAAGGCCAAAGCTGCAATACCTGCCGCAAGCGTGACCTGTACGCAATCCACTTGCTTGGATCTTCGAACGTGACCTCACGTTTGCTCCGAACTGCCATTAATCAGCACCGGGTTGAGCGCCGCTCAGTTGGAGGCGGAAGGAGATACTGCTAACGGGGATAAGCCAAGGCCACCATCGAAAAAGCCGAAAGCGAACCACTGGGCTAGAGACGTGAGCGCGTACGACATTCTTGAGCCGATCGGAGAGGGCACCTACGGCAAGGTGCTATCGCCTGGATGTCCGAGTGTCGGTGATCACAGTATCGTGCTGCACCGCGTGGTAGTACTTTAAACCGTGGGCAGCAGAAATAGGTCGGGCGTGAGGTCTTCGTGGCGTCGTACCTCGTATGGTACAGCATCGTAAGTCACTACACTCGCGAACACTGCACCGGCTCACCGTCGCTTGCACGTTGTTGCCTCTTTTGCATTTCCGTACAATATACCAGGTATGGAAAGCGAAAGAGCCGGGCTGCGACATCGTCGTCGCATTGAAGATGATCAAGGCTACCGATAAAGAAGGCAACTCTTGCGATGTAAGTATTACCGGGAGAGCTATGGCACAACGGTGTGCGCCATGTTGCATTACTGTGGTCAGCTGGATCCTTAATTGTTCGACTGCATTCTTGGTGCTCACTCTCGCCCCCCCCGGATGGCAAGCGACAAGTACAGCACCGGTTCTCTGTTGGTTTCAATGCAAGGATCTTGACCTTCTCCACTTTTTTTTTGTTGGCGCTTGGACAGGGCGGATTTCCCATCACTTCCATCCGGGAAATCCGTATTTTGCGAACCCTCACGCATGACAACATCGTGGAACTTCTGGAGGTGGTCACGGATTCGCACGGCAAAGTTGAAGATGGCAAGGTACGGGTGACACATTGACCCTAAGGAACGTCCTGGATGTTGTTTCCAAAGTATACTGAGGGTTCTACTATCCCCGCTTCATCGTCGATATATCTTGCATGCGACTTCAGATCATCCCGAAAGCAGGCATGGTCTTAAGATGGAGGGGACGATAGCCCACCTTCCCCGGGGTAAATCGAGGCGTCTTGTGTGCATGTACCTCAATCGACGCGCCTCCCGCAAGAGTGGCAGCGGCAATACAAAAGAAGGCGCATACAGGACGGCGGGCAAGCCGTGGCAAGCTGTGGTACTTTACCAATATTTATATCAAGTTGTGAGATTGTTAAACTTCTTCGCGAAGCTGGTGACTCCAAAATACTATAGCGGCCGGTAGGCTTGTATTTCGGGGGTGCATGTGTGCGTTGCCCGGAACCATGACGTACTTTTGAGATCAGCGGCAGAGGCTGGGAAACGAATGCCGTTTTTATTGCGTTTGTATACTTCACAGAGCTGCGTGCACCTCCCCAGACCCTTCGCTCTAGGCGTGACCTATCGTGAGTGAATTTAGCATTGGCGCTAATCTTGTCTCCAGCTGTGCTTTTGTGATGCTTCGCCTTGGTCAATGGCAGACACTTTTTTCTTGCACGTCGGTCCCGCATACAGTTTCACCAAACGCAGATGACATGCTCGACAGAATGCATACAGATACCAGCTTGCCTCAAGGTCGTAGTGCACAAATGTGTTGTGCCAAATTTGGGAGAGAAGGGGTGACACGGAGTGTGACCTGTACCCCCCCAACGGAGATCAAACCGAGACCCGCTCTGATTGAAATCGTCCGTCACGCAGAGAATCCCGTAAAAGCGAGCGTCCCTTCAGCGGGAACGACCGTAGCTCTCTGTTGTCTCCACCAAACCGTGTACCCAAGGAAACAAGGCTCGGCAGTTTTTTCTGGCACAATTTCAGGCAACGGCTCGACTTCATACTGGATGCAAGCGTAAAATTGCGACAATGTTGATGCTGATCCCTGATATGTTTTACCCACAATGCACTTTAAGCAAGGTGACGTCTACATGGCGTTTGAGTATTTGGAGTACGACCTATGGGCTCTCGCAAATAGCTCCCAGGTAAAACTCACCGCCACTCACATCAAGACCTACATGAAGCAGATGCTGGACGCCATCGCCTACATGCACACTAACAAGGTGGGTCTCTGAGTTTTTCATCGTTGATCGCTGTGGCAAAAGGGCATCATATCGGGTGTAGACGGGCCGGCCGATATGTGTAATAGAGTTACCACCGCCTGGTGTTATGTGTGGTGTGCCGATTGTACTTCCCGTTCACACCGCGGGGAGAACTCACCGTGCAATCTTTGATGCAGTAATTTTTAAGCTCTGTTAGTGACTCTTCCCATGTACGACGTTTTACGCCCTCTGATTGGTCGAGCGTTGGTTCCGGCGGTCGATATATCTCCAGCGCCCTCTCCCCATTCCGCGTTTCGACTACGCAGAGCAGCCGCATTTTAGCCCAGTGCGCGGCCGCTACGCCGTGCGTTGGCCGTGGGTGAGGGTGAGGGTTAGGGTTGGGTTGGGTCGGGTCGGCCACTGTGTGTTACACATCCCATGTGAGGAACCTATGTTCAACGTCCTGTTAGACCTAAATAGATCTCTTGTGATGCGTTCGATCTCTACTATCCTTGCTCGCGAAAATTGAAGTAATTTTTCTTGTCGTTGTTTTTTCTCGTCCCCGGTGCGTTTCCCTCAATCCCGTGTACCTTTTCGATAAGATCGTTGTAGGTTCCGTTCTCACAGGCAGCGTCCCCTGCTCTGAGTTTGGAGACCTGTGACATACACAATATACATGGGATGTAACAGCGCTGCAGCAGCCCGTGTTTTCGTTGTTGAAGCTTGATAAGCTTCCCAGAGACACTCGCGATAACACGCAGCATCGCGCGTAACGTCGGTGTTTCCCAGAGCTGGGGGGAAGACAAAACATGTTGTTCGATTGGAACGTGATTAGGCCTTTTTCTGTGGTCAGCATAAATAGCACTGGCCGACTGCTGGGCATAACAACATTTCAGCACATACAAAACTCAATCCACGTTTTGTTCCAAACATGCGTTTTGGTGGAACGATAGTACAAAGACCGCTGCATATGACCATAACAAACTTACGGACGGTTGGGTCTTGAAAACACTTACCATTATACCTGGTACACGACAGGTGGCAACAACTTGCTGCCGTAGATCCGAAAAGGGGCTGCTGAGAACAAATGTTCGAAAGAAAAACAATGAAAACTGGTACATAGCAGAGATCACAGAGAGTTATTCTGTGTCTTTTGTTTAACGTATGTCATGATCAATCCCTGGCTAAAGACATCAGTCGCTGGCGCGAATATCTCACATGTGTGGGCAAGGATATGCAATATTGCCAACTATGGAAGAGATGTTATGACTACGGCAGCAGCGACACGAAGATCTGTGCCCGAGCTATATAGGACCGTGCTCCTTACCTCTCTCACGTGTGGTCTCTGTCCGCTGCTTGTGTGGTGTGTCCAACACTTGCACCAAGGGCACGAGCATGCGTGGTGCAACGTGCAAAGGGTGACGCGGGTGGTGAGCGCGCTTCACATGGCCTCAAGAACGGCGTTCCATAGTTTTATTTAATCATTTCCCAGGAACTTTCCTGCGGGCAACAATATACATGGTGCCTTGTGTAACTTGAAAGGAACCTATTCACAAGTACGCCTTTGCTTGCTCTTGACAGTGTGATAACACGCGGCAATGTGCGTGTTTTCTTAATCCTGTGGTCTTCCACGCAGGTTATGCATCGGGACCTCAAACTGGCCAACATGCTCATCGGTGCAGATGGCATTCTCAAGGTGGGTCGTCGACAGCTTGTATCTGAGGAGAAAATCAGCTGCCCAGATGGTGGGACAGCAGTTGTTCATTCGTTAATTTGCAGCGAGGATTGGACCATCTGCTCCCAGCAGCGAATCAGCGGGAACGTGTAGCGCCGGTTCTATTCTTTCATGAATCACGACTTGTTCGGGACAGTGTGCGTTGTGAGCACTGGATCATGCAAAAGCTAGGTTATCATCCTTTGATCCTGATTATCCTGACCAGGTTGGCGACTGGGGACTGGCCCGTTCGTTCCACGACAACCAGACGAAGCACACCCCCACCGTCATTACCCTTTGGTACAGACCTCCGGAGGTTTTGCTACGCACCACCAGGGTGAGTTACGGAAGTTTCGCTATTTTTCACATGCATAGGTCGCGTCCAAAACGGTTCTCTGCCACTGGGAGACACCCGTCCAGAATATCTCAGTGCCAGGTTTCAACCCTTTTCAAACGCAGTATGGCCCTGCTGTGGATATGTGGTCTGTCGGGTGTATCCTTGCCGAGCTCCTCTACGAGAGCCCAATTCTACCAGGAACACATGAGAAGGAGCAGCTGAACTTGATATATTCGCTGTGTGGCACGCCGACGGATGAATCATGGCCAGATCGCACGGAGGTGAGGATTTTCGGTATTGTTGCATGGGTCAAAATATAGCCACAGGTTCGTTCATCCATAACATCTGTGAACAAGTTTCAATCGCAGCAACGTGTCGCAGCGGCGGATACCAATCAGTGGGGGGGCATCAATAACTCGGTCACGTTTGTCGTGTGTTGATGTGCGACCAAAAGTGCAAGTAATGAACAGGTTGACAAGCGGTCGGGGAGTGAGTATCCCCGTAGCGACACGTACACTGGCAAACACGGTGCAGGTTCACATGCTTGCTTGGCTCCGGGCAGTCTTACGTTGACCTTGACAAGGGCCGCTGTGCGTTCATTTTCACTCGCGTATAATGCGTTGTCCCCGTCGTGCTCCTCTTGTTCGCTCCACGCACAGTTGCCGGATTGGTCCCTATATGCCAATGCTGCGGAAGAGCACAAACCAAGGTCTATTCAATCGAAATTTAGGTATGTCCTCGTTCGCCTGGAATTAATTGGCTTCGTATGTTTTCCTCCCACTAGAGCTTGTTCCTTCTTAGCAACTTTGCATGAGTGAGGCACTTTCTCGTGCGTGCACTCATTTTACGTCAGTACCTGTCTCGCTCTGGGAGTTCAGCTCGATGCGCACAGGCGTCCTCATTACGCCTCAGTCTCGAGAGATGCGATAAAATTTGTTGCATTTAATTTTTTTATTCACGTAGTCCAAGGATAAACTCAAACTGAGGTATCGAGTTAATTTCGCAACATCATGAATCTTCGGTTTGTGACGTGCTTTTGTGGGCCGCGCGCCATGTGGTCTTGCTCCCCCGCTCTGCCCGGAATGGCGCGGGCAAACCAGGTACTGTGCACTCAACTCCTCTTTGGCGATGTTTGTCTTCCGACCTCTGGGCAGATTCGACCGACTGGGTGTGGATTTGGTGGACAAACTTCTCACCCTCGATCCTTCAAAGCGACTATCAGCGGCAGAGGCCTTAGACCACCCTTACTTCTGGCATGATCCTCGCGTGGTCCAGCCATCAGAGTAAGTGGGGGGCGGTATTCACGGGCCAGAAATTCCTGTTTAGTGCCATCTCACGTCCACGAAATGATATAGCAGTATGGTGATATTTTTCCACACTGCGCCCCGGTTTTCTTGCAGCACGCAGCGTGGAGGCGTTAGACGGAGTTGTATCGAAGTAGTGACGACTTAACGGGAGGGGGGTAGGATACTCAGCGGAGCGCAGAGTTTCCACAATCGAAGGACACAAAAGCGGCCGAGAAGAGTAGGAGAGAGATGGCAGAGGGAATAGCAAGATGTGTACCGGACTGAATGTGGTGGATGTGGCGGCAGTACGCCACAATCTCATTCGTTTTTTCAATGCTACTATTCCCATTCCTTTCCTGATACCCTTCCCCGATGTGTCCTCATGTCGGTTTACGATCTGGTATGCCTGAATATTTGACACAAGGTTGGGTGCCTTTCGTGTGTCGGCGTGCAGCGGGGCCGAGTCTAGCCGGCAAAAACCTGGCATGCACCCCTGGCATAGTTTGTAGGGACGTGGGATATACAGGAGTGTATGTGTTCTTTTTCGAACGGAACATGTACATGTTTACGTTGGCCTTGATGTTGACACGTCTCCACGCTCGGTGTTGGTCCTTTCCAGGCTATCAAAGTTCGCCATACACTCGTGTCACGAATTTGAGGTCAAGAAGGTGAAGGAGAAGGAGCGACTACGGCGGAAAGAGGTACGAACCCAGCCTCTTCCCGGTTTCGTGATGTCACTGTCGTGCTCTTAGGGATAACTCTGTGTTGTGTTTGACAGCGTGTTTTTATCAACGAGTCTTGGTTTTGTCCTGTTTTGGAACACTTGATCATTCTAACTCAACGCATGCAGGCGGAGGCAAAAGTCCAAGAGGTGAGGGCAGCGGCAGCTAATCGACCCTCGGAAGCTGATGCAAAGCCTAGCGACAGGTGGTGACAACACTCCATGTGCTTGCTTGCTTACTCTCGGGGAGGAAGCTCACGCCGTCGACGAAGGCCCGACTCGACGAAAGACAACGCGGCTGTTGCTGGCTGCTTCAAAAGCGGACTGGACCCGGGGTGTATGGATAATGAGAGGAACTGTAAATTACACGGGAGTGGCAACGACTTTCAGAGGGACGGTTTGCTCTGGTGAATCCCTGCTGTCAGTGAAGAACACAGATACATCGCAGCCAGCGAGCGTCACCCAGTTGAAGACAGAGATCGGGGTAGTACAAAGAATAAGGACAAGAGAACGATAGATAGGCTTCTCACGTTAATCCGTCCATCCACCATCTATCCACACGTAGAAAATAGATGTTACTCCCCACCAAGTTTTTTGGCAGGCTGGCCTCTACCCAAGTCAGTTGCGCTAAAATCAGATGCATTCTCTCACACGGTGCATCTTTGTCCATCTCCTTGGCCCATGCCGATAGTACATCAGGCGGTTAATAAATACCAGTAGTAATTAACAAACCCTCTTGGCATTCCTGCGCAACGCACACATGGTCCCACACACCATGAGTAACACGGTACAGATACATGAGACCGGGCGACCAACGCAGCAGGTCACAGCAGGAGGATCTGTGCAAAATATACCGCTAGCCTAACAGCACACCCGCACTCACACGCGAAAGGTCACGGTGAGAAAGGACACAATCCGCACATGACTCAAATTCTGCAGGTTGTACGGAAAACCGGCACTACCGAAACGCTGAGATGCAAAGTTGCAACGGTGATGACGTTGGCCATGTCCTCTTGCGTCGCCCCTGGGAGACAAGCTACCTAACTAACTCCCGAAGGGCCTTGCACGTGCATCGAAATTAGACTTTGACACTTCAATCTGGCGCTTTCTCTCAGAACCAGGAGGCTCGTCGGTACATTACATACCCCCGGAGCTCGGCAGGCATCCGCGGTGCGTGCGCTTGACGCTCAAGGTCGTGAAAATTGGCTCTGCACCCCGGCGAACCTATACTGAAAACCCATCAATATCGACAGTAAGGAAAAAAAATGCCCGTCTGCGCATTTCCAATAGTTTCTCGCTACCAACAACTAGCAGGATCACATCGCCTCTGTTTGGGGTTTATTGACCTGAAAATCAGGTCGACCACTTGGTCTGCTCTGTGGACAGGGCTCTGGTGGGGGCTCAGATATGGTAGTTGGAGATGTTGATGGTACCCTTCCTTGATTTCTCATCCGGGGGCACTCTGTTGACGTTTGCACATAAAACACTTTGTTTCCAATTCTACCCCCCCCTACGAGTGGGGGCTGAGGGGCCTAGCCTCCCCCCTCCACCCGGGGGAGGCTGCCCGGGAGTCAACGGAGGGCATATATATGGCCTCTTGTCCATAATTCTGTGCTGGTCAACGTTCTGTAGGATAATTTTGGGACTTCACGTTTGTGTGAGGTTTAAACTGCTTTTGTGTGCGACGTTTTTATGCTTGTTGTTGCTGAGGCGATTTGACCTCTCATTGCAAGTGATCCATCCTTCCATGCTCGCGCTTTGTCCGTGATTAGGCTTGTAGTCAGCGCCCAGTTTGTTCTCAAGCTTATCGGGTTCAACTAAGAAGTAGCGATGGGCTTTGGAGGCATTGTGGACAGGGCTCTGCTGGGGGCTCAGATATGGTAGTTGGATATGTTGATCGTACCCCCTTGTTGTCTCATCCGGGGTCAGTGACTCTGTTGATGTCTGGACATAAAATACTCTTCCCTTGTACTCCCTCTATGGGGGCTAAGAGGCCTAGACTTCCCCATCACATCCGAGGGAGGCTGCCGTAGGGGATCAACAGAGGGCATATGGCTCTCTCGTCCATCTCACATCATTCACCACAAGATCTCTGTGGATGCAGTTCACCTGGCTGAACAACGGACTGAAGTGACTATAGTCCGGCATGATATCGCCGCGTATGGGTGGGTGTTTATCACTCACAAACACCGTTGTCGATTTTCTTGAGTACAACCAGGTGCCTACTACCTGAGATCAAGCCGATTGTTTCTACTCCAGTAGTAATAGGTTTTGGGGGCATTGTGGACGCAGCGCACTGGTATTAGTAGTAGTTCACGGTGGGAAGCCGCCTTTGGATATCTGCATATCCAAGATATGATAGATTGAAGTTTCTATCTGCCTGGTTGGCATGTGGGTAGTAGAGAGATAGATGGAGAGAGAGAGAGACTCGTGTGTGAAATAATACACTCTGTTTTCCATTACCAAGGAGGTGAATCGACCAGACCCCCGAGGCCACGGGGGGAGGATTCTGGAGCTAGACCCTGCCTGATTTGAATCGTGTCCACATGTCTTCTCTCGGAAAAAAGGGCTTCGTTCATTTGAGGCCCGGGCTACCCTCGGGCAATGATTTATACTTAAATATTATCAGTACAACTACTCATCAGACGGTTTTGCTCCTCTAACTGAATACCGCTGGTCCGGGATCGCATATAATAACTCCCCTTCGTTAGTGGGGCGGTGTTTCCCATCGGGGTTTAGCTTTTCGTCGCTTAGCAACGACGTTAAGGCGCCCGCCCCCGGTGTTCGCCATCGGGGTTTAGCTTTTCGTCGCTTAGCAACGACGTTGTAAAACAAGCCGATCACTTCGTGACCTCAGCAACCAGGTTACCGCTTTTTTTTTTGCCTTTGGTTTTTTAACCATGAATGGTGGTCGAGTAGATGATGTTGTGCGGGGTCGATAACCGTCACTACCCGCAAAGGGGATGATTGCACCACCTTGTGTTAAATTGGTCAAGCACGCTCGAGGCAGTCACACAATGCTTCTAACTGTATCTGGAAAGTGAGAAAGCGCCAGAAAATAAATTAGGTAATGTGCAGCTGTCATCCGTACGCAAGGAAGTAAACAAAATGACAAACACCCTTAGCAGGATGCAGCGCACCCTTCATGCGACTCGCCGAATACCTCACGGATCTTCACGCTTGGTGATGTGAGAGCCTGGTCCGGTGAGAACCCGGCGTGCTCTGTCCCGGCTTTGTAGGGATGCGAGGTCAATGGTCTAACGACTACGGCATGCACGACTATGAGTACACCCCCCCCCCGGTGTTTGCCATCAGGATTGCGCTTTCGTCGCTTGGCAGCGATGTTGTAAAACAAGCCGATCACTTCGTGAGCTCGGCAACCAGGTTACCCCCTGTTATTTTGCCTTTGGTTTTGTTTTTGGCGGTAACCATGAATGGTGGTCGAGTAGATGATGTTGTGCGGGGTCGAGAACCGTCACTATGCGCAAAGGGGATAATGACACCACGTTGTGTTAAATTGGTGAAGCACCCTCGAGGCAGTTACACAGTGCTTCTAACTGTCTCTGGAAGTGAAAGCACCAGAAAATAAATTAGGTCATACGCAGCTGTCATCAGCACGCAAGGAAGTAAGCGCAAGCTGACGAACACCCTTAGCAGGATGCAGCGCACCCTTCATGCGACTCGCCGAATACCTCATGGCGCTTCGAGCTTGGTGATGTGAGAGCCTGGTCCGGTGAGAACCCGGTGTGCTCCGTCCCGGCCTTGTAGGGATGCGAGGTCAACGGTCTAACGACTATGGCGTGCACGACTATGAGTACACCCCTCACCCCTGGTCACAAACCAAGATATTTTGTCAACGAGTTTACAGTCCCTTCCTCCCTTTACGAGTACTCACTGGCAAGTGCTTTCTGTTTCCGGGAGCAACATCGGAAGAGACACGCGCAGATTCGATCGTCGACCTTTCCCAACTTGACGAGGTCACCAACTAGCCCGCCGGACAGACGGAAACACCAGAGGAGTATTCACGGTGTGTTTACTTCGAACGGTGTGGTGCGTTTCAAACTACGCCGCACGGGGCGCCATGTTTCAAGATGAAAAAGAAATCTCACAACCCCGCGCCCCGTACCGTGGAAATTCAAAAGGAACGGTATGGGGTTTATCTCCTCGCCAAACCAAGGTGAAAACCGCAGTTAGGGCATGGATTTGCCACGAAGTCACGCTTTTGTGTGCGGTGGTGTGAAAAACCCAAACATGCAGAAAGAAAATGTGGAGAAACAGAATAAATAGCTTACAGCTGCCCAGCCCAGTCAGCCTGAATCCATAAAAATTACAAGATCACCCTTCCGGTGTGGATGAAAGAGAGAACCGCAGGCAAGGGGTGATGCAAGAACATTCAAAAGAAAAATAGGGAACCAGGCAGAATACATACCATTAAACTGTTTCGGCAGAACGAGATTTGGTTGATAACGATCAGTTCGGGGTATTACAAGTTCCTCCGAAGCAAACTTAACCAAACTTTGTTGTTAAGTTCGGCGAATTGGGGAATTTTGCACACGACAATTGCCAGCGCAACGAAGAGAACGAACACCGACACTCCAAGAACTTTGATGCCCCAGACCTTGTAGAACCGAGGCCAGCTTTAACAAATGGCACAGGCCGGGCCTATTCGACCTCCTCTGAGGGCTTGGTCATGCATGCGCCAAACATGGCTCTAGCGGGCTTTAATTTTGGCGTGGGTCCAGCAAACAAGAGAGCGATTAGTGCTCAGTTGACCCCCTAGATCAGCCTCTCAGGGTATGGGGAGGCTAGGCCTGTGGACAGGGCTCTGCTAGGGGCCCAGATATGGTGGTTGGAAATGCTAATAGTACTCCCTTGTTGTCCCATCAGGGGGGCCTCTATTGACGTCTGATGATGATAATACACTCTGTTTACCATCACCAAGGAGGTGAACCGACCAGCCCCCCGAGGCCACGGGGGGAGGACACTGGTCCTAGGCCCTGCCTGATTTCAGGCGTGTCGACAGTTATCGATAACTCAGGCTGACCGACCAAGTCAGTAATTTTGGGGGCAGCCGTGAGCTGTTTGTTGATCCAGATGTTTTTTTGTGGACAGGGCTCTGCTAGGAGCCCAGATATGGTAGTTGGAGATGTTAATGGTACCCCCTTGTTGTCCCATCACGGGGGCCTCTATTGACGTCTGATGATAATAATAAACTCTGTTTACCATCACCAAGGAGGTGAACCGCCCAGCCCCCCGAGGCCACGGGGGGAGGACACTGGTCCTAGGCCCTGCCTGATGTCAGGCGTGTCTACAGGCCTCTCTAAGCCCCCATTGAGGGCGGTAGAAGGGAACACAAAGCAGAAGAGTACTTCACGTCCAGACGTCAGCAGAGTCACCCCGGATGAGACAACAACGGGGTACCATCAACATGTCCAACTAGCGTTTCTGAGCCCCTAGCAGAGCCCTGTCCACAATGCCACCAAAGGGGATCGCTACTGTTGAGTAGAACCGATAAGCTTGATTACAAACTGGGCTCCGACTACAAGCCTAATAACGGACAAAGCGTGA